TAATTATATCTAATATTCTAAATATATCTATTTATATCTATTATATATAAATTATTTTAATACTAATTAATACTCTCTAGCACCTCCGGCATCCCCGGCACCCCCGGTATCCTCTAATATCATTAGTATTCTATATAAATTATTTTGGTACCAAAAGTATACCAATAACATTTCATACAAGTCATTTTGGCATCAAAAATGTATTAATAGTACTTTATATAAGTTGTTTTGATACTAAAATTATACTATTGGTACTTTATATAAATTATTTTGGTACTTATCGGCAGTCGTTTAGTATATTATATCAACAATCTCTAAATCTGAAATCCTTGATAGTTTTCTTTTTTGCGGATGTCTGTATCCTTTTATATCTACGCTTTTCCGGCTAATCCCCTTCCGGAGATTAGTCTCTACGCGGTGACAATACTTTTCGAATTGTTTTTTTAGAATATCTCAGATTCTATATTATAGTTCATCCTTTAGAGACTTATTAACTTGATAATTATTAATATTGAATAATATTCTTGAATATTATTTATTTAGATTTCATTTTATTAATTAATATAAGAAATATATTAATATTGAAGATTAATTATACAATTCTATATAATTTTTCAGACAAATATTTATTATTATATTTTGATTATCTATATTCTAAGAGTGTTTTATAATATAAAAGATTAGATAGTATATATTTCAAAGAAAATACTATTATTAATCGAAAGTTTAAAACTAATTTAATTATAATCTAGTTTTTATTATTTGATATTTATTTTATTATAATTAAGAGATCTTATACTAAAATCATATAATAGTCGTTTTTTTACTGAATTTATAAAAAAAAAAGTTAAAATCAAATTTGAAGACTTTAGTTTACTATTTCAATTTATAATTATCAAATTAAATGTAATTAAATTAGAAAAATCTTTTATATATAAATTAAAAAATATTTAATATATAAAGAATTTTAAATTAAATGAGATTATATAAATAATTAAGCTAGTAATAGCTTTTTTACTTTTGTGTATATCTCTTTAAAGACTTGCTTGAGTGATTGAAAATAATATCATTTCAGATGTTTATTGCTTATAATAAGGCGGCTGTTCCATGGAGAGCCGACTATTACCCGATTATCATTAGTGAAACCTTTCTTAGAAACGACGATCCCTAATCGTCACATGTATTCACTCTGGTCCTCAACCCAGCAGGACTCTATCCATGTTGTATAGGTTTGTCGCAGTCAATTCTTGTAACCCGTAGAGATTGTGCAGAATAACATTGAATCGAATCATCTTGTGTCACGGTTTCGGTCGCGAGGCTTAACTTTAATAAAGGTACGGTATCATATTATTTTAGCTATCGGGCGTCCAGAGCAAGACAGCTACGAGCTGCTTCAACGCTCTCATATCCTGCCATATATCGGGACAATTCAACTCCTGCAATTGTGTAAAATAATCCTCTGAGGCTCGTCAATAACTTCATAAGTCGTATGCCGGCAAGCTCCGGGTCACCCAAGACCACGCCGACACCACTACAAACCAAATGGATAGCTGGAAACATTTCGCAGACCTGGCGCATATAGATACAAGTAACTTAAATTCACATGCCAATTTTTAAATTCTCGCAAACGTTATTCGTGTTGAAATCATGGTTCTCCTGTTCGCCAATGATCAAAACCCTCAAAAAGTAGATTGCACGGCAGGAACCCCTAACTCAGAATCACAATATCTCAAAATTGTGATCTTAGAAAGTTATAAGACTTTCCCATAGGAATGAGAATTACCATCTCAATCTGCGCCCAACTTTTCAAATCCTGAAGAACCCCAAAACTCCCAGCATCCCAAGATGAATGGTTTTCCTCTTCCCTTCAACCAATGGCAGACGCTCCACGTGATGAAAAAAAAGTATTGTTGCACATCTGTGAGACCTTTGAAAATTGGGGCTTTTGGGAAAGTAGAAATTTTATTACAGATTTGGAAAGAGGAAGTTTTCACTATATCAAAAAAAATCTGTCCCGGCGGTTTTGCAAGAATAATTGAGGTAGGAGAGTTCGGGGCGTTTTTGATGGTTTGGAGCTTGGTTTGTTTACTTCTCGTTATCATCTCATGAAAATCTTCATCTGATGTCGATTCTTCATTCACTCGGTTTGTTGGACCTCGGCTTCTTTTCTGTGGCTTCTATCCATCAGGGTTTTTTGAGGCCATTCTTATAATTGATGGGGTCGCCGTCACTTATATCAAGAACTCATGCTCCGAGTTTCATGCGTTCAGACTTCACTCAGCAACTCACTTTGAATAATCAAGAACCCAACCTCCCCAACGATAATATCCTTACTCATCTAAGGATGTCCTCTCGAGACTTGAATACGAACCATGAATACCTTATATCCATCTCTACAGCTCTCTCACTTTGATACTCTCCTATCTATTTATTATACGCCCTAAATCAATGATATCAAAGTCGACACCCTTCTTCACTGCCTCGATTAATATTCTGACTTGACTATGGGCATAATTACGATTGGTAATTGCGTCTATATATTTCCCTGCCGAAGAATATCAAGGTAGGCCAGGCCGTCCGTTGAAAGACATACATCATTTGCGATAACTACTGTACTGGCACTCGTGCAAACTGGTACATGATATGATCATGAGAGGTATCTAATTAAGCCGCGTAGTTTCGTCTCATAACATAAACCATCTCTTTTACTTTTGTCATTCATAAGTTATAGATATTATGCGCTCTCCAATAAGTATTCTCGGCAGTCATGGATTTTCTCTCCTAAGACCCAAGGGCCTTTTCATTATTTCTATATTATTCGCACATTGAAGTGCTTCGACATGTTCAAGAGCCTCGAGGTATTATCGATTATCTACATGGTATTTGGTCATTCAAATACCCCAATATGTTGAAGAGTCTTAGTAGTCTTTCCATAGTCTCAGGTAGACCATCTAAATATTGAGATTGAGATACTTCCACGTGTTCAGAAGCTGTAAAGTAAAGAAAGGACTTTTCATTATCCGTAAACAGTACCGACATTACAGTAAAGTAACTCGATATCTTAAAGTTGTTGTTATGTTGTTGTATTGTTGTTGTATTAGTAAATACAAATATATAGGTTACAAAATCAAAGGATAATCACTGCAAAGTTCTAGATGCAGTTTCATTTAAGAAGATTTAGAATTTAGCAATTAGCTAGGTACATACCTAGCTTTAAGCATGGTTACTTTCACTACATCTCCCATCCATGAACCATCTGGCTTCTTGAAGCCTATTTCTAAAACTGTATGCATCTTATAAACCTTATTTCTTATTTCTGTCTGTATTACTCAGAGTATATTATATATAAGAATTCGGACTGTAGGCGACATTCGTTTCATCCGGACTATTTCAATATTTGAAAGGGTGTGAATCTCTGAGCGTAAAATGAAGTACCCATCCCCAAGCTCAACGAAGAGAGATTCCTTCACAGGCATCAGATTTAGTGCTCTGTCGCACTGGGATGGTATATATGGTGTATGGTGCCGAATTGGTCACCGAGGCGTGAGTTTTGAATGTCTTGTTAATCTTCAAACAATACACCAGTAATTCTACTTTGTTCTTTGGGGGGAGCGAGAGACGGGAGATATGTTCACATGTAATCATCAGTGGTACTTAGATGAGCATTACAATCCAAAGCCATAAATTACAAAACTCCAAACCTATTTAAACGCCTCTAGATCCAATCTGAAACTCGATCTCTATTAAATTCAAACCCATCAAGAACTTAAAGTATTCTTCTTAATCAAAGACTCAATGTCTCCAAACTCTTCCCAAAATAACTTGGCGGCGCCAATTCCCTGCCATCCCCACTATGACACACCTCCCTCTTCACAACCTCCAAACCCCTCTTCACATCCTCCAAACCCCTCTTCACATCCTCCAACCCGCACCCCCCAATCAAACCCCTCACAGCCTCAAACAGAACCGCCTCAAACGCCACAATCTCTTCCTTCGACACACATTTCGTATCATACTCCATGCGCAACGCAATCGCCTGATCGGAAATCACTGAAAACTCAACCAACAACGCAAATTTACTTCCTTCGGTATAAGTAATCAGAGGATTCATCCCTTCGATGGAAGTTTTGGGTGTGCGATGATCGTGGAATGTTACCATGATGTCGAGGAGTGGGTGGTTAGGGAAATGCGTTTTGGAGGTGGTGGAGTTGAGGATTTGATCCCAGGGCATGGCGTGCGCGATGGCTGCTTGGCTGGAGGTTTGTACGGAGTGAAGGTATGATTTTGTGGAGGTGGATGTGGAGGTGGATGATGAAGGGTGGCGGATGCGAATTGGGAGGGGTTCGAGAAATAAGCCAACGGTATCAAGATCTTGGGCTCCGCGGTTGAAATAGGGTCCTCCTAGAACGATATCGATATCATTCTGATCGTGCTGAAGGGAAAGTGCCACAGCACCAAGAGCCAGTTGATGAAGAGTGACTTTTTGTTCATCGGCGAATTTTAAAATTTGATGGGTGAGTTCTCGAGGAAGTTTCGTAAGACGTGTACGACCGGCGTATGTGATACGTTGGGAGAGATTGGGAAGAGTATAGGATTGTGATGCTCCGTGAAGATATTCTTTCCACCATTTAGATTCGGTTGGTGTGGCTGGGGTACTCCATTGTGTGGTATCCATGTATGTATGCTCGATGGGTGGTAATGATTTACCGCTATAAAGAGTAGTGACTTCCTTGAGAAGGACTTCGAGCGATGTTAAATCGGCGATGATGTGACTCATGGATGCGAGCATGGTGTTTCGGGATAGGAATACTCGAATGGGATGTTGACGCTCCAAATCAAATGGTCGGTTGCATTCTCTCCAGAGTCCAAGTTTATTGACAGTCTTGATCTGAGGTGGGAATCGATCGTAGCCTCTTCGTACACTTCCTTTTGGTCCGGTCTTGACATATCTGCATCGAAGAATACGATGGCGTGCTAGGACTGTGTTCCATGCTGAGATGAGTTTATCGGTATCAACAACATTGCTGTCGATTGAACAGGCGTAGGTAACATTGAATGAAGAAGTTCCGACATTCAACCTGTACTTCTCGAACCATTCACGCTCAATAGGAGATACTCGATAATTCCCTAGCGGTACCAAACCATCCGTGACATCAATTGGTTGACCTTGAGCTCGAAGATCATCAATCGTCTTTGCCATCTCGAATAAATTCGCTGATTGCATAATATGAGAAACCGTCATTTTAACAGCGAAAATCTCAGAGAGTTTGCTGGCAAGACGAAGTTGCATGACAGAATGACCTCCAAGTGAGATAAATTCAGAATCTTTAGTGATCTCCACATTGGCCTCGAGTCCCAATAATTCCTTCCACGCTTGAGCCATCCTAGTCTCAGTCGAACTTTCAATTTTCTTTGGGACGGACTCCTCCTTTGCCATGGTCATGGTGGTAATTGCCTTGTGGTCCAACTTTCCAGCAGGTGTCATTGGGAATTTCTCCACGGCCATGAAAATTCTAGGAACAGCATGAACAGGTAATACCTTGGTAACCTTTGCTCTAACCTTCCCAATATCCAATGTCTCGGGTGAAACCATGGCAACGAGATAATCACCCTTTTGACAGATAGCAATACCAGAACATTCCGGAATAGCCTCCGCAACACGAATTTCCAAATCATTAAGATCAAGACGGAAACCACGAAGTTTGATCTGTCGATCATTACGACCCAGACATTCAACTTCCCCACCTCGGTTGAAATATCCTCGATCTCCTGTTCGATACATCATTTCTCCGGTACGGTTGCAGATGGTGTCGGAGAGAAATCTTTCGGCGGTCATCTGGGGCATACCGATATAACCTCGAGCTACTTGAACACCGGCTAGATAAATTTCTCCAATGACACCGGGAGGAAGAAGTTGTTGGTTTCGATCGAGAATGTAGACGCGAGTGGTGGGGTTGGGAGCCCCTATGTTAACCGATTTTCCGGGGAGGAGTCGTTTGATGGTGGCTCCACATGTGGCTTCGGTAGGTCCATACATGTTGTAGAGATTCTTCACACCAGACCAGACATCGTTGACGTGTTGTGGTACGGGCTCACCGACAAGATATACATTTCGAAGCATGGGGTAGTCTTCGGGGTCTAAAATATTGGCGATGGATGGTGTCAAGATGGCTGCAGTGGCTTTCTCAAGATGAGAAAATGGATGGATTCCATCGGCTAGAACAATGGTAGCTCCGTAGCTTAGAGCAGAAAATATCTCATGGATACTACCATCAAATGCAGGAGACATCAATTGAGAGATTCTTTGACCAGGTAGTGCGAAAAGTCGAACAGCGAGATCTTTTTGAAATGCCACGAGACCTTCATGACTACACATGACACCCTTGGGCTTACCCGTTGATCCAGATGTAAAGCAAAGATAAGCATTATCCGCAGGCCTTGGTAATTGTCGCGGAGCAACCACTACCGAGCTTGGCAAAGGTAGTTGAACAAGATCCTCAACCGAAAGACACAGCTGACATGATGCTGGCGCAATACTTCGTTGAGATGATGCTGGTGTCAAGAAAAGTTTGCCGCCAGCAGTCTGGAAATTGGCTTCGCGTATGTGTCCTGGTAAGGCGGCATCTTGTGCAGAGTATACCGCACCGGATTTCAGAATACCGTAGATGGCAACAAGCCAATTGATACTTCGATCCGCATGCACGCAGACGATATCTCCGGGTTGAACGTGTTTGGAGAGTTGAGCGGATAGCTTGGTGGCCATCTTGTTAAATTCTTGATAGGTTAAGCTCTGTTCAGCTTTTTCAACAGCTAAGACTGAGGGGTTTTCGGCAGCGGCACGCTCGAATAAGGTGACTAAATCATCTTTGATCGAAGCCGGTGAAGTTTCTTCCGTCAAACAATTTCCCATCTTCATCAAAGTCTCGTGAGATTTGGTGGAGAGTAAATTAGACAAACATTCACCTACGGACTTGGTTGGGGATAGAAGAGACAGAATGGCGGTTTGAAAGTTCTCGGAGAGTAATTCGATATCGGAATCGGTGTACTTCTGTGTTTGATAAGACATTCTGATGGTTCCAGTCGTGGTCATGAAGATACTGAGTGGGATATCTGGAACGACTTTGAACCAAGATTGTCCAATTGGGCGAACCTTATGATCATCGGTTGGTTGCATATCAAACTCCATTGCCAATGCTGATGCGAATTGTCTACTATATCCATCCTCTGGAAGAGAATGCTGGAATGAACTGAGCTCCACCGAATGTCTAAAGACAGACTGAACATATTCCAATGCAGTTTGACTGCGGTCCAGTGAAACATGAAATGGTAATGTGTTGATGAAAGGTCCAATCGTATCATCCATGCCAGGTATTGGTAAATTGCGACCGGAAAGAACAGTACCAAATACCACAGTATCAGAATCTGCATACATGGATAGTGCTAGACCCCAAGCTGCTTGAAACCATGATGCCAATGATACACCAGCTGATCTCGCAGCGGCAGAAATCTCCTCGGAGGGAATCGTAAATGAAACATCGGCATTTCGAGATGACTTGGAGCTTGACGATGGAACTGGAAGAGACAAATCGCCCACTGGTGATGGATGTAATTCCATCTGTTTTCTCCAAAACGATCGGCTGACTTCTCGGTTCATCTGTTGATACTTTTGAACTTCGTGTATAACACTGGAGAAAGGTGTGCCGGAAACAATGTTTTGACCCATCACAATTTTTCGAACTTTCTCATACAATAGATTTGCCGAATATCCATCAATGAATGCGTGATGAACCCTCCATACTATCGTACTAACACCAACGTTTCCGGATCTTTGAGTCCTTGGAGTGAGGACCGTAAAAGTGACCTCCATCTTTGCAGGTACGATCTCCTTCTCTAGTTCCGAAATGTATGTATCTGTATCCTCCACGAAGATCTCATCCCAGACGAAAGGTAATGGTTGTTTGGAATGTGTTGCTGTGGCTTTATCGTGATCAAAAATCGTCCGGAATATGGATTCCGAATCTATGACTGTCTTCCAAGCCATCTTCATTATTGGAACATTGGCGGAACTATAAGTTTCATAGAAACTAATGATATTGCTACCAGGTTGTCTTTGGTAGCTGTGCATGAAGGAATGTTGCATCTCTGTTATTGAGAGGTTGGAGGCAGATGTTGCGTATCTGTTGGAAGGTGTAGTCCTAGAGAATGATATTTGGCGTTCGTGACTCGATCGTGTAGGACTGACGGGTGTATTCAGATCGTGTGAGTTCTTCAAAATGTTTGTGGAAGAAATAGCTCTGGTTTCGGTTGCCGATTCGATCAATTGTGTAAGAGTAGGACTTAAAAGAATGGATGGTATTGATAGGGTTAGACCATCTTTCTTGCAAGCTTTGGAGAGCTTGATGGCCATCAATGAATGACCACCGAGACCAACAAAGTTTGAATCCAAGTCAACTTTCGTTGTAGAAAGCTCAAGTATCGAGCATAGATGACTGAGAATGAGGGCTTCTTTCTTTGACGGTATCATACCGGAAGTCCCTTCGACCATGTTTCGTTTGGTGAGGGCACTGTTACCAATGACATCAATGAATGGAGACATTGTGATCTATGTTGTCGATGCTAATGTCTGAAAAGAAAGTACAAATGAAGAAGTAGGAGATGGTCATACATAAAGGAAAACATGGTGATGGGTTTCGTAAGGAAATATCTAGATGAAACATTGACTTTCTGATCCGGCTCCGAAAACTTGATGATTTATTGTCTAAAATCTCAACTAAGCGTTTCTCAGTGATGAATGCTACAGATACGAATCTTACGTACTAGTACTCGTAAATTCTAATTGGTAGCATGTTTAGAAGATTATCCATTTGCGGTCCATACCGAATTAGTCACTGAACTTTCAGTTCTTCATCCATGATAATTATGAGCCGTTGAGTATGTCAAAAGGCGTGATCTACATGCATGCACGTTTTGGTATGACTGGGAGTGCCATATTACGATATTTGATTATACTAACTAGAATTATAATCAAAAAATCTGCTCAAGCCTCAACATGCGTAACACTGAGTGAGCGGGATATATTGTGGATACCAATATCAAAGCTACAAAGTCACTTACGTTAGATGCTGAACTCGTATGACTATTTTAATACAAACCTTAGTCCAATATGCAAGGTAATGTCTAAATAAGGTTACGCCAAGGTGTTGGAACAATAAGAAAAGGAGGAGTACTCGCTTGCTTGATCCCGATCATCTCCGATACGGAGACAGATATCCGGAAACAATGAACTAATCAGTATGACAGCTCCACATCATTACTTACAGGCCAATGCAGGCTGATAAAAAACGTGTTTGAAAATTAGTCATATTTAACTTCTAGGTCAAACCCGCCATGTCCGCCATGTGAATTGGAGTTGTGAGGCGAATTCTGGGTTCTCCGGCATGGGCATCGTTCCAACTTGACGGCACTAATGATCCTTCAAGCTTCTAGTGTCATTTTAGTGGATTGTAGGATTTAGTGGGTGGGTCCATCCCCTCGTAATTTGTAAATGGTAAAATGTAAAAAAAGGTACATATGCAGGTTTGAGATCGCAGCTCCGCCTTTAAAAATCATAGTGGTACCGGATCCGAAAAAACTACCTTGTAAGCACGTTGTCAGCACGTTTTGTCAAATGGAAGGAACTTGGATTTGTGTTCTGAATTATATGATATTAATCCAGCTCATCCACCCGTTTGTAAAAAATTTGAAATCATCATCAACTTCGAGCTTTCTCAAATCCTGCCTCCATTATTTCAAAACCAATAATCGTAAAGACTAAAATTGGTACCTTTACTCGACATGTCTCTTCCAAGAATTGCTGTTATAGGAGGTAAGTTATTATCATCATAGGATTCATCTCTTCAAAGATCATAGACTAATTAATCACAGCTGGCCCTGCTGGGTTAACTTTTGCTCGTCTTCTTCAACACAATGGTATTCCATGTACCATATTTGAATTAGATGCAGATCGTCATGCACGAACTCGAGGAGGTAGTCTCGATATTCACGAAGGATCTGCTCAAGTTGCACTCCGTGAAGCTGGATTGTATGAACAATTCTTAGCAGTCGCACGAACTGAGGGAGAAGTCCTCAAAATCTACGATCCTTCTGGCAACCTTCTCATAGATGAGAGTAAAGAAATTGGTGAAAGTAGACCAGATTCATTCAAGGGTCGTCCTGAAGTCGATCGAGTCCAGCTTCGTAATATTCTTTTGGATTCTCTTGCGCCTGGTAGCATCAAGTGGGGACATAAGCTACAACGTGTCGAAACATCTGACGACGGAGTATCTCTCACATATGATTTACACTTCAAACATTCTGTTGAGACAGGATTTGATTTGGTTGTCGGAGCAGATGGAGCTTGGAGTAAAGTACGCCATATAATTTCCAACACTCGACCACAATTCGCCGGAATCACCGGGGTTGAAGCCAAGGTTATGAACATTGATCAAAAGGACCCAGCTCTTGCGAAAAGAGTAGGCTTGGGTATGTGTCTCACCCTCGGTAACCACCAAACTGTTTTATCGCAACGTAATGGTGATGGATCTGTTCAAACATATGGATTTTTCCGCAGACCCGAAGATTGGCAAGAGACTTGCGGTATCGATTGGTCCGCTCCTAATGTTGGACAAAGGTTTGTGGATAAATATTACGAAGATTGGGACCAAGACGCAAAGGACTTGATAATCAAGAGTGATGAAGAAGCATTTCCAAGACCAATGTATATGCTTCCGATCGGTCATAGATGGCTTCACAGAGCAGGGTAAGATATTCTTGATTTTTTCTTCCATTTGGTTTTTGTTGACCATTCCCCCTACCCCCCCTTCTCCTCAAAGATTTAAAAATCATTGTCTGACCAATTTTTAGTGCAACCCTATTAGGTGATGCAGCTCATCTCATGACACCATTTGCAGGTGTGGGTGTTAACGTTGCCATGGAGGATGCAATGGAACTTGCAAGAGCTGTGATTGCTCGCAAACCAACCTGGGAAGGAAAGGAGAAGTTTGAGGATACCGCTGGTCTATCGGAAGCGGTAAGAAAATATGAGTTAGCCATGTTCGATCGTGCGGAGGGGTATGCGAAAGAAACTTGGATGTACCTGAATCTTTTCTTCAATGAAAGAGGAGGACATGCAATGGTTGAAAGCTTTGCCGAACAAAAGAAGCAACAGAAAAAGGAAGCTGAGTTGAAGGCTTTGGAAAATAAGGAGACAGTTAATGTCGAGGTTATAAGTACTTAGAAATTTTGGTCTATTTGTCGGAGTTTTGGCTGGGGTTTATGAAAATATATGAAATTTTGAATCGTTAATAAATTGACTGTCTCGAGATTAATATTGGTGTCAACATATTCTGCATGATACAAGTCTTGAATACCTAGTACAGTGAGTATGCTTATGTAATGACTAAACGTTGGTGTGAAATCATCAGTACTCCGATTCGAGCGCTGGTAGTTGTGACAATTTCAGGTGAACTGCAATTAAGATTTGAAACCTTCCAATGGTCGAGAGGCTGCAAATATATATCAAGTTGGTATAATTACTTCAGTTAATGTTTCCAGAAAACTTGGGGAATCAAGAATCTCTCATTGTCGGACTGTAGTCCAAACCAGTGGAAGCCGTGACTCTACCAAAATTGATGTATTAGCCGGCAATTACACTGCCATCCAACGTCAACAGACAAATGCCCATCATGTTTGTAACCAATCTGGAGGTATGGAATGAACATATACAGAACTGGAATGAGATTATTGTAAGAAATCAAAATAAAGTGTAAGTTACCACGCAACCACAATTGGTTGGATGATTCGTAGTCAATGATCGGGTCCGATCGGGTCCGATTCTTATAAGCAATGCTTCTAGAAACAGAGTAAAATATACAGCTGATGGCAGCCAAATTGAAACAAACACAACTTCATATAAGGAAACAGATATATCGCCTGTTTGCGCTTGCCACCTATCCTATTTCAACCCATTCCTTAACTTACCATACATATCAGACGATATTTGCATCCCTAATCAAGAGTTATTAGAGACAAGAGTAAGCTGAGGTTCAAGCGTTTCAAAAACCATGCAGATTTTTGTAATCGGCGGTAGTGGTAGGACTGGTAAGATGGTCATCGAAGAGGCATTGCTTCGGGGTATGTATATATGTATATCGTAAGATTGCACCAGAAATCAGCGATGTCGCCATTTCTATATATATAACCGAACTATGGTTGCTGATGTGCATACTTAGGGCATGATGTGATAGCCCTGGTTCGAGAACCTTCTTCAATAGAGGCTAGGGAAGGCTTAAAGCTTGTCAAAGGTTAAGGAAGATCCGCTCGAACCCTAAAACTAGGCATTGTGTCCAGGCTAAATCATAGATATCAATATATTTAGAACGACCTTGACTGACTCGAACCATCACAGGTACCCCACTCAATAAAGCCGACATCACAGCTGCATTCGAAGCAAGTACCAAAACCCCATCCGTCGTTCTTGTTACCTTGAGCGCTCCTCGTCGATCCGATAGCCCTTTCTCTCCATCGATCTCCCCCCCAAGACTTATGGCAGATTCAAATGCCAATATAATATCTGTCATGAAAGATTTTGATGTGGGCAAGATTGTAGTGATGCAGGCTTTTGGTGTTGGGGATAGCTGGCCGCATATGCACTTCTTACTTCGGATGTTGATGAAGAAGTCAAACCTGTACATGCAATACGATGACCACAACTTAGTGGATAAAGAGGTGAAAGCTAGTGGCATGAATTATGTTTTAGCTCGACCTGCAAGACTAGAGGAGGGAGAAGTAAAGACGGTCAAGGTATTTGGGAACAGGGGCAAAGGAATACCCATGATGGCCAGTATCACTCGAGAAAGTGTAGCCAATTGGCTTGTCGATGCTGCAGAGCGAAAAACGTGGGATTCACAAACTCCAGTGTTAACAAATTAGAGTTTATCGAATGGACGAATGAAGGAGGATAGGGGAGAGGGAAGAGGGGAGAAGAGGAGAGGGATGAGGGGAGAAGGGAAGCGTGTGAAGCGGGTGAGTTGTTTGACGTTTGATGGATCATGGATGATGGATGGGTCATGGATCATGGAGTACTAGTAATTAGCATTTTTTTTTAAAGAAATGCAGGGTCCATTATTCTTTTATTTTTTTTAAACCCTTTTTTTTCTCTTCATATATCTGGATTTTGGATTCTGGACTCTGGAGTGGCGTGGTTGAGGAAGCTGACAGTACTTTACTCGTAGTATAGATGGGATAAGACATTGGTCATTGTACGAATTGTATGGTGTGTTTAATGATTTGTAGTTGATTACATACAGTTCCCGTCCCGTGTCACCCCTCCTCCTCCTCATCCCCGCCCCACTATAAATACTTACTGTACAAGTGTACAAATCCATGAATCCATCCCCCCATATTTAACCGCTCTAAAGAATTTCTTATGATTGGTTCACTATTAATAGGATTTGAGTAAGCTTTTTTAATGAACCGACAGAACCGACAAACCAACGAAGACCAACCGTCAAACCATAAACCATAAACTTAAACTAGGGAATCCCACTCTTGTTTTAACTTTCCAACTTTCCCCCCTCCCCTCGTAGGCTCGTACCTTTCCTACCCCCTTGTCAACGGGAGGAAATGGCCTAGGCCGTTGAACCATACATGTATCAAAAAAAATCAACGTCAACCCATATCAAAACATATCAAAAGTTTCTAAATTTTTGTCTGAATCTGGTTAGTTAGTTGGTTACCTAGTTATAGCTGATAACAATCTCGGCTGTACCTAGGAAGAAGGCTTTTGCTCAAAGCTGTAAAAGGGAAACATTCTTTTACGTAAAATTTATAATCCTGGTATTATTCACTGCAAGGCTGCGACAACAACCACTCAATCACTCAATGCCATTTGTATCGTGACTTATCGTCTTCTTTTCTTCTTCACCGCAAGGAAGTATAATATACAGTAATACGCAACCAAATTACCTAGTACTGTAGTATCTATACCGTATCCGTATCTGTATCTGTATATCCAAAATCTAAATCTCACAACAAAGTTTCAACTAATGCTCACTAAAATATCCATCCAAAGCATAATAAATATAATAAACCTTACTTTATGATCAAAATGATTATACAATGAAGCTAACTAAATTATCACGCAACGCTTACTGTACTTATACATATCTTATATCGCCTACTACCTAGGTTATCTTCAAGTAATTAGAGGCTAGACGTAGTCGTAAATATTCATGGGTTAGACAGACTCATCACGAATTATCTGACCTTGTGTTCCTTCCTATCTCATCTAATATTCATATCATCTCATCTTAATTAAATCATCACGAATTATCTGACCTCGTTCTTTCTATGTTCCTGTCTCATCTCATCCATATCTATCTCATCTTATCCAACTGCAGTACTCCAAACGGTTAAATCATCCGACCCCCCCACCCCCTTCCTTCCTTCTCCTCCTTGTTTGAATATTTCCACATTAAGGTTACTTACCGGTATCACAAATTGTCCACGATCATTGAGCGTTGTACCGGTTTCAAGTACTTACTTACTGGCTTAATAACTGGCATTGTACCCGACATCGCGACTTTTTATCAGTATTAGCCATCCAGCATCAGCATCACAATTTCACAATTCTTGGCATTCTATCGGCTTAACATCTATTGTACCGATATTATAACTTTTATAACTTTCATCAGTTATTGCCATCGGCATCGGCATCACAATTTCAAAATTCTTGGCATTCTACCCGGCTTAACAACTCAACTTTTCCGTCAATCACCTACCACCAACCCACCAACCACACAACCACCCCAACCACCAAACATGGAAGATACTCGATTTGATTCATCTCGCAAACGACCACGACCAGTTGTTTCTTGTTTAAGATGTCGTGAAAAGAAGTTGAAATGCGACCGACTTTTACCATGTCAAAATTGTACCAAGATACCAGGTGGCTCAGCTGAATGTACTTATAATCACGACCCTACGAAATTCATTCCAAAATCACGAACAACTTCAACAACTTCACCAGGAAATCGTACACCACCTGATCTTAAGATTATATCAAATATAGGAAATGAAGTAAATATCATCCAGGTAGGTCTTCATTGTTCTGAATATTTTCAATAACTTCATCATCATCATCATCATCATCTAACATCTCATTCTTCCTTAGGGTAACGGTGGAGGTGGAGTTGTGGAGGAACTTCAATCTCGTGTTGCAAGGCTTGAAGATCTACTTCAAGTCTCTGGAAGGTTATCAAACATTCAAAGATCACCATCACAACCACCGAAAACGTACAAAGTATCGAAACGTCCGAATGTTCCTACTAGTTCGATACCAGGACTCTGTACTCTGGTTGTGAAAGGATCGAGGAGTAGATACCATGGTCAGAATGATCGAATTACCTTATTAAATCAAGTATGTATCCCATCTGGAATCAGTACTTAGCCTCTTGTACTAATATAATTTAAAGTTTCCCGAGGCAAAAGATTTCATAAACAAGAGTGCAAGCAGTAATGTTTCCATCATCAATCTTGCTAAAGATGTTCAATATCTACAACAAAAGTCTCAAGGTCACCTTAATATGCGAAAGGAGACATCGAGTCAAGAATGTGCTGCAATTATTTCAAAACTTCGAGAATTTCTTCCCGGAAAACTTGTTTGTGATAGGCTATTGAAAATTTACACAGATAATTTTGAAAATAGTTCAAGGATTCTTCATCTACCCTCCTTCCTTCGTCTGTACTCGCATTTTTGGACATCACCCGACGACACGTTGTTTCAATCATCATCATTCTTACCTCAATTGACAACCATACTAGCGATTTGTTACAAGTTTCTTGATGGCAATTCAGGATTTGATGATGATCAGAAAACATATCTGGAAATGGCATCACTTGAGCTTGTCACGGCTTGGATTGACACACTCAGTAGGAAGCAGGCAATTGATATATCAACGTTGCAAACCGAAACACTGCTACTACTTGCGCGACAATTACAACTTCTCTCCCCAGATAAGTTATGGTGCGCCACTGGTGCTTTGGTTCGGTCTGCTATGGTGATGGGACTTCACCTAAGGCCGTCGGAATTCAAGAAGATTTCACCGTTTCATGCCGAGCTAAGACGAAGGATTTGGATAACCATTGTTCAAATGGATCTACAAGCATCTACTGCCGCCAGCATGCCCAGTATCGTTCCTGATATAGATTACAATCAACTGGCTCCATCAAATTTAAATGATGCGGATTTTGACGAATCTACAACTCAACTTCCTACTTCGAAACCTCTATATGAATGGACCGACTCCCTTGCACAAGTCACATTAGCTATGTCGCTTGCACAGCAGCTTAAGGTTGTGTCACTGATTAGAGACATTAGTCCTGGCATGGATCTATCAGAAGTTGTTCGAGAAGGGAGAAAATTGGAGGAAATCCTACGACGTGTGCCAGCACCACTCAGACTAGACGGAACACTTCAACGTTCTCCTTCACATCTTTTGGATTGCGTCTTATTGGACATATATCTGAGGAGACCGTTTCTCAATCTTTATCGGTTACTTCTATGGGAAGAGCGACAAGACGATCCTTCATACAGAGAGATGCAACAACTTTGTTTGGAATCATCAGTCACCATTCTTTCTTATCAGGATTATTTTGATCCCTCAGTCGCGGATTTGGATTTATTGAGTACAAACTTATATTGGACAATGTTCCAAATTTGTTGCAAGAATGACGTTTTAGCCGCTGTCTTGAGTGTCTGTCAATACATCAAGACCTCAACATCAACGTCTCAAAGTACAGAGTCCAGTCCCGGATTCATACAAAATCAATATCCAACATCTCTGCCAAGTCCTCCAGCATCAAATACGCATTTTTCGAAAGCAAGGCTCACTCGGGTAGTCGAAAGTACATTGGAAGGATTCACCAAGAGAGTGGGGGAATTTGGTAGTGATCTAAAAGATGTTCTCATTCTTTCCGTGGTGATGCAAGCAGTACGAGCGAATGGTACATCCGATCTAAAAGAGAATTTGATGCATGAAGGTGCCAAGAAAGCATTGTCAGCATGCCGGCAAACCTTGTTACAGTCATTTCCAAATGGAGAAATCAGCCTCCCATCGGCCAATCTCGAAGTGAACGAGGTAAGTTTATCTACTCTTCGGTTGCAGTGTCCCGCATTGTGGAACAGAAAATGTGACTAATCGTCTTACAGGAAAATAAGAATAATATCAGGGCAACACCCACAGTAGATGTCTCAATGTCCAATGTAGATCAGACCATCTATACCAACCAATCAGGATATATGGATCAACTAAACACGTTGGCGACTGATATGAACCAGGTAAATGATTTTCCTTCGATTTTGTGTAACTTCTACAACAGCAATGCTAACCTGTTTGCCTCAATTTTAGTTACCGAGTGACATCTTTGAATTTACAGATACCGGCGTATTCAATGGGGATAATGATTGGAGTTACAATGATCTTTGGCAATAAAAGTTTTCATATCACATAAGTGTTGGCCATTTTCACTTCCTAGCCTATAGAAGTTTCTTCACCATTCATTTTGATATGGTTTTCCTCTATACTTCGTGTAAATACATTTCCGATTATGGACCAGATATCTAGATGAAAATGTTCAATTTCAGAATTGGCAAGGCACATTCAGGAAACTACGTCCAATTGACTTTGAATCAAAATTGTCAATGTCACGGCAATTCAGAACATCAGCCAGTTGACATTGGATCAGTGCTACAATCTTATAGCATGGGACTGAAGATTGGAGACCTATAGGCTAGACAGCATTGGACGAAAACTTTTGATGTTATGACGGCTAAAAATACATAAAGAAGCCATCATTATGACCCAGTTGGCTCAATCGCCGGAAGCCCAACAACAATCAAGTTAATCCTTCCCTTTTCACACACCTCAACTTCATATTTGGATGATTAATCCAAATCTCGGGATTCCTTTGCCACTCTTCGGTTTTCAATAACGATAAATCATACTCTCTTACCAGATGTACCAAGATATTCCTTATTAAATTATCCGCCACAAACTTTCCCATACATTGCCTCGGACCAAATCCAAATCTCCAAAAGTTATATCGTGATTGGGTTGAAGTTCTCTCCATGAAACGACTTGGACGATATATGGCTTTGTCTTCACCCCAGAATGAATTGCGAATATTCAAAGCATATGAGTCAATGACGAAATTTGTTCCGGCAGGAAATTCATAACCTCCAACAACCCTTGATGTAGGAATACTTTGTGGGACGGAAAATGCGGCGAGGGGTCGTAGACGAGAGGCTTCGGAAACACAAGCGGCGAGGAATGTCGTACTACTCGACAAGTATTTCTCCAACGTCAAACCATTTTCATCCGCCTCTTTCTGGGCAGCTTGATATTCCGCTCGTAATTTATCTTGAACAGATATGTCGGATGAAAGGAACACCAGATTCCAGCTCACACCACCAATTGTGACATCAAGATTGGCGTATAACATTTCATCAAGGGTGTTCAACAGTTCGGATTCGCTTAATTCACCAGTTTCTTTTGCCGCGAATAAGTCCAAGATGGGGGCGTTGAGCCCTTGTTCCCTGGCTCTTCGACAAGCAAATTCGTTGAATGCGACCCATCTTTCTTGAAAATCTGCAAGGTCCTTATTGGCTTGCGTGGGAAGGTAAGCTGACCAGTCAAAGCGAGTAAGCCCGCCCGAGATAACGTGCTTGAAGAAGGATTCACGGATCGGTGCGAGAGCACGCAACTCGGACTCCACATCAGGAGCTAGCTTGCCGTAAACGACTTCAGCCACGATCAAGAATGGGAGAAGTTTTAGATCGTCGGCTGGATCGATGAGTCCACGTGACAAATCTTTAGAGTCCCAAAGTTCTTGGAAGAACGAAGTAGTTCGTTCTTCGATCATGGGTACGTATCGCGGAGCAACACTGCGGTGAAATGGCTTTTCTACAATGGATCGGACACGCTTCCATTGTTGAGCACTGATCAATCCAACACATTGACCTAGGATTTGACCTAACAAATATCCTGAATTATTATTGACAGCCTTGAAGTGTTTATCCGAATCACTGAAGACCGCTTGGATATCGGCGGCTCGAGTGAGAACACTATATTTTGTTTTTACATCAGAATTTGACTCTCTTTTCTCTAGGTCCGGGATTTATATCACATGATTTACTTACATTTCTGGTTTATGACCGGACCAAATTTGGTAAATTGAACCATATCTTGATTCCCACAATTCGCTGTTCTCCTTTCCATAAAGGAATTTGGCACCATCACCCTGACCATTGGGAAATTCATAATCGCAACCTGGAAGTCTGTGTCCGAATTCGACATGTTTGACGGGGTACCGATATGATAAGTATATCTATTTATGATGATTAGTCTCATATGAAATTTAGGCAGTCATAAGACACCTGACTGTATGATGAGATGCTAACTCACGTTGAGAACCTTGGAAAGGATGCTATTACATGTCGCTGTTAATGGTCTTCTGAAAATCACACAGCCGCACAAAATAACGGCAATGACAAATTGACCTGCAATAAAAGTATTTGGAAACATTTTGACTGCTGAACGATGAAAGTAATGGTGAGAAAATTCAAATTTATATGCCATCTCTCATGATATTCTCACTACTAAGCAATATGGATACCGTATATCTAATCCGACAAAACCGGACGGAGCAAGAAGACCGAAATCCAGTGCTTATCACGATGAGAATGAGTCAATCCGAATATAATAAGCTGAAGAATGAAATACGAACTACATTTCCGGTCCATTTCTCGTACTCCGGTATCCGGATCCGACAAAGGTTCAATCTCACCCCATCGCTTTCGCATTCGCTTACTGTCAGATTCAGCCTTCAGGAAGGAAGCGCACTAGCGATGTCATCCCCTGACATTGTGACAAGAGTCATGACTAGACTAGAAGAACGAGCTAACTCGTGATATTCGATCCATCAGCTTTGAGGCTCAATCCTTCGACTTGCCAAGTTTATGCAAAATCTCGCTTGGATCTTCGAGTCATGCAGCCATGCAGCCATACACTTCAGATCATTCTTCTAAGTTCTCACCATGCATCTCAACCACGTTTCTCAGCCTTAATACTATGCCTACTATAGTATTGATACGACGCACAGCCTACACAGCACATGGCTTTCAGGGTGGTGGTTATTCTTAGCTCGCCAGTTGCACATTTTGGTATCCAATGGAGATAGTTGACAGCTGTGATGTCCAACGCAGAAAGTTGACAGCTGTCAGGTACGATGCAAAATGCAGTCATACACGTGGAAACCGAGATCTGGGTTCCCTGTCTGCCTGGAATCCAAGTGGCTTTGCCATGTGTCAGGGACTAGTTTTAGATAAGGACCCACGGATTTGGAATGCTGATTCTATTTTTGATACACTCCGCAGACTCGCATCGCAGTCATCCACGTGCGAGGCACAGTCTGGAAATTATTCCTTGGAAGGATTCCTAGGCCGTCTGAAGTTTGAGCTTGGGTAGAGTACTCGGAGCCGCAAGTAAATTGTATGTGATTGATGGCGGCGTAGAGACTTAATGGCAAGGAGATTGTGTGGAGTTGAAATGTATAAGAGGGTCTTAATTTCCCTTCATCCACTTCCTTTTAATTATCATCAGCATCATCTACAATAACATCAACAAAACCAGCAACATCCGCACTTACAATCGTTTTCAAAGTATCAAGTCAAGCTCACTACAACCATCTATCAAAGGTACTTTTACATATCTTTTACATATAACATCTCTTCAACCTTCAACCTTCAAACCCCATAAGTTTCAACCAAGCAACCACCAACCCAACAATCAAAATGCGTTTCTCCATCCTCGCAATCACCCCCCTCATCGCCTCCGCCTTCGCATTACCAACCACAAACAACCACAAACCACACTCAACCTCCACCCCATCCAATCTCCCCGCCTGCGGACCCACCCCTCAACCCTGTGCTTGTACCGCAGGAACAACCTTTCAAAACTCCACCTCGTTTGCCACCATCCCCGCCTCCGTGCCCGACCTCCAAGATGTCATTGGCGATTTCCTCAGCACGGCCTGGTTTGGCACCTCGCCCACAACCATCGACGGCACCGGTTTCAAGGCCGGCGCGCAACGCCATCTCCTCGGCGGTATCCCCGGCGCCGGTACCTATCCCCTCACCGAAGAACTCACCCTCTGGAAACCTTACCCCAATGACTCGGGTTTCTTCCAGAAATTCCAAATGGAGGATGCGCCTTTCCTTTTCAATATGACGGATGGCACCCCGGGCATTCTGGGCGGCACTTGGGATCTTATGGATGTGAATGCGGTTGGAGCGGCAAATACGACTTGGTTGTGGAATATCTATGCTTGTTTCAGTGTGGAATTTGACTTCGCGGAGTTTCATGAGAGTGCCATGAAGAATGTTAGTGCTATTTTGACCGAGCAGGGGAAGATGAGTGGGGAGATGATTGGGCCGTTTTCTTATTAGAGGGAGTCTGGGGGATAGATTGACGAGGGGGATACTTGAGGTGGAGCTATGTATCAATAAGGGGTTGATTTTTCGATACCTTTTCTTCTGGGCTTGTTTTTTTGTTTCTTGTTTTTTTTGTTCTTCGCTCGGTTACTTTGGGAGTGGAGAAGTTTGTGGTTGTTCTCACTTATATCAATTTTGCATTCTACTTAGATGGTTTAGATCTTCTACTGCTCACGCAGATTATATTTGGGGGTTGGGGTTGGGGTTTCAGATATAGACTCGGAGTTTTGTCTATATGGTTCACTTTACTTGATTTTATTAGACTCTTTTAAATTTACATACACTTTTCGAGTTTGTTTTCTATTCAATGCATGATATAGAGAGTAGTGTCACATATATTAGAGTATAAGTTCATCAACGTCATGCTTTCGAGTCTTTTCGCTTAATATTCTTGCTTTCGTCACCCTGCCATGAGCTCATACATATATTATACTGAAAAGAGTATGCATGATGAATCGTAGAAATATTATTGGTAGCCCATTCATCTATCATTAGATTCCATGCACACTCATACATAAGTTACATTCTCCCCACCCCAACTAAAATTAGCCAACTGGCACTACAAAATCGCCCCAAATTTATATCATAATCCATGGACGAAGACTCAAAGCTTAAGTCGAACCCCATGTTCTTTCAAATGACATCCGTCGCATACCGTATACTTTTGTGCCTAATTGGGTCTGCAAATGCAGGGATATTCACCTTAATATAGAGAAAATTGAATCAAATATTGCGTATTACAATTCAAAATTGTAAATCTGTGAATCGTATAAGCTTTCTTTCAATAGGATTGCAAATTTTAAGTTTGATCGTTTGTGGCAGGAGAACCTTAAATTTATATCCCTACACTTGCAGACTCCATTTGCCAAAAGTATACGGTATTCACCAAATTACCACAACAGTGAGTATAATTTCCCAGTGAAGTGGCTAGAACCCACAAGGAAATCGACTTAGGCTGGAGAATACTAGTAATATCGTCATGACATCCCCCTTAATTCCCAAACATACTAGTATACCTCGTCTAGAAAGTTCACAGTGGGGCTTTCATAACCCGTATATTTTGATAAGGAGGGATGAAAGTCCTTAGCGGTGATGTCACGTCACGGTTTCCCAATTCGCTTTCCCTTTTCGCTTCGAACGTTACAGTTCTTACAGTTTTCGACTTGGACTTTAGCCGATGCTGGTGCAAGGCTAAGGCTAACTTAGGGCTATTTTGGTTGTCATTATCCATGCTTTCCCGCTCTTGTATCTGTTTTTTTTAGAAGGACGGATTCCGTAAAAGTCATATTCAATATAGAATAGTACTAAATAGTATGGATCTGTTTGAGCCCCTGGTTGTCGTGATTCTTAGCTTAAAGGTTTAGATGAAAGCAAGTGAAACAACTTCAAACTGTAAAAGGAGCTTGGAAGCTTTTTAATAGAGTTTTCAGGAGATCGTCGTTGATTGAATGGATAGCTTCAAAAAGAGTTAGGTTTTTAAGCGAAATTGGCGATAGCTTCAAAGCGAAGGTGGGGGGATAGCTTCAAACCTTATTTTGAAAGCATTCAATAAATCTAGGCTATAATATCCTATAAGGCCCTATAGAAAGTATGGAATATCTAACAGAAAAGAATAGAACATTAAAAATACTTTCATACCCACAGATACTCTGAGCTCAACCTCTATTCCACTATGATCTGACAGAATCCGGCTTTTTATATCCAAAAACATTAATATAGAACCCAAGAAATAAAAACTAAAAGAGCTAGGAATAATGACTGTTGAATATTTCACATGGATATCATCAACTAATCGTGAATGCATATAATAATAATAATATAATATCAGCTAACCTATCAAAGACTTGAGCTTCAGATGCCACCACCCATGTAGAAGTCACAATAATGTAGATCTCGGTGCTTATCTATCACTTATATACCGGTACTGTAGTACAGTACCGGTAGAAGGACGGTGTAATATTAAATCTCCCTCAAGTACCGAGAGAAGCGAGGCGGGGTAACACAAACGGGCTTAGTATCCCAGACTTACAGCTAGAAAAAAGGCTAGAAAACATATCATCTCTCAGGTAAGCTGACTTTCTTCAAACTGAATTACATGAATTAGATGAAATGCATATTATACATCTTAGTAATACATCCAGAACTCACGAAAATGATAAATCTCACACCGATATGATGGATGGATATTATGATTGCGCTATCTCGTATAAGATAAGAAAATACATGGGGTATAAAACCTACTGGTTGGGTAGGGGTATAGCATAAACGCCAAGTTTCAACTATTGATGTAAAGAAAAAGTATAAAAAATAATTGGTGAGATCGGTTAGGCTATCCATAGCCATTTTATTTGAATGATACTCATATCACCAGAAAGTCTACAACTCGGAAACTTAAAAAACTAGATTACTTTCTTATAGTTTATGTACTAGCCCTCGTCCCCTTCCACCTACCAAATATTTTCCATGGATATCACAAAGCCGCAAGGAAATTGCCCACTCCAACTACAAGGGCAATGATCCTTTAGGCTTTAGCACAGCATAGCCTTTCCCTAGTGGCCTCTGGGTCTTTTCCGGGTTCATCCATCCATCAAATAAGATTTGACAGCGGCAACACCGATTGGGGTTTGACCTCGAAGGTTGAGCTTTGAAGATGTTGAGATGCTAGGATTTCGCGCCGTGGCTGCTCTGGTGATGTGGCTTTTCTGCAAATGTCCGCCGTTACAACGGTTGATAGAGTGAGAAAGAGTTTGGGATGTTGTGGTTGCACAACATATACTTGCTACAAGCCTCATACGAGTATTGTATTGCGCCATCAATTTTTATACCCGGGCCGTGTTGAGCATCCGTCCTTGTCCGTACCCGTCCGGCTATGTTAGATCTTACCGAATGATGATGCAGAGTGAAAATCGGGTGGTTATCCGTTATTACTATATCGTCTTTTCGGAATTTAGACAGGTGTTAATCTACGGGTATGTGGATTTCGTACCCGGGTATGATCCGGTAGATACCCATTTCGTTCTTATGCGTTTTCATCAAATCATGTAAATCATTGATCGGGATAAGTGTATTGGTATCCGTAGGACTTGCCTATGTAAATAGTCCATAAATATTCATCGGAATTGCGGGTTAGCGACTCCTTAATTATAATCTCCAGGAGCTCAATACACTGCGAACGAAGAATTTGAAAGTCTTCTCGGATATATAAGCCTTTGTGTTGCAGTTCGCAGTGGGAATGATTTGGATCTCATCCCCCTTTATCATACTTCACTACATCAGAAGACATGATATTTCCAACTAGTCCAGTAATTGAAGAGGACTCAGTATTCCAAACCGATCCGATGTTTTGAAATGACCAAAATGTCACATCATCCAAAAGCATACCATACCACACTCAAAGTACTGTGATGGGAGACAACGCGCAACTCTTCACCTACTGTTTAACTAGTGAGCTTATTGGCTGAAGACATACTTCTTTGGGAAAACGTATAGATTCAGAAGTAGGGCTCCTTACGAGGTAGGCCTAGATATCATATATCTCTCTCCAATCCTTAATCCAGGTTGATTGATTAGCCACCCAACCAAACACATCATCCGAGTACAATAAACCCCAATTTCCCTCCAACCTCCCTCCCATATCAATATCCATAGCCTACCCATAGCCATAGCCATACCCATCCAAATCTCCCTCTAATCTCCGTTCAATTTCCCTTCAACCTCCCTCCCATATCCATTACCATACCCATTCTCCAATCTTCCTCTATTTTTCCATGCTTCAATACCAATTCAAATCCTAGTCCCCATAACCATACCAACATATTCTACCACATCATATATACATAGCACCAGAGCGGAAACCCAGATCCCTAAAATAAACACACACACACACACACACACACACACAAACATCCATACACACATCTATACAGATATAGATCCCCTTCCCCAATAACAACCGAGCCAAACGATTCCAACTCCCCAATCTCAGCTAACTGAACCAATCAATCAATCAATCAATCCAATCAAATCATAAAATAATGAGATAATGAGATATATGCTCACCAAAGCATCACCATATCATCATATCATCATCATCATCATCATCATCATCATTTCCTTCTTTCTTACACCCCATCATAATCTCCTCCTTTCTTATACTCACTATAATCATTCCATCCCCATCTGCACCTCCCCTATAATCTCTATACCCCTTATACTCCTAATACTTTGAATACTCCCCATACTCCCTGTACTCCCTATCCCAGTCCATCATCAGATTCATCACCATTATCTCCTTCTTCCCCTGTACTTCCCATCCTCACCCTAATCCCGATCTCCATCTCGCAAAATAACCAACCACTCACCCACCACCAACTCTTCCCGATTCCCATCATATCCCATCATATCAAACCATGACCATGACCATGACCATAACCAGAATCACAATCCAAATCCAAATACAACTCCAACTCTAACCACAACTAAACCCAAACTCACAATCCAAACCAAATCCACAACCACTCACCCACTAACTCCTCACAAACTCAACCCAAAGCCAAAACCCTAAAACCAACTAAATAAAATACTCGACTAACATCAACTAACTAACCAAAATGATCTCAACTATCAATCATCAACCATCAACCATCATTCATCAATACTGCATATATATACTCGTATACACTTCTTCTTCTTCTTCTTTCCCTTTTCCTTTTCCAAGTTCCAAATTTTGGAGACAGTGATGGAGATAGATAATGAGTGCGGTATATAAGTGCATTGAGTACAGTGTATAAGTGAGTGAGTGAATGAATGAGTGATATAGTGGATGAGTAATATATTAATTAAGTAAGTGCAGTCAGTATGTGAGTGACTGACTGACTGTGAGTACAGAGATAGAGACGAAGTTAGTGACAGTTTGTATGTAAGTAAGTGCAGTAAGTGAGTGAGATAATGATAGTGACAGTGAATAAGTGCAGTATGTGCAGTGCAGTGCAGTATGTAATGAACAAATGACATTTGACTAACGTTAATGAGATCTAACTGATGATACTTAACTGAAGATGACAATGTTGGTTATGCGAAAAACAAATCTCTGCTATTCCATTTTACAGTATAGTGAATACTTATTCATCTACTCGGGTATTCACCCACCCATCAATCATTCCCTACATCCCTACATCTACTCGAGTATATCTATACTATATCTACATCAGAGAAGAGAAAATTAAAAATCAACCAATAACACTGAGCTTACGTTTTGATTCCACGTATATGTGCATATAGTCATATATATATCTATACTCCGCATGTATTCATTCATTCGTTCATTCATTCATTCACTCGTATATATGTTATGTATGGTTTATGAATCCATCCACATCATCCCATCCCATCCCATCCCATCAATCCATATCCCTCCCGATTTTATCCTTTTTCTCTCTGGTGGACCTGCCCAAGCCCCAATCGTTAATGCAATGAATAGCACTCTTCATCTCATCACATCTCATCAATCACCCACCCTCTTCTAACCAACACCCCCACCCCCTATAAACCTCTTTTGCTCCCCCAAAATCTAACAACTCCAAATCCCCACCACACCACTCCTCCTTCCCTCCACCATATACCCATCCTTAACCCTACACATCTCCACGATATTCTTTTCAACCACCTCAACATTTTCCTCCCTCTCAGCTCCCACTCCACAATCCCAATGTCTTCCATCCGTTTTATCATACACTTTCACTACATCCTCCCCTGCAGCTGATACAATACGTCTAGTATCAAACATCATGCTTGTGATAGGTGCATCATATGCGTATGCATCATAGATTGCTCCTGTGCGGAGATCCCAGATCTGTTTCGTGATTAGTTATTGACACCAATATTCCTTTCCATTACATCTACTAGAGATGAATTGCGAAAGAAAAAGAAAAAAGAAAAACATACCCTAATACTCCTATCCAAACTTCCCGTAACTAAATGCACATCATCAAATTGCAAACAAGTAACCGGACCTGTATGCCCCACTAAACTCCTATGCACCTGACCACTTCTCAAATCCCACAAGCGAACCATTCCATCAGCAGTACCACAAGCAAGTGCCGCATCAAAAACTTGTACCGCGCCAACGAAGTCCGCTGTTGCATCTGGTTGACGTCCCGTTTGTCGCCATGTACCCTCGGAGGAACCCATTGTCACTGAAGCTTGCGCTGCTGCCCACATAACATCTAATGTTTGTACACATCTTCCCTTTTCTAAATCCCATTGTCTTAATGTCTTATCAGCTGAACCAGATATGAGAGTATCACCACGGAAATGAAGAGCTGTTACTTCATCAACGTGAGCTTCTAATGTGAAAAGAGGACATTCCTTCATTGTTCCTTGTGGAACATGAATTTTTTGTTCACGTTCCAAGGATTCACCAAATGCAAGATGATCTTCTTCTTCCTCCTCCTCCTCCTCCTTTTCTTCCTTGATTTTATCCTGTGCATCATAACGAGCTTTACTTAAATCCCATAAACGAATCGTAGCATCCATAGATGCAGTTGCGACGATGTTATCTTCCACTTGAAGGGCTCGTACGGATGCAGTATGTCCTTCAAGAAGTCCTATACATCTACCCGCATTCATATCCCATACTCGAACTGTATCATCTAAAGCCGAGGAAACCATGGTACCAAATGGTACATCGAAATCGAGAGCTGTAATCATATCATCATGTGCTTGAATTTCTCGAATCGAAGACCCAGGTTCGAAATGTTCATGTAAAATTGGCATAGATTTCCTTCGAATCGTTTTATGTCTTTTGGATCCTTTCGATGAAGGTGTACTTGCCCTCGAGGGAAGTTTTTCGTAAATCGATTCCGACATGAATGTGGAATCCGCCCCTGGATTCTCCGCATCATCTCCTTCATCCGTTCCAGTAAGAGATTTCCCCAATGCTTCCGCATCCTCGATTTGTTCTTGAGCATCCTCTAATCGATTCTCCACATCTAGAACTATTCCAAAGTTAGTTATACCCCGCAATTCAATATTCACAAGTGTACTCACTCTCATGCTCCAACATTGACTCTTCCTGTTCCAACCCTGCCAACCTATCCAAGACGATTCTCCTCATAGAATTGAGATTTGCGATTTTGTTATCAATCCCATGAATCTCACTACTTGCCATATTTTTCCTAATCCCCATCATTTCCAATCGATGATTCAACGTCGATTTTTCCTTCTTCAACTTCGCAAGACTAGGTGGTCCATCCCCCTCCGAACCTCCCTCACTACCATTATCAATGAGTTTCCTCCCCCTCGAGATCTTCCTCCTATGTTTCTTTCCCTGCCCCTCACTCGCATCCGGCAAAGTAGCTTGAAATCCCTGAAACAACGAATAACTATTATTATCCTCGGGTATATTTCTCAACAACTCATCTGGCAAGAAAGTCAATGCCCGATACTGAATCTCCGACGTCGACAACTTCGACCGCACCAAATCCGTCGGGGTAGTTTTCGCAAACGAAAAAACACTTCGTTGAAGATTGGGACGGCGAAGTTGTTTATGCAGATCACTCATGGCATTTTGATAGTGGGTGTTGGATGTGGGATCGATGGGTCCTATGAGATGTCCAGCGGTCGTTGTAACTTTTCTACCAAAAGCTTCTAGTCCGCGTGTCTGATTGAGATAAATACCCATTAGCACAATTGTAATTTTGAATAAAATCTATACAATATGCAAGTGGGAAATGCAGTAGAACCAAGAAACACAGCATAACATACAGATATCAAAGCCCCATCTTCGTCCTCTTCTGCCCCAAATGAAGAGGCATTACGGCTACTGGAGCCAGCCATACAAGTATCAATTCGAATAATACCTAGGTAGGTATGTCAACCTTCCTCTTGTGATTGATAATGCAATGCAGCACAAATATAAACGATAGTTTGGTTGGTTCGTTGGTTCCCCTTGAATGTGTGTGTTGGCACGATTGTGTGTTTTGTTAAAGAAATTTAAAAGTTTTTTAATTTCTTCATGCTGTCAAGATCTTAAAAGTTACAGTAAGTATGATTGATGGATTGCAGTACGAAGTACTCGTACGGAGTACTTAGTTACCTTACTGACTTTGAGCTTTTTGATTGATAGGTGGAGAAGATATGTATAAATTTGATAAATGCAAATCATAAAATTGGATAAAGGGATAATCATACACAAGAATTACTAAAAAGCTGTTCTATGTTTACCCCACCATTTCTCACCCATTATTGAGATTGATTATATGTATGGTAGGTAAGGTTGTGTAGATAACTTTCGTGATACTTAATCCAATCGTATATAATAACCCTTTTCTTCTCAATTAGTCCATATCTCTATCTCTACATCCCCGGATCCCCGGATCCGAGGAAGTGGTATAAAAACACTTCTTTTTCATACCGATATCCATGTATTTGTTTTCTTTTGGTTTCTCTCTCGGAAGTTATACGGTTTAGTTCAGTCAAGTCGAATCTAAGCTTCGAAATCTCCTATCTACATACCTACCTACCTACTTAACTTTCTTTGAACTTCAACAGTTCAATTGATATTCTACAAGTTCTCAAAATGGATGCCGCCATTGATCTATCAGATGCTTCTAAAGCTCTTGATCTCTCAAATATTCGTTTCCAACTCATGTACTTTTGCCCACTCCCCAGTCCCCCATCTTTCCCCTCCTTCCATCTCCCTCCTACACCCACCCATAGCTAATCAAACCCCCTTCCCCAGCCGCCTCGAAGACACCATAACCTTCCACCTAATCGAACGGGTCCAATTCCCCCTCAACCCCACCATCTACCTCCCCTCCGCCCTCCCCCTTCCCAACACCCACCTCTCCTTCCTCGACTGGCTCCTCCGATCACGAGAATCCCTCGATTCCCTCATCCGCCGCTTCCAATCCCCCGACGAATACCCCTTCTTCCCCGACGCCCTGCAAACCCCCCTCCTACAACCCCTCCACTACCCCGCCATTCTCCACCCCAACAACGTCAACGTCAACGCCGAGATCAAAAATCACTACATCCAAACCTTCCTCCCCAAAGCCTGCCTCCAAACCGGGCGTTCCGACCGCGGGGAGAAAGAAGAAAATTACGGTTCTGCGGCTACCTGTGATATTAATTGTTTACAAGCGTTATCTCGCCGTATCCATTTTGGAAAATTTGTCGCAGAGTCGAAGTTTCGGGCTGAAGAGGAGGCGTTTACAAAAATGATACGGGAAGGGGATCGAGAGGGATTGGGGCGCGCGATTACGAACGAGAAGGTTGAGTTGCAGGTGTTGGAACGGTTGAGGTTGAAGGCGAGAACTTATGGGACGGATCCGAGTTTGAATAATGGAAATGGGAACGGGGAACAGCCGCAGGGGAAGATTAACGTGGAGGCGGTCGAGGGACTGTACAGAGATTTTGTGATTCCATTGACAAAGGTGGTGGAGGTGGAGTATTTGATGCAGAGGTTGGAGAAGGAGTGAGTGAGTATTTGAGGAAAAGGTATTTATTGTAAAGAAGGTAGATAGAAGGACGATTATGAAGAATGTGTGTATACCCGGGTGGAATTTGAATTAAAAAAGAGTAAAAGGAATTAAAGAAACAGGAACAAATAAAAGTCATGATATTAGTTTTGAATTTCATTTCTTTCACATCCCTCAACTAGACGTACCCAAATACTCTCCCAATGCTTTAACACATTCCTCCCACTTCGCCTTTTCAATCAAAATTAACTCTCCTACTGCTCTAATCCCCATTTCTTGAAATGCCCTCTTACTATCCGCCATGCCCTCCCCCTCATCCTTCTTATAATCAAACTCCTCATAGGCACAACTATATCTCTTGAGCACCTCATCCTCGGGATGAAAGTAAAACAGCTCTCCCGACGCCTTCCCCTTCCCCTTACTCTTCTTACTCTTCGGGCCTTGTTCCTCCCTATCCAACCTCGATTCTACCTCTCGATATCCCTTCGACACCACCAAATAATATGCGAAATCATATGGTTCCCCATCTTCTACCGCCGCCTCAACTTCATCAACCAACATGCCATACATTGGTGGCGCAACCTCTGATGGCACATTAATCAAACGTTCTGCCAACACCACGCCCACATCCCCTCCCAGTTTCCCCCCTCCATTAACAACCTGATGAATTTTCCCCCCATCCTTTGCCTGACCCGCCAAATATCCCCTGAGCCCCTTAACCGCCTCACCTACATCCTTCTTCTCCCCCTTCCCCTCCCCGTTCCCCTGATGTAAATTCACCACCGTCATAAAAGCATACGCATCCGTCCCCACCCCATCAATCTTAACCGTACTGCCCACCGTCCCCTGCCTCACCACCTCATCCGCCAACCCACTCAGATCCAACAACTGTCCATCCACATCAAACAATTGACGAATCAAACTCTTGACTCCGTGAAAATCGATTTCGCGAAAGTTGAACCATTCAAAGTCGACGTTGAGGATATCTTCGCCCTGGTTATGGCATGTCTGTTAGTATATACGTTTATGGAATGTTTGTTAATATATGCCCTTCAGAGCTGGAAAAAGAAGAAGGAGTATTGTAAAAGCATAAACTAATTCCAATCCCAAGCACCCTCTCTCTCATCATCCAACCAAGCCAAAAGAAAGTAAAAAGACTCACATCACTTCCACTATCATTTTCCTCCTCCGCACTATGCGCAGGCGCATCAGAAAGTTCTTGCGGATCGCGAACTCTTTTCTTAACCATTTTGATATTGTGTATATGGTTAGATCTTCTTTTATACTTTGGTGAGTAAATTAGGATTTTGGTGAGATGCCTCGAACTCGAACTCAATAATATCGAATTTGATAATTGACCGCTTTGGCAGAACCATAAAATTTATGGAGAGGGAGAGACACTAGTGGCGGGGCATATTCTCGGTTGAGTCTCCTTCTCTCAGGAGACGATTGATTGGCGATTTGCTACTTTCACTGGAGCCTTTATTCATAAGTTACATATCGTCTTAAACTTCTTGATTCTTTGATTATCATGAACCTAAAAGTTCATATAAATGATCAACCATCCTATCTTACTCCTTCTCCTCTCCCATTTGAAAAGCCTGCTTCATCCTCAAGAAATGAATCCTCTTCAATAGCCACCATTATACAAATCAAACATGCCTCCATCCTCCCAAGTTTTGTTTGCATCCGAGTAGCAGTATACATGAATTTGGGTATATGTAATAAGAAAAGAAACTAGTGAGTAGTATCAATATAATCTAACAGCGTTCTTCCATAATCAAGCAGCAAAAAAAAATGATGCCATCATTATAAAATTAAAGCTGATTCATGAGCACATAAGCTCACGACCAGCAATCTGTGGTTTAATGCCGTATATAAAATCTAGAACGTAACGGGGCGTGAAATGTAAGTCGAATGTAAATAAGGTATCGGGTTGCGAGTGAACACAAGGGTTGGTTGAATAGATGGGTGAAGGGAATCTTAAGAGTCCGTAACGCCTATGCCGAATGAAATACGATAGTCGTGAAGCCGTGAAATTATTAAGTAAAAGAAAATAGCTAAGGGATTTGCCGTCATCATGATAGACCCGGTGGACCACCAGAGTCGGTCGAACCATCACCTTCGATTGTCCTTCTCCAATGATCTGGAAGACAAACACAAACTAATGGGAAAGCTTTAATCTCGCCACTAACGTTTGGAGATTCATCTCTTCGTCCAGATGTATTCGAGACGCCACTGTCGCGTTGCATCTTACGCTTCTCATCCCATTCATCGGCGCGTTCATTAATCATGACTCCAGTAGCCCATCCATCATCCCAAATACCAACGATCTTGAGCATATCGCCACGTTCCAAGCTAAATTCATCTCCGGCTCGTGGTTGATAGGCCCATAACGTTGCAACTTTGTCGCCAGGATGGATCTCATCTTGTGAATAGTAATCTTTGAAGAATGGAAGTTGCTCGGATTGATTACTGGCCATGCCTTGTGGTGATGACATACCAGGAGTTTGAGGATCGTCAAGGCCTAGGGCCGAACCACTAGAAAGAGACCCAGTTCGTCTATTTGGAGGTGGTCGAAGGATTCCACCTTGCATACCTGAGGTCGGACTATCTTCGAAATCACTCGATGAAGATTGATGTTCATGTCTTCGTCCAGCGGCATAACCAGCCGCGCCTCCTATTGCCGCCCCACCAATTGTCGTACCTCTGTCGTGTGGGGATGAAGAATGTCCAGAGTGAGAATTGCCTTCGAGTGCCGACATTCTAGCAATCCGTCCTCCAGGTAGGACTTCGTATCCTTCAGGTGTAGTGTTAGAATTAACGGGATTGTAAGTCATTCCAGTATTTCGGGCCGGAGTCGGTTGGTTGAGAATACTTCCATGCTGACTTCCACGTCGTCTACGCAAACATAGCGCAATGAAAAATATCAAACCAATGAGTGCAGCAAGACCAAATAATGATCCAACAACGATGCCAGCGATAGCGCCTCCAGATAGTCCCTTATTCGATATAGAGGTAGCGATTCCAGAGGATGTTGCAGTTGGAGTTGATATTCCCGAACCCGAGGCAGTACTTGTGGAGAAAATTATGAATCCTGTAATCGTAGGTAATACTACACCAGCGCAACGCGTGTCTGCTTCTGAATTATAACAGCAAGTATCTGTACTGTTTTGCCCACTCGTACCACAATATTGACACAATCCAAATGTACTATTACCAAATCCACAATTATTTGGTTCATTGATGGATCCTTCAACACAAGAACCAGTTAATGAATCTGATGGTAACGCGCAATTTGTGAAATCGGCACGAATTTGAGAAACAGCGTTGCTCCCTGGTTTTGAACATAGCTGACTATCAGAAATTATTATTGATTCGCTCTCCGCAAATTGGGCCTATATCAATCTGTCAATTCCAAGTCATGCGTTTATCCCATGCAAGAGAAACTCACGCAAGAATCTGCACAAACTGGTGGTGCTTGGGTATCTGATAAACTGCACGATGTTTTAGAATTCTGTATTATAGAATTACATATAGCTGTGGTTGTGTATCGAGCGTAAAGGTTCGTTGTGTTTGTAAGATTTATATTTCCGCATCCGAGAAGTTGCTGGTACCTGCATGATCGCGTTAGACAAAATATCGGTAATGCCAGAATAATATATGGATGCATACTTTGACTGCACATAACTTGTCTGAACATATGCATTTAATTGAGTATCGAAAGAAGCACGATCAGAAACATAGGATAGAAATGGGCTAAAATTCATAGTTAGTGTTGATCAACAAACGTTTGTTGGCATACCAGGGCGAAGTAAAACGTACAAAAGGCCAGTCAAGTTGGTATCAACTGAAGCTGAAGTGAAAGCAGGACATTGCGTAGAACCTGAAAGAGAAACACAATCTGCTATCGTGAAAGGTGCGCTTGCGAGAATTGATAATAGAGCTGTCCTGGTAAAAGATCCATTCCACCGTTGCTTTCGTTTGTTTATGCTGGCTCTTTTCCTATCTTTCGATACCACTTTCGCCATTGTTCGAGATGGAGATAATTTTAAAGGTTCGTATGCCATGCTGTTGCCGCAATGCTTCTCATTGTTCAATATCGAAGGGTAAATCGCAGTGAAGGTGTAATCGGAACTCTTTCCCAAGTTTTCCTCCCTCATAATTTCTTGTTGTAATGGTAATGGTCCTCCTTGTTGTTGGTCCATAGCATCCGAGCTCTTTGCGATTATATTCCTTCTGTCACTGTGTTCCCAGACCGTCTCTCTCAATAACCTCAGCTCAGTAAATAAAGTACCACCCAATATCCAAAGAGGTAGTTGTTGAAGGAGTTGAAAAAATTCAAACGAATGATTCTGTTAGTTTGTAACGATTGAAATTGAAATTGAAGTTGAAGTTGAAGTTGATCATGAAACCAAATGAGTGAGTAAGTGAGTGAGTGAAAGATTTAAAAAGTATTGATTTGCTCTAGAAGAAGGACCAAAGATGGTCGAAAGCCCGGTCAGCCTCTTCTTTCCCTTTTGTGACCGCCTTCTTATTTTTTCTTGATTGATTCTGTAGATCTTTTTGTACTCGTAGCTACAGTATTGTATTGGTAGATTTAGGGTTTAAAGTTTCAGTCTCTAACCATCTAGAGAAGGAAAAAAGGAAAAGGCCTATAAAGGAACAGACCCTGAAATTCAAGTACATAGGTATGAAAAGAAAGGTTTGGCTTTTGGCTTTTGGCTTTTGGGCATGGCCGGATTAAAGTCTGAAAAAGGTTGAAGTCTGCGCTCAAACCAAAAGTGGAATAAAGATAAGATTCACTATACGCATGGCATCCCTTGTAGATGACAGGGAGTATTAAGATGAGGTAAAGCAAAGACTAGATTGATTCTCTCTGGGTAAAAATCAATTAATAGAGTACAAGTACAGTAGTGAAAATTCGTTGGGGGAATGGCTCCGAAGAATTATTGTGACTTGGTTGGGGTTGTAAACTTGTGAGTTTTATATGTAACCTAATATTGATAGAAAGATGCTATGCGATGTAATGCAAGTCTGAATATATTTCTTTGGGAGAAAGCTTGTAGGAGGCTGTGATTTTCTGAGTTGTCATAAAGAAGGAATGGAAAAAAGAATAAGCAAACATGAATCGCTGAAGTTCATCGAATAAACAACCTCATTATCGGATGAACTTCATATACTTCCTTGTCCCGCCCCCCGCTAAGGTTAAGGGGGGTTCCCGTTCTAGTCATGAACTGGTACTCTACGAAGTACGGTACTTCCAATGACCTCTAGTCATATAACTTGTACTCGAATACAACTCCAACACATTTCAGAGGGGTCCACAATAGAAATATGTCAAGTATCTAGGAAAAAAATGCTTGTTCTGTCAAGTCTGTAAGTTGCCGCTTTTCGGCCCAGGCTTCTCAATGCCGAATGTATGGCTAATACTCCGTTCGGATTAGGTGAAGGAAGGGGGTTGGGAAATGAGAAAGATGCAACTCTCCATGGTCCAATCGATTCGTTGTATCATCAATATTGAAGCATTGTAATGTCGTCGTTGTGTCTGGTTATTTAAACCTATAGTACAAAGGTACTTGAGTGTCACTAATGATTGACTTGTAGTGCCACAAAAACTTTTCTTTGGGGCAATTCATTTTATTATCTGAACTCCGCATGGGAAACGATATACTGGTACAAAGGTAGAGAGAAAACAAGGTCAACCTTATCATATCATTCCTCCCAAATTCCTCCAGTACAAAACATTTAGGTCATCTCCAGAAAAATAATGCCTCATAGATCCCCATGTAGTCGCAAACGCATTGATCTGCATCGCTTCCAGTATATAAGTTGTTGCCCTTGCTAGTTGTCTTCGCCGAAGTCGATGCCATTGACTGTGAATCCATGATGAAGTCTCAGAATCCTTGGTGATCGCGCTGCTTACCCTAAGTCTCTCGGAAATGAAGTACTGAGGACGTGCATGCTATGCTGCAAGGGAATCTTACCAGTTTAGATCTCTTTATTCGTTTTATTGTCTGGAATATGAAGTCATAAGATTAAACTTAAGCTGCGCTTCTTGATGCGATATAATTCATTCGGAGAACATTCCATATATTGGTTGCTCTCGCATCGTACATCTTTTCTCGTCTGTCAGTCATTCTTTGAATCTAGGTGGCGGCCGCTCGAGTCACAGTGTGGAAGCGGGGGCTTGTTTGGAGTGAGATTGCCGATCATGAAGAAGGACAAAACAAGCAACAACATCAACAAACTTATTAAGTTACCATTTCATTCATCATGATGATTTTGAGAAAAAATGTAGATCAATCACCAAGATAATCAATTGTTCTGGAAGCTTCCTCGCCCTATAATGATCGACAATAGAGGGATATCAAAAAGGCCAATCAATTTTGCATCAAAGATTTTGAATCGGGTAGTAGGTGGAGAGAAATGTTCTATGCTTTTCGAGTTCTTCGAGTCAACACTATCCATTTACTGAGCCTTCATCAAGAAGAGCGGGTATCTTACATACTAGATGAATGTCTAGTGACGTTTGTTCCTGTGGTAATTCTAAAACTTGGTGCTTTGATAGCAAGTAGCAAGGCGAGGTCTCATTATGACGTATTGTCTATCAGTCCATCAACTATTTTAAAGTCAAAGTAGTACCCGTCAATAGCTTTTTGTTCTTCATACTCATAACACTCAAAACAAACAAACTCATAATACTTCACATTATCTATACTCCTACTTCAAATTCACATCAATTCAAAACAAATCAATACAGAATGAGCTCAAACGTCGATAACACCCTTAACGAGGCTGGTGATAGATTCCATGAAGGAAAGGAGAACAGCCATCTTGCACTCGATTCCAGTAAGATTGATCACATCCTCGGGTGGCTTAGTACTGTCAACTAATCATTCAATCAGAGGATGAGAGATCTATTGCAAATAAGTTAGCTCGTGAAGGGCAACGTGAGAATGAGCCCGAGGAGATGAGCAAGGAGGATAGAGCCGCCAAGCAAGATGCTACTCTCCCAGTAAGTTGTTACCCTACACATCCCTACCCCATTTGCACATCATTCCGTTCTACTGAATGTCCGATCTGTGTTGAACAGTTTGGGATCATCTCGTTTACTGTTAGAGCATGTACTAAGTCCTCACCCAATAGGCCAAGATGCACGGCAATGAACCCAGCAGAGGTGCCACGATCGACCAGCAATTAAGAGATGAGGAGGAAGCTGAGTTGAAGAGAAAGGGAAAGGCTTAAATGGATTACATACATATATATGTATGTGTTACAAGCAAGTAAAGAACATATACCTTTCGGTATATTTCATGGAATGATAGGTTATGTAAATGACCTATCGATGGAGTTATGATAAGGGCTAGAAAATTGTACTGTACTATATAAAGCTAGCAATGGCAATGAATGAAAGATGATACCATAATCAATGACTCTGATAACTTCAATAATCTCATTTCTGTCCAAGAGTGGCCCAACAAGTCTAGGACAAGTGACAGTGAAGCATTAGCGTGCAATGAAGTATTCTTGAATTTTTTTTGGATAAATTGGGATTTTGGTAAGCTGAACCAATTTGGAAAGCTATACTCGAGTACTCGAGTATGAAATATCATTTTCCCATTCATACATACCTAGACTCACAAGTTCTTTGGAAGATTAACAATTTTTCGAATTAGGCCGTCTCTACCTAGCTTAGTCATCAATATCGCTCGTGAGCCATCGTCATAAAATCGACAACCACAAATCTGTTGCGCGAATAGCAACAATTCTCTAAACATTTGGTGAATATGATTCACTATCACATGTAATTACACCTCACCACAGCTTCTGAAAGCTTTAGGTGCTTATTCCCGTATACAAACGTATCCAATTTCACGCAGATGAACCTCAGTCCATTACAACCATGGGTCAAGGCTTCTCCCTCACAACGCTCTCTGCGGGCTCCGCAGGTATCGATGTTCCGGAGCTCTCAGATTTGGTATATGAGAAGTCCATGGGAACTGCTCGATTCATGAAAAGCATTCGCGCCCGGAGCCAAGATGGAGTTGTGCTTGTCAAGGTTGTTGTCAAGCCTTATGCCATGGATCTTAAGAAGTATAGGAAAAAGATAATCCGTGAGTAAAGTATATGGAATCTTGCCGATAGAATCTAACATATGTTTTTTAGGAGAACGAAAAGCTCTAGCCGATGTCCCAAATGCGCTTCCCTATCAACGAATCGCGGAAACCGAGACAAATGGATATCTTGTTCGACAATATCTATATAGCTCCATCTACGATCGCATGAGCACGAGACCATTCTTGGAGGATATCGAGAAGAAATGGCTTGCATTTCAGCTGTTATGCGCGGTTCGTGATTGTCATGCTCGAGACGTATTTCATGGAGATATAAAGACGGAGAATACATTAGTCACTTCATGGAACTGGTTATACCTATCGGACTTCTCTTCTTCTTTCAAACCAACAACATTGCCAGAAGACAATCCTGCGGATTTCTCCTATTATTTCGATACTGCTGGACGAAGAACCTGCTATTTAGCGCCAGAAAGGTTCTTGGCTACAGGAGAAACCCCGGATCCTAAAGCACCGATTACGTGGGCTATGGATGTCTTCAGTGTCGGCTGCGTGATCGCGGAGCTTTTTCTAGAGACCCCTATTTTCACACTGAGTCAATTATACCAATATCGAAGAGGAGAGTATGATCCAGGTACCTTATTGCTCAATCGAATAACAGATAAAGATGTACGAGAAATGGTGTCGCATATGATACAACTAAGTCCGGAGTCCAGATACTCGGCAGAAGAATATTTACAATTTTGGAGAAAGAAAGTCTTCCCAGACTATTTTTACAGCTTTTTACATCAATACATGGGTTTAATTACGGATCCGTCCTCAGGAAGAACGCCGATATCTGGATCATCGGCCAACCTTGGTGAAGCAGATGAACGTATTGATCGTATCTACTACGACTTTGACAAGATTTCGTACTTCTTAGGCTATGAGAATGAGAAACCAACACCAGCTACCAAGAGTCTTTCTACAGGAACAAGCTTACAACCTATACCTGTACATCTCAACATCCCGAACAATGAGCATTTCGCTTCTGCTCTTGGAAGACGACCTGTAGATGATGGGACTTTGATCTTTCTAGCTTTAGTTATATCATCAATGCGAAATACTGCAAGGGCTACTGCAAAAATTCGGGCTTGCGACATATTGCTAGCTTTTGCCGAAAGACTTACTGATGAAGCAAAATTAGATCGGGTTCTACCATATATCGTGACATTACTCTCGGATAAATCGGAGCTTGTCAAAGTAACAGCTATTCGTACAGTAACCCAACTGATGGCTCTCGTTACAGTGGTCTCACCCATAAATGCACATGTGTTTCCGGAATACCTCTTACCTCGCATGCAAATATTTCTCCCAGGTTCAACCACAGAACCTGACTCTCTGGTAAGAGCGACTTATGCAGCATGTCTAGGAAGCCTTGCGACTTCTGCCTCCAAATTTCTCGATATGGTTGCAACTTTGAGATCAGATGGTTCGCTTCCTACTACAGACCCGGATGCCGACGATGCTGCCAACGGAGAAGCCCCATTTCAAGGGCTATTTGATACAGCTCGAGCTGAGCTCATTGAGATCTTTGAAGGGCATACAAAGGCATTGATTACGGACAACGACTCTGCTGTCAAGAGAGCTTTCCTGGGATCGGTGCCAGAGCTATGTATGTTTTTTGGCACAGCAGACTCGAATGATATTATTTTGAGTCATCTAAACACTTACTTGAACGATCGAAACTGGATGTTGAAATGTGCCTTCTTCGAGACCATTGTGGGGGTGGCCACTTTCCTAGGTGGTACCAGCCTCGAAGAGTTCATACTGCCGTTGATGGTTCAAGCTCTTACAGATCCGGAAGATTTTGTAGTAAGAAGTGTTCTCCACTCATTTGCCGACATGGCACAGCTAGGTTTATTCCAGCGGTCAAAGATATGGGAAATGGTAGATGTGGTCAGTCGATTCACAATGCATCCGAACATCTGGATTCGGGAGGCGGCGGCCAATTTTATCTCATCAGCAACTATTTACTTGTCCAGCGCCGACGATTTATGCATTATCTTACCACTGATTCGACCATATCTCAAGACTGGCATCAATGATTATTCAGAGTTATCACTACTTGACGCATTGAAGAAACCACTTTCGAGGGCGGTCCTTGACATGTCCATAAATTGGGCTATCAAAGTGGATAGAGGCATATTTTGGAAACCAGTTCATCAATTACGAACATTCTCTTTTGACTCGAGTAGTTTTGTATCGACTATTTCATCGAAAGAGACAGGCCATCACGCCTTACAGAGGATACCAAAGAACGAAGAAGATGAACAGTGGTTAACAAAACTTCGAAACATAGGAATGAGTCAGGACGATGAAGCGAAGTTGCTTGCCTTGAGAGAATACATATGGCGTCTTGCACCTTTGAAAGCTAGAGAAGGTCCAACGCATCCAAACTATCTCAATAACGTCATCAACCTCAGAAGCTTCAATATTACACCACAGACAGTAATGTTTGATGAACAGATTACAGAAGAACCGCCTCGCAAAATAAATAACGGCTTAGAGGACAATGGAGAACAACACTCTATTGCCGATGCTTTACTTGATGCCTCCATGACTATTGATAATTCAATTGCTAAAAGAAAACGCTCTGCAATCAATAGTCACAGATCGAAGGCCGGCATACCAATTATCACCAATGGACTAGAGCCACACTCTCCAACGTTGTCACCGGCATTCCTATCTTCTAATGATACCTCAACACCAAGATCAGTGTTAACACCGCGAAAGGGATCTTTAGCTCGTCCTGGGACTTCAGACACATCTGGACAGATGAGCGATGATGGTACAGCGTCACTGTTGGGAGCTACATCTATCAACTCGGGGGATACTATTCGTGGTATTCATCATAAATCTTCTGCTATGACTCTCATGAATCGTAATGAATCGGGAAAGAGTGTTCCCGAGACAGGTACTACTTCGACAAATGCTATTGGCAAGGTTGAAGGACCATTCACACAATTCGCATCTCAGCCCTCGCCAATTACCCTGGCAAGAGATCAAGATGGGAATGGGAAGGATGAAATTCGATTCAGGGCAGCTCATACCTATTCAGGTAACGATCCAAATATACTCAAAATGTTGGACGCCATGTATGTGGATAATTACCCCAATGATATCGCGGAATTTGGACCTATGATCGCCCCTTCGAGTCGACGCCGAGCTATCAGTAGGAATAGTAATCAAGCCGCGGATAAACCATGGAAACCTGAAGGTACACTTGTTGCTACTTTTGCTGAGCATGTTGGACCTATACATCATATCGCCGTTGCTCCAGATCATGTATTTTTCCTTACTGGTGGAGATGATGGTTGTGTCAAAGTCTGGGATTCTGGTCGACTCGAGCGGAATATTGCACATCGTTCTCGACAAACCCACAAACACGCAAATGACGCCAAAGTCACTGCGTTGTGCTTTGTGGAGCACACACACTCGTTCGTGAGTTGTGGAAGTGATGGGAGTATCAACGTAGTCAAGATTGACTGTATTCAAAGTGGTGGAGTGGGAAGATATGGCAAACTTCGCCTTTTGCGTGAATATCAGCTCCCGAAAAACGAATTTGCTATCTGGGCAGAACATTTTAAATTAGAGACAAACTCGATTTTACTCATTGCCACAAATCGTTCGAGGGTATTGGCTATTGATTTAAGAGCCATGACACTCCTCTATACTTTGAAAAATCCCGTGCACCACGGTACTCCAACATGTTTTTGTATCGATAAGAAACGTAGTTGGTTACTACTAGGAACTTCACATGGTATCTTGGATCTATGGGATCTACGTTTCAAGGTCCGTTTAAAGGCTTGGGGTGTACCAGGAGCCACATCTATATACAGAATTCGGATCCATCCTACTAGAGGTCGAGGAAGATGGGTATGTGTTGCTGGTGGTAGTGGACAAGGAGAGATTACCGTCTGGGATGTTGAAAAGACGCAATGTCGAGAAGTATATCGCAGTGGATCCAGTCGAGAGGCACCAAAGAATTATGAACCTTGGCCCGTTGATGAGGATCGACCAGAAGGTATGCTTGGTCGTTTTGCAGGAGCTCTTGAACCAACAGCCAGTGTTTCAGATTATGGTATTCGTGCTATGATCACTGGTACTGATTCTAATGATGATGGCCATGATGTGAAATATGGTTTTATTATCACTGGTGGCTCAGATCGGAAGATCCGGTTTTGGGATTTATCACGCGTAGAAAGTTCAATGGTCGTGAGTGGTTTAGAGACTGATGAACTCAAACCTTCATATACAAGCTCACATCCTACACCAATACTTATATTGAACAACGAGCGAGTTCCCAGACAAACACCAACGGCTCCTAATGCAGGGACAAGAGATAGAGGCAAGGACGGAGATAAATCTGAGGGGAACAGCAAAGGAACTGGAAAGGCGCCAAGGAGTACGGTCATCTCATTGCAAGGACAGAAGTTATTAAGGGCGCATTTGGATTCGATTTTGGATGTGGCGTTGTTAGAAAGTCCTTATGGGATGATGATTAGTGTTGATAGAGGGGGCGTTATCTTTGTCTTTCAGTGAATTGGAAGAAATAATGAGAGTACCGGTATATGAGGGATATGAGTTATGGGAATGGAATTGGTGAAACACTAATAAGCCTCGGAGTCGAAGATGTGGAATGGAGTCATTGTAATTTTGACATGAGTGGTATACATAGAATGAGCAATAGGCTCTTGGATCTATCAGACAATAGTGAACAATTAATGAAATATAATATCGTAACTCTTATTTACCATTCATTATGATGATATTTTGGACGGAAATAAATCTTAGAATGAGATGAATGGCTCTATCAAAGGCTGGCAATCCCAATAAAGTTAGCGCAAAATTAAGCTTAGCTCAACTCAGGCTTCACCAAAATAATTTCGAGATTGCGAGGGTCATATACAAGATACAAGATCATCAGCCTTGCCGACCGCACCACATTCACGTCCACCCTCTTTCTCTTTTCTTCCCCTCCCCATTTCATACCACAATCTCCCTACTCACTCTAACATATTTATTACCTACCAATTTACCTACCCCCACCTCAATTAAACACCAATAAGCAAGCAAGCAACCATGCGTCTCACATCCGACCTCATCCAATCCTCCCTCTCCTACCTGAATCCGCTCAAGGAGCGCGAATTAGATCTCCGAGGTGCGTTTTCTTTGTATCTGTGCATGGGTGTATATGCGCGATTCTGGAGAGGAAATAAAGAGGAAATTGATGTTGATACGGGGTTTTTGGGGATGTGCAGGTCATAAGATTCCGGCGGTGGAAAATTTGGGGGTTGCTGGGGTGAGTCTTGGGGGGTTTTTTTTCCTTTGATTTTTGGGTTTTTGGTGGTTGTTTTGTGGTTGCGGCGGGGGCTTGGGTTGGGGCGGGAAGGGGAGAGGGGAGGAGAGGAGAGGGAGAAGATGCGTAGATGCTGTTGGGTTTCTGCGTGCTTGTCCTTTGGCTCTGGCTCTGGCTCTGGCTTGCAAAATCGTCAACTCGCAGACTCATAACTAACAAGAAACAGCCACACGACGCAATCGATTTCACCGACAATGATATACAAACCCTAAGCAATTTCCCACTCAGTCCTCGTTTACGAACGCTTCTCCTAGCTCGCAACCGCGTGTCGAGTATTTCTCCTACATTGGCGAATTCGTTGCCGAATTTGACGACGTTGGTTTTGACGAGTAATAGTGTGGCAGAGTTAGCGGATTTAGATGGATTGGCGGGGTGTGCGAGGTTGATGAGTTTGGTGCTGATGGAGAATCCGGTGGCGAGGAAGGAGGTGGGTTATTTTGTTTTTGTTTTTGGGGAGTTTAGAGTAGGGAACGGGGATTGTATGAGTGATGGCTTAGAAGTAAAATGATGTGAAATGACTGAGGGCTAATCGATGCATGGGGGTATAGCATTATAGAGAATGGATTCTCTTCCGATTTCCCAATGTGAGATTTCTGGATTATAAGAAAGTCAAGGTAGCAGAGAGAGAAAGAGCGAAAGAATTATTCGGTACAGCTGCGGAACCATCTGCTCTTGCATCAAAGGTACGTTTCCGTTTATCCTCTTTTCTCACTACTATACTAACACAATCCTTTACCAGATCATGGGCATCAAATCTCACACCTTCGATACAACCAGCCCTACGAACGGCGCATCCACATCCTCAACTAATAAATCCTACCGCATCAAGCTTACCGATAAAGAACGAAAGAGGGTTGAGGAGTTAATCAAGAATGCAAAAAGTTTACAGGAGATTATCAAATTGGAGAAAGAGTTGAATGAAGGAAGGATTCCGGCTGCCGCGCAAGGTGATGATCCGATGGAGGAATAGAGGGAGAGCGAGAGAGGGAAAGGAGAAAAATCCTTGTGGTGCTATAAATGAGTGGCTATAATAAATGCATACGCGAGGCGCTTTAAGCCGGGCTGATATGGTATGAAAGGAAATGAGATGAGATGATTTTACATCATATTACACAGAGGAAGGAATGAGAGAAAATATACTGCATGGTTTGCACATCACTGGGCGATTTTTTTGAAATCGTGTGTGGATATATCTGTGATGGAATGAAATAAATAGCATACATAGTATTCCACACAAAGAACAGGTCTACAGCTTGCAAGTCAACCACTATATCTCAATCATATCTGTTTCCCAGATCTTGTGACGCGATGTCTTTTTATAATTAATACATACACGGGCACAAGTCCCAACCCTTTCACACGCAAGCAACCCACCAACCAACGGACACTTCTACGATACGCATTTCTCTTCCATCTTCATCTATCTCATCCTCTTATTCTTTGCCACCACTAACGATAGCAACAACACAACAACAACAGAGACCCCGAGATCCGGAATCCACCTAGACTAGCTCAGCATAGCTTAGCTCATCTCAACATCTTCCTCCTCCTCTTCTTCTTCCTCATCATTATCATCATCATAATCGTCATCATTAGCAAGACTCTCCATCCTTAATTGGGCATTAGGATCTTCGTCTTCGGTGGCTCCGGAACTGGTTTTTCGGTTGGGTTTGTTGGTGGGAGTGAAGCCGTTGGTGTGGTGGTGAGGTGGAGAGTGAGGGTGAGGGTTGGGGTGGCTGGTTTCGTGGATGGTGGGGGTGGGATTGGGGATGGGGTTGGGGGATGGATGGGTTGGATGGAGTTGAGGTTGGGGTGGGGAGTGGGGTTGGAGGTAATTTTGGGGTTGGGATTGGGATTGGAGGTATTGTTGGGGTTGAGGTTGGGCCTGGGTTTGATGTTGGGATTGATGTGGATTTTGAATATAAATTCGGTTGAGGCCTGGCAAGAATGAAGAAGCGGAGTCCAGGAGGCCGGAGACGGAGACGCGTGGGGGTGCGGTGTCTAGGGATGGGGAGTAGGTGTTCGGGTTTGAGGGGCCGGCGTGGGAGGGGCCAGCATATGAAGAGGGGTCGGCGTGAGAGTTTGTGGGGGTAGAGGTAGAGTGGGTAGTTGGGGGGACAGTGTATTTGCTGGGGATGAGGGTGTTGGGGAGGTGAGCGTTGGCTTTTACGATTTTGAGGGGGACGGTGCGTGGAATAATGTCGGAGAGGAATTCGAGGTTGTCGACGTGGGAGACGGCGGAAGCTGAGAGGGTGGGGTGGCGTATTAGTGTGTATGAAGGGAGAAGAGAAAGGACAGGAGGGACGACGTACAAAGATCACGGTATTGAATATTGCGGCGAGGTTTGCGTTCAGACTTGACAACGTTATGACCTGATTCGGCCATGTATTGGATGAACATTTCCTTGTGTATTTTAGTTTTGGTTTGAAAATATCAAATGGGGAGAGAAACTTACGGTGGCTAGAGTGATTACAAATGCAGCATTGTTAGAGCACATATTTATGTCTTGATCTGTCCCGATAATCTTCTTTATACGTGATACTGGTAAATATTAGTTGGTGAATGAAGGACTCAAGGTAGTTTGAAGCTTACAGGGTAATTGGTTTGTCCCTGTTGCCTCGTTACTGGAAGGCATGATAGAGGATCGTCGATCTTGAAGATTAAACGTTCCCGAAGGCATTGATTATGTAGATTTGAGGCTTTAGAAGCTAAACGGCTCAAGGAGGAAAGTCTATTGGATATTTAGTTATAAAGGCAATAATGGATGTGATATGCAAAATGATTGTGAAAGAAGTGCAGATATTGGAGGAGACTAGTGAGTATTGCCATATGTTAAGGCTTGATACCTTCACTGAGATAAAAGTGGTGGAAGTTCAACACTCGTTATCCAATGCTCATGTGTAGAACAATTTGGGAATCCAAACGATAATCACGTGCCTTGTGACTAGGGGATAAACCTGAGCAAACAGTAGATGCGATAGTCTTTGTCAAATGAAGCCGATTCAGATTCAGCTTTGAATCGAATTACTGTTGAGTATATTCAAGAGAGTGTTCTGATACACATGAAGCTTTTGCCAAATCGCGAGGTTATGAAATATCAAGCTTTCTCAAAAGAGGGAAGGAGTTTCAAACTCTGCGTTCGAAATCAAAATTACCCATTGCAAAAAATAAAATATCGCGTACCTTTGTGAAAATATGATGATATTTAGTGTTCATTGAAGTTGTCGAGAAGTATCTATGAATACATACAATTGGGTTGTTCTCAAGAGATTGAGGAGGTAAACAAAAAAGAAACTATTGATACTTTCACGTGTTTGAGGACTCAGACCCTTCTTTTATTGATTATATAAGCGTAGGATGTGTATCCCTGTAACTCCGCAAACGAACATATGTCACGTGACTGATCCTTCTTTTCGCTCTCAAGGAAGTGAGAATGACCGATCCTCTTAATTCCTTTTCCAAAGAAATACACATATATGCCTCCAGAGTCCAGACCCAGACTCTACGATCTATGTTTTTTATTAATAAGTGTATAGTTACACTGACTCTATCAAAAAAAGATGGCAAGGCCAGTCAACATTCCTCTCATACTTCTCATACTCTGGTAGTCTTTGTTTACATACCTACCTACCTAGTAGTGTAGTCATGACGCTGGTACTTAGACTAATCAAAGAGTATAACTTGGAAATTGTGACAATTTGAAAACTTAAAAACCATAAGGGTCTATTATAATTATAATAAATGGAGAAGTCACCAATTGTTATCTTGGCTCGTAGCAGCTACCGTCTTATTAGCTATTTTGGATACCCAAGTAAGTGACAACTGAAAAGCAGTTTCCCCTTCCCGTCCGTACCAGTGGAGTTCCTTCTTCCAACGTCATGTTCTTGAGTGCCAGGTAGATCTTCAAATCCCTCTGGACCTCTTCAATTCCTTTTGAACTGTTACAACACAATTATTTTGGGTATTTTATATTTACTTTCAAAATGAGTTCTGTCCCTGCACTTAATCTTAATCATTTCATTTGTACTTTGGGAGAAGCGAAAAGCAGAAAACTAACTCCAGTTAATGAATACGACACGGTCAACGGATTCTTCGATTACCACGCTGAGCATAATGGAGAAGAATTAGCTATAGCAATTCCTGAAAAGTGCTCCGAACAACACTTTGACAATGCGAGTACCTCGAATGCCTACACTGATCATGTTAAAACTTTCAACGGTAACGGATCGAGAGGAATCTCAATTGGAGAACTATCATCCGCAAGAGGATCAGAGGATTCGACAAGATGGAATGTTCAATTTTATAGCTTTCGAGAACTACGAGCTCATTCATTGAAGCTCGCCAGGATTTTATATCGTCCCGAGAGATACATATTTGAGAATCGAGCTACAGAACATCAGAAGTGTATTGGCCTCGTGGGTAGGAGTGATCAGGGTTTCCTCCTCATGTGGCTGGCGTTAATGAGATTGGGAGTCTCTGTTTTAATCATCATGTATGTGTCAAATGCCTTCAACTTCGATGCTACATTGCTAGGTTTATGAGAAAACTTAAGATTGATTACTGACACACTATAGGCCATCATGTACCTCGGAAGCTGTCCAGCATCTTTGCAAACAATGTAACGTCAATATCGTGTTTTACGACTCTACCCTTCTAGAACATCATGCAGAAGCTTCGAGACTCAGGAAAGCATCCAATCCTTCATTTACAATGCGACAATATACAGGGAGAGATATAGTGAAACAACTCAAACGCCCTGAGAGAACCCATCTTACGGCCCCACGTATGGTCACAGCTAATGACATAGCTTACTTTCACCATACTTCTGGCACTTCAGGCCTTCCCAAACCTATCCCCTACTCTCACCATGCTGCATGCGGAATATTGCCAATCTTGCATGGCCGAAATACAATGACTTTTACCACAACACCTCTTTTCACTGGTGGTATTGCGGACTGTTTTCGTGCCTGGACTAGTTTATCAACAATCTGCCTTGCTCCTGACGATGGTCAGTCACTTACCTCTGAGTTGATTATTAAATATTTTTCGCAAGCACAACACGGCTACAAAATACTCACACCTGGATTATCAGACCCATTACGAAAATCGATGTACTTTTCTTGCGTTCCAATGATAGCTCAGATGCTCTCTCAAACCGCAAGAGGACTTGCATTTCTTCGCACGATGGATATTGTGGGTGTAGGTGGAGCTACTTTGCCAAAACAAACCGGAGACTTTCTCGTCTCGATGGGAGTCAACCTTGTTTCTCGTCTCGGCAGCGCAGAGTGTTCATTTGTTCTTTCCTCTCACCGTAATTACGATCAGGACAAAGATTGGGAATATCTCAGGGTACCAAATGGTGTTCCTTATCTCAAATTCGAGCCACTCGATGATGATTCTGGTAGATTCGAATTGGTAATAAGAAATGGCTGGCCACAGATGGCAAAGAGAAATCGAGACGATGGGAGCTGGGCAACGAATGATTTGTTTGAGCCACATCCTTCAATCAAGAATGCATGGAAAATTGTGAGTAGAAGGGATGCTCAAATCACTCTTTTGACTGGGAAGAAATTCGATCCTATTTTCATTGAAGAGGCAATCAAGAGATTTCCCCTCGTAAAAGATGCATTCATTTTTGGAAATAGACAGGTATACCCTGGAATAATAATTTTCAAGTCGGAGACTGCTGCCTTTACGGACGACGAATCCTTCAGGGATATGATTTGGCCTTATGTTGAAGACTTAAACAACAAAATACCAAGTCACGCCAAATTGTTCAAAGACATGTTGGTGATAAAGACGGACACCCACTTGTTGGCAAAAACCGAAAAAGGAACCACCAAAAGGGGGTGGGCCGAAATATACTATGATGCCGATATCAAAGATGCTTACAAAAACAAGGCGATAGTATTCAACGGTGAAGTCTCATTGGAAACGGTAATGGACATTGTCAAAAAAGCCATTGGCACTCCAACAGAACTGCAATACGATTCGGACTTCCGGGTTCACCATATTGATTCTGTCCAGGCGACACGTATCCGATCGCATCTCACTTCGGTACTAAGGCACTTTACTCTTGAATTCTGTATTTTGACGCTGATGAAAGTGTAGGCATTCTCTAGCGCATCCAAGACCAAATCTTTCCCATGGAATTTAGTGTACCAATGCGGAAGTGTCAGAGCGTAAGTACTCCATCATTGATAGTTTTAACTACTGATTTGACAATCACTCGTCTTACTACGAGTATTGGGTCAAATATGTTTACAAGTGATTTTTTGGCTGTTCGATCATTTGACCAAACGTTCTCAAGGCGATCAAACTCATTTACAGCAGTGAGTAGCTAACGACAATGATTTAGACTTACCGAATACATCAAAGCTTCTCAGGATGAATCCATCCATCGTGATGATGAGGATGAGAGTGAAGCGCAACGGATGATTAGCATTGTCAAACATTATGGCAACTCTTTGATGGACGACACGACGGAAGCATGTACGAAATTTGACGGGACTCTCGAAGAAACCATAGTAAGGATTCAATCCGATAGTATGCTGAATTCAATACTGAGCGACTATACAGATCATAACAGGAGTCACTGGTACCCTTGGTGTAAACATCGTCAGCGTGTTGCAATCTTTACTTGCAAGTCGCAACGCACTTCGGATTGTTTGCTTCGTTCGAGCCAAGAATGACAAAGAGGCGCACGGGAGAGTAGAAGAAGCGCTGCGCTATCATGGTCTTTACCATCAAGAAACTGCCGCAAAACTTGAATGCAGAGCAGTGAAACTGGATCAAACTGAATTGGGCCTATTAAGAGATGTATTGCTTGATCTTCGCCAATATGCAACCACAATCATTCATGTAAATTTTCCCCACCTACTCACTATGTTTGACACACTTACTGATTTCAAATTTTAGGCAGCCTGGGAAGTTAACTTCTCCATTCCGTTGAAAGACTTCACGGAGCAATTTCAAGGACTTCGCAACCTAATCAATTTCTCTCTGTCTGGGAAAAGCCCAAAACACCTGGTCTTCTGTTCATCTACCGCGAGCTTGGCTAAAGCTGACATCGATACAACCATGGCGAAAACTATTGCAGAAAGTGTAAACCGCAACCCCTTACTTGCTGGTCCTTTGGGCTACTCGAAGAGTAAGTGGGTTGCCGAGGTGATCTGCTCTTTAGCATGTCAAAAAACAAGAGCGAATATTAGTATCTTGAGGATTGGTCAATTATCGGGCAACACTATCAATGGAACTTGGAATATGAAAGAAGCTTGGCCACTAATGTTGAGTACCGGGGCCCCTGGATGTTTAGATTCCCTTCCAAAACTCGATGTGCCACTTTCCTGGCTTCCAGTTGATATAGCAGCTTCAGGCGTTATTGATGTTGCACTGCGCAAGACTTGTGAAAGGCCTTTACTACCTCCGCCAGCGGAAAATGAAGCGGTTGTTTTCCATCTAGTCAATAACTCTACGAAGGTGACATGGGAGCACTTGTTGAAATGGATTGGTCACGAAAAGAAAACAGAGGAATTTGGAAATTGGCTGCAACGTGCCGAGTTACCCGGTACCAAAGGAGGATTGAGAGACGAACATCCAGCAAGATCGTTACTTGGCTTTTGGAAAGATATGGACGGAAATAACAAGAATGATTCTTCGGCCGAGCCATCGTTTGGTCTTTTTAGAACAAGACAGGTTTCCCCGGTCATGAGAGCTTTTACTGACGTTGATGCCCACTATGTGAGGAAGATTTGGCTTTGGGTTCAGACTGTGGTACAGAGATGGGAGGACGAAGAAAAGGGTAAACAAAAGAAGCAATCTGAAGATGAGGGCATCAGTGGTGTTACAAGCGAATAGAGTCGATGATGGGATAGATGGACTCGATTGCTGGTCATGAATAGCGATGGCTATGATTACAAGTATGACTTATAGATGTATCGTAGTATACTTTTCGATTGTCGGGTACTTGGTATCTGTGTATTACCATTAGAGCACTAGTCCAAGTATTAGAATAAAGGCATCTTTTCTTTTTCGAGACGGTCCATTACATTGACTGAGAATTTCTGACTTGATGATCGGTGCTCGGTGCTCGGTGCTCGATGCTCGAGTGTTCGTTATACATTTTTAATTGAAATTTGGCTGAATTATGGCACTTGAAGGGGTTTTATACATCTGACTTCACTTCTTGGATTGAAGTCATTTACTGTTTTTAATGTATAATATTTTTCGAGAATTAGATTTGTAGTAGAAGCTCACCGGGGATTAAATCTCGCCAATTACTTTCGATGCCTTAGGAATAATGATCCGTCGCAAGGCATCAAAATTGTATGTACTTGTAACCCAAGCTCAAACCGAGCTTCCATCTCATCCAAAATCACCTCCATTCTTTTCGCAACAACGAAAAGAAACCCGCCACCATGTCTACCAGCCAATTACCCAGTGGCTCACCACCACCAAACGCTACGTACGTGTCATTGCACCCCGACACGTTCTAGCCCCCCATTCCCAAATCACTAACCAACCCCCATAGACTCTACATCAACAATCTCGAAGAAACGATCAAGCCCGCTGCGCTGATCGAAGCGCTCACCGAGCTCTTCTCCGAGTACGGCACCATTATTGAGATTATTGCCAAGACGAATTTTAAAGCCAAGGGACAGGCCTTCATCGTGTTTGATCATGTAGATTCTGCGACTAAGGCTATAGAGGATATTCAGGGCTTTGAGCTTTTTGGGAAGGAGATGCGTTTGGCGTATGCGAAGACGAGGAGTGATGCTAGTGTGAAGAGGGAGGGGGGAGAGGAGGATTTGGAGGTGCATAAGAGGAGGAGGTTGGCGGAGAAGGGTGAGTTGTGCTTTATTGTGTCATGTTTGTGGTGGATATATCATATGGAAAGGGATTTGATTTCTACTATACGAAAACCCAATTAACCTCTCCCCCCCATCAACAGACAAGAAAAAGGCCGCCGAGCTCGCCTCAATCAACGCGCTCCAGAGAACCAGCGCCAGCGCCCCTCTCGCCAATCCAGCCGATCTCACCCAGCGACCCATCAAAGCTACCCGAGGCGCCGGACTCAAATCTTCCAATCCAGCTGCGGCGGCCGTCGTACCCGATGAGTATTTGCCTCCGAATAAGATTCTCTTTGTGCAGAATCTGCCTGAGGAATATGATGTGGAGATGTTGACGAGTATTTTTGGTCGGTTTGAAGGCTTTAGAGAGGTGAGATTGGTGCCTGGAAGAAGGGGTATTGCGTTTGTGGAGTATGAGACCGAGACGGGAAGTATTGGGGCAAAGGAGAATACGGCGGGTATGGCGTTGGGTGATGAGCAGAAGGTTATCAAAGTCACTTATCAGAGACAGTAAGTTATTGAGGGATGCTTTCGAGGTGAAGATATGTGATGGGAAGCTCTCGGTGAGTATTCAATTGCAAATAAGGTCAATATGGCGGGGATTGCTTTTTACAGATCTAGCTCAACTAAAGAAACCAATGCTCAATCTTAATTACGGTATCCGCTAATACTATATGATATGTATTCGAGTTGATGAGAACTCGATTGCCCAAACTTAAAACAATTCCATCCATTTTCGTGAGGAATCAGAAAATAACATCTGCATCTTCCTCATCACCCAGAATATCTCCAGTATGGGTATGATTTTCCTTATCACTACTACCACTCAACTTCTCCTTCTCTGCTGCTGCTTCTTTCTTCGCCTTCATTTCTGCATCTTGGATTGCTGTATCTCTCTGCTTCTTGTTTTGAACCTTCTTCAATCGAAAGAATTCTTCTCGGTCCAATTCGTCGAGCTCGGAATTAATATATTTGATGGTGTTTTCTGTACGTGGAATGATCACATGTTCACTGTTGTATGATGATTAGTACGGAGTAACGAGAAGGTAGGGTATAGTATGTCGATGGAAGACTAACATTGCGTTTACTGTACCATGTTAGTATATGCTATGTTCTCTGAAGATTGGACATGACTTACCTCTCCTGTTCACAACCTTGATGACCTCATCAAGAATGACAAAAGCTGTCTGTAAACTAGCCAGCTCCACCAGTGTTTCCACAGCCCTCGCATAAGTCTCCCTACACCTCTGTACCTGTTGACCACCCTTTCCCAAACCCGTCAATCCGAAATCATTATTTCCTTCAGTCGTATAGCTTTCGAATGCCGGTAAGAATACACCCGATACGTTCTCTTGCTTTGTCCGTACACGGAATCGTGCCGATTTCGCGGACTCTTGTACTTGGTAGCCAATATCTCCTCCCACCGCATAGGTTACTTCTGCGAGAGAAAAGGCGGCTATCTGCATTACTCGACCCATCTTGCGTTTAGCTTCATCGATTCGGCGAGTGATTTCTGGGAAATGGTTAGGGGTTGCAAGAGAGAATCGGTGAGTATCGAAGGGGGAATACCTCGGAATCGTCTGCGCAATGAGAGTTAGTATGGGAAACAGGTTATTGTGCTTGTAGCAAACATACTTGGTTAAAGCTTCACTCTTTCTCTTTAATAGATCATGACCAGTTTGTGCTCCCTTCAATTTTGATTTCATTAATCCCAAGGACTGTCGTGTTGGGAAAACAGCTTCTCGATTCTATGATATGTTAGTTATAAAAGATATATAAATCAATGAAACTGGTTGCTTTGTCTTACCCCGGCTCCAGACATTTTGGCAGCTTTTCTTCTTGACTATATGATTGATAAAGTGATAAACCAGTGAACTTATGTTCTTCCAAACGATTCAAGGTCAAGTAAAACTCTCAATCTATGGAGAGTTGGTGTAGAATGAGAAAGCTGATAAGAAGTTGTTGATTAAGCTCTACTCTCCTCCCACTTCAAGGTTGTAACTGCCCAAGTCCAAGCTCTTGGGGCTGAGCTAGTGTGAGCTTAGCGCTTCATAACTAGGTAATTGAATCATCTTCCACGTGATTCGAGTAGATCTTAACTCTCGGACTCAGATCTTGGCCAGGAAAAGACATTGTTATTCACTAGATATCTTTTAGCTATATATAATTACCTAGGTAGATTCTTGATTGTTCAATCTGCTTCTCAATAGATGCCAGATCTTTCAATCTCTTCTTCCTTCTTCCTTCACTTGTTCTAATTCTAATTCCTGTCGGCAAAAATAGCTCACATATCCCCGACTTCTGTCGCTTAGCACCCATAGTACTATTTGACCCTGTAGGAGCCATCAAGTAAAAAGTCGTTTGATTATTGGTACAAAAAAGAAGGTCGAACGACCAGACCAGACCCAGACACAGACCAGACCAACATCCTCAACGTCTTAAAAAACGATTATCCCCCTCCCTCAATATCTCTTCCTTTAGGACTGATCGCATTCTCTGTTTCCCAGGCAGAGAATGCCTGGAGAGTTGCTCCCTATCATGGCTGCTCCCAGCGTCCCCGAAATAAAATCAACTTTAACCTTATCAATTCGAGGAAAGCCAGATTTATATCTCATTGTACGTCTCACACCCTCAGATACATACATTCTCCGTTAAACGATCACATAACTAACAAGATCATAGTCCGAAGAAGATACCATTTATGAGCAGGATATCCTTCGCGAACCGGACAGCACGAAACCTTGGTTGGCATACATTGAGTTCAAATTTCAGCATGGCACACAACTTGAGCAATCGTTCGTTTTGGAACGAGCTTGTTTACAATTACCAAGATCTTATAAGCTATGGAAAATGGTATACAATCTATGCGCGCGAACCCCGCTTGAACATCTGCTGATGAGAAATAGTACCTTACATTACGAATGAAGCACTTGGGAAAGCTGAATTCTGCAGCTTTTGCTTCCGAGTATGCCAAAGTTAACGCGCTATACGAAAGAGCCTTGATTTTACTGAACAAGATGCCGAAAATCTGGGAAATGTATCTTCAATTCTTATTACTCCAGCCCCTCGTCACTCTCACGCGCCGAACCTTCGATCGAGCACTTCGAGCTTTGCCCATCACACAACATAATAGAATGTGGGCTCTATACCGTCCTTTTGCAAATTCCGCGTCCGGCTCTACGGCTGTCAAGATATGGCGACGCTACATGCAGATCCATCCGGAGGATGCCGAAGATTTTATCGAATTATTAATTGAGATGAAACTTTATACGGAAGCCGTTAAGAAATATATGGATATACTTAACAATCCAAAGTTCCGCAGCAAGCATGGAAAGGGACATTACCAATTATGGAGTGAGATGGTAGATCTTCTTGTATCGCATGCCAAGGAAGTCGAAACTGGAGATGAAGTCGGAATTGATGTTGAGAAAATCATTCGAAGTGGCATTGATAGATTTGCGGATCAAAGAGGGACATTATGGTCTGGCCTAGCGACATACTGGATTACCCGGGGTAGTTTTGAACGAGCACGAGATATTTTCGAAGAGGGCATCACAACAGTTATGACCGTTCGAGATTTTACCTTGATATTCGATTCATATGCCGAGTTCGAGGAGTCGATCACTGGAGTCCTGATGGAAGCTGCTGCACTTCGATCGGAGAAGGGTATCGTGGATGAAAACGCCGACTTTGATCTGGATATTCGGATGATGAGATTCGAACAACTCATGGATCGCCGACCATTTTTGTTGAACGACGTTTTGTTACGCCAGAATCCAAGCAATGTACCTGAATGGATGAAACGTATTTCTCTGTGGGGGGATAACAAAGTCGAAGTGGTTAAAGCGTATACCGATGCGATTGCTGCTATTCAGCCGAAGAAAGCCGTTGGGCAGTTTCACGAGTTATGGTCAAATTACGCCAAGTTCTATGAGGAGGGTGGGGATTTACGTAACGCTCGTATTATCTTTGAGAAGGCTGTGAAAGTACCTTTCAAGTCTGTGGCTGAACTTGCTGATACTTGGATTCAATGGGCAGAGATGGAATTACGAAATGAGAATTTTGATGAAGCCGTAAAAATCATGGCAAAGGCAGTCCAAGCACCGAAGCGATCTAATGTTGACTACTTCGACGAGACCCTCTCACCTCAGCAAAGAGTACACAAGAGCTGGAAGTTGTGGAGTTTCTATGTAGACTTGGTGGAAAGTGTTAGCGGCTTGGAAGAGACCAAGAAGATTTACGAACGAATATTCGAACTTCGCATCGCAACGCCACAAACTGTTGTCAATTACGCCAATTTATTAGAGGAAAACAAATACTTCGAGGAGTCATTCAAGATCTATGAAAGAGGGCTTGATCTTTTCAGCTATCCGGTAGCATTCGAACTTTGGAATTTATACTTAACCAAGGCAGTTGATCGAAAAATCGGGATCGAACGACTTCGGGATTTATTCGAGCAAGCCGTTGAAGGATGTCCGCCCAGATTTGCCAAAGTATTGTATCTTATGTATGGAAATCTCGAGGAAGAGCGAGGACTCGCAAGACACGCGATGAGAATTTATGAGAGAGCAACTCGGGCTGTCTCTGATGGGGATCGTGCAGATATGTTCAATTTCTATATCACCAAATCAGCCTCCAACTTCGGTCTACCTTCAACACGACCAATCTACGAAAGAGCCATTGCGGCATTACCAGACAAAGATGCCAGAGATATGTGTCTAAAGTTCGCCGATATGGAGAAACGATTGGGCGAAATCGATCGTGCAAGAGCAATTTATGGACACGCATCACAATTTTGCGATCCGCGAACGAGCCCAACATTTTGGTCAAAATGGGAAGCTTTCGAGGTTCAACATGGTAATGAGGACACGTTCAAAGAGATGCTTCGTATCAAGAGAAGTGTTCAAGCACAATACAATACTGATGTTAATTACATTGCTTCTCAAGCTCTTGCTCGAAGTCAGGCTAGACCTAATGAGGATGGAGATGAGGATGAAGAAGCTGCGGATGCGATGGCAGCTTTAGAACGCGAGGCAAGAGCTCCTGTTGGTTTCGTACCGGCAAGCACAGGACCCCAGGGAGGAAATATCAAGGAGTCAGCAGTAATTGTTACAGAGAATCCAGACGCCATTGATATAGATGGTATGGATGATGATTGAGAGAGGGGAGGCTAAAATATGGGAACGTCAATCAAAGGGAGTTTGGACATAGTGGGAATTTCGAGATCTCAGGGATCCTCATTGCATAGGAAGGCGTTTTCAAGTGGGTTTACATATGATCAGGCCACCGTTGTCTGCCTATGTATATGTATGTTATTGGTATGATAGTTACAGGCGATGGAAATATCAAAGGGTTGCTTCGCTGAATGATGAAAATTGTCACTCCTCAACTTTTCCTACTATTTCTGCTTGTACAAATTCCCCATCGAGTTCATTTTTACATAATTCGTTGACACTAGGTATCCCTATTTCATATCATTTCTTTTATGCCTTAACATTTCTTCTCTTCCGACATCCATCTCATGAACCGATCTCTAGCAAATTTTCCACTGTCAATTCTTCTTTTCGCCTTTCCACCTTTCCGACTCGTCCTGCCCAAACCACTCACTCACTCACTCACTCACTCTTGCTCACTCTCCTCCCACCTTGATTTCCCCCTCCGTCCTTATTGCGATGTGCACCCAAACCGAAAATACTTCCATACCCCTTCTCGGCATGCGTGGCGTGAAATACGGCATCTCGATCAATATGTTTGTCGACGTGACCATCGCGAGAACTGGGCGTCGCATAGATGGATCCTTTACGTTTCTGAAACCGGGAGGGAGGGGTTTTGGATGCATCTAGGAATAGGGGTGGATTGTGTTAGTTGGTGGTTGTCTTGTTGGTGATATTTTGAGGGGGCTTGGAAGGGAAAGGATTGGGAAAAAGAGATGATGAGAGTGAGGGTGAAGATTTGAAGGTTGAGGAATGGGGATGGGGATGTGATGAATGGGGTGAAGTAAAAGGAGATGGTGACGAAGAGGGAAATGAGGGGAGTAATAGAGGCGAGGAGTCAGGGTGACATGAATGATGAGTAATAGGGAAAACCAACGAACCCCATTCATCAGAACTTAATCTTCGATCTTGATTAGGTGATCCGGAATGTGTGTTTGAAGTCGCATTGGGAGAGGTGGGCGTGGGGATGTTTATAGGACCTTGGGTTTTGGAGGCGAAGGGGTTGCTGTTTATGGGGTCTTTGCGTTGGGCGGCGAAGGGATCATCGTGAGTGAGGCCTAGAGGGGAGGTAGGCGATGTTGGTGTGTTTGAGGAGGGGGTGTGGTGGGCTGAGATTATGGGAGGAGGGTGTTAGTTGGGGTTGTTGGATACCATCTTGGGTTTGGGGATGGCTAAAACTAACTTTGAGTTTGTGGTGATGCCATGTTTATTTGGATCGGTTTTCGTCTGTGTGATGATATTCTATCTGATCGCCGGTTTCTCGTTATGGTCTCTGCAGCTTCATATAATTCGTTTCCGAGTTTTCGTTCTGCAAATACAAAGGTAGGTAAGGTAAGGTATATTATCGCGAGGATTATTCTTGTTCAGATCAAATTCCCAATTGATATTTTATTAATTAAATACATCAACACAAAGACCAAGCCAAGACGAAGGACGGGAGTCTCCTCTTATTATGTAAAGCTTCTTAGAAACGTATGACAAGCCACCACGAGAATCTCCATTGGGACGGCTGGAATATGGCAAGAATAAGAGAAAAGCTCTCTATCACATCACAAAATACCAGTTTTGCCACGATTCTTTGTTTTCTTTGAAGCGTGCTCGAGTTGCTTGAAGTGCTAGTTGTAGAACTCCCCGCATGTTAGGCTGCGTATTGGCTGCAGCACAACTTTTAATGCATGTTTGAAGAAGTTGATTGGTTAATGCGTGGCTGATGTGCACATAAATGGTAAAAGTAACGCAACTTGGCGTTGTAAGAGTGGCTTTGTGTAACACGTGAATGGGATTCATTGGAGGGCACGACAAAGGATTTGAAGATTCTCAAGCTCGCTTGAGGCGAATCGGAGAGGGGAGATTCACAAGGGGATTTATGACGTATAGATTCATGATGGATTGGATTTTAATATGATCATTTTATTACAAGGAGACAAAGGTAAAAGGTAGTTAATGCGTTACTATTTAAATCATGAGCATGATCACTTGGTCTCTTGATATATCTTTTGGCGCCCAGCACGTGGGGAAATGGGGGTAATGTGGTTCATGGGAGAACATTAAGGGAATGAGAGTTCGCCACCTAGTATAGTGGAAAATGTTGTGTGAAGGACAGAGTGGCTGTGGTATGGTTGGCAACAGTCATCGAAATACCAATGAGGGGGTTATGGTGAAGGATCGACAAATCTGGTGATATGTTTGGGAGGAAATCAGGGTGGGCTGTGCAGGTGCTGAGGTGCTGGTTTGTGATGAGAGGAAGGTTACCGCATGAAGTTTATGCGGAGACGGGAATGAGATGTTGTGTTGTATACTCCAGATACCCAGGATTCAGTGGTGGTTGGGGGTCTGTGAGACTCGGAATGTCGTCCGATGTTGCGCAGAGTTCCAAGGTTTGGGAATATATTGTAAAGTACTGCGATCGATTGTTCTTGTCTAAAGTCTTACAGATCACTCAACCAAGGGAAGTGTACTGAATATCCTAGTCAGATTATTCTTTTCTACTCTTTCCATATCATTAGGTACGTGCGTATATTGATCCATCGATCCGGATGTCTTCATTCAAAGTCTATTGGGTCTTCCATTCAAATAGGTGGACTCGTCCAAAGCATCCTCGTTGTTTTAAAGGACAGACGTATTGCCTGCATGCTCAACCGAGCATGAATCGGGTATTGGAATATTCATATTTCAAATCCTCATCGTTTCTATGGTTAAACAAAGCACTGATCCTCCATATTCAAACATGAAGTGATATCTCGGGCTGGGAGATGTCAATCAAAGTTGTGAATGCAACTGCCCATTCTTCGGTGAGGGAATTGATGGTCCATGATGTGGAATATCTTGGAGTCGGCGCAATTTAGCATCGGATTTGATAGAGGATATATTCAGCTCATGGCTTTGAAACTTCTCGTCCCGAGTATCTTCATCTTTGCGGCTCAGGAAGTAAATACATCGAGGACCTTAAGCTGAACACTCTCGGCTCATATGATCTAAGATGCCTACTCAACTTCTTTCATAGCTTGGAGTTTTTGACACTCGCCGTGACTCAAAGTTAGCAAATGGAGGATGGGTCTCAAGATACTCCTTGATAATCTTTGGACAGAGGTCTCACCGTCTTCAACTATAAGTTTCTTATTCCCCTTTTGGATACCCCCAATTGCATCTGAATTTGGAACGGAACCGGGACGAACAATAGTCAATATCGCAACCTCGGACTAGCATCCATCATCGTCGAGTCAGAACTTGAAGCCATGCGAGTGCATGCTCAGTGTAGCGGCACATCAGTAAAAGAAGTCAGGTATTAAGTTCTACTAGTTTGTATATTGTTTTCAAGTGATAAGTAGTTTAATGGGTACATATTTGATATTATTTGATATATAGAGATGGCTATACGTGATCATTGAGCAAAAATCGAGAGATCAGGAGGTACTTATCTTGATTAGTAGGAGTTGAGAGTAGTACTCGAGGGAAGTGTGTATATCTGTCTACTCGGATTCGACCCTTCCTTACTTCGAATGGGAACTTCGAGATGTTCAAGCCAAATCTGAGGGCTTGTGGAGTATTGTTTCAAAATATGAGGTTTTGGTCTGCAAGTGTGTAATGCGGACTTGAGAATTGAAATTGTAGTCCGATACTTATTAAACCAGGCATAATGCGTTTATTCCTTATTCATCAATCATGATACACCACTTGATATAATTTGACGAGACTCTCACGAAGAACATCAAAATCCATGTATTGAAAACATCAATCAAGATGTATTTATTAAAAGAAGAATCAATCACACTGTGACAAATGCCAGTAACATGCACTTGCGTACTAGTAATTCGTCTTAATTATAACTTTGCTCTATATCGAGCCTTCTCTCAAACCTAATTCATGTCTTTCTCAGTATTTTATGTATACACAGCGTAATTAACGCTCTATATTTCTTTAAAAAAAAAAAAATTTATGTGGCCGAATGCGCCTTTGAGGAAACCTTTGTAGTATTCAACGCTATAACGCTTCCGCTAAGTCGGCCTTGTATGGACAGTTAAATAAAGCGTCTTCGTATCGTCATGATGGTATTGTAAGTTCCTTTTGCATGTAAACCAGAAGTTGTATCCTCCGCAAACTTCAAATGAAATAGTGAAAAAGGAAATCAAAGAAAATAAACAGTCTTGAAAGTAACTGTGATGTAAAGTAATGACTCAAGAAGTTGTAGATAGGCCGATCCCTGAACGCAAAGCTCAAGCTCAAGTTCAGCAATTGTAGAGTCCAGCACAAGAAAAATTCCTTGAATACATTGTAGATTTTCAATCTCAAAGACCCGAATCCTGCGATCTGGGGGCTCTCACGAACATATTCGAAATGATCAACCAGAGCTTTAGTAAGCTCCACGGGAGACGCATGTAATCGAAATATAAGATTGAAAGACGAATGAAAACATTGAGGACGTTCAAATACCATATAAATCATCTGCCTCAAAGGAAAATGGACGTGGAGCTTCTAAAGCAGCTTCTTTAACACTTTCTAAAGCTGGTCTACCAATCATAGCCTTCTCGCCTTGGGTTCTGATAATTGCATTGTAAACTTCACACTCTTCAGACTCTTTATCACGTTGAACGAGAGTACGGAAAGGATCTTGAAGATTACCAACATCCTCACAGCGATACTTGAATATATTAATTCCCCGACGTTCCATTCTCTCAACTTCCTGTCTGCAAGCGTATCGACGAGCCTGAAACTATTCCTCGTGGAGTTCTTCCTCAAGAGCTAATACTTGACGATGGAATGATTCTTCGCGCTCGCCTCATTCCCTCTCGCGGCGACGCCATTCGGTTACTTGTGCGGTTCGGTTTCTGGATTGCTCGAAAGGATTTGGTGGTTGGATATCAGAATACATGTCGCCAGCGAAAATGAAGTTGTTGGTATGTGCAGTTCGAGTTCTGGTGGAATGATGGAATGGGCTTGGGGGTTAATTATCAGAAGGGACTGGAGCAAAAAGATAGTTGTTAGGTTGTGCAAGGATATATGTAGGAGGGCTCATGTGGTACTGGATTCCGGATATGGGTGGAATATATTAGCTCAGTATTGTCTCTGGGTGATGGCTCTATGAAACCGGCAGCATGAGAATGAGCAGTAATTGATGGTAGCGAATCTGTAAGTGAAGCAGAGATGGAACTAACGTTAGATCTGGCCGTAGAAGAGGTACCAAGTATGAATCCTCCATAGGAAGAATCTGCTGGAAGTTCTGGTTCTGTTATAAATCCTGTGGGAACTCCAGTCATTTCGGCTGGAAGTTTTAAAATTGATGTGGGTCTTCGGCGCTGATTTCAGTTGGTTGAACGATATCTGTATTCATCATCAAATGGGTGGCTACTATTTCTAGGAGCCTCTGAGGAGGCTGCTACCATTGATTGAGAACTACCAAGCTGTTGAAGGTGAATGCCAGCTTTCGACTCGGAAGCATAATTCATTAGAGCAAGAGCTAGCTGTTTCGGCTTGTAGTAATTTATGTAGGATAGGAATAGTGAAGACTAATCAGTAGTGCAACAACTGTTTCGACTACACCGACAACTACGCCTGCTATCTTGCCCTTTGATAAATGCACATGTTTAGTTGTAGATACAGAATCGGTCAATGTACCACTGCCGAGTCCAGTAGTGAGATTTCCGCCTAGGAAAGGGGGCAACTAAGCATCGACTAAGCGAGAAAAAGGATACACTCTTCGAACTGCCTCAACAAACAAAATTCCACCACAAAACTTATTATGATCTGCTTCTTACCATACATGATCATCGATCACCAATTGGTGAAACTATCGACTTGAAAGATATCATCGAGAAGACTGCATCCCTATCACTGTCGTTGACATCTCCTACTCCTTTTACCACATCTTGGACCGGTACTATCAGCAATGCGACCCCTGTCAGTATTCCGACTATTGACCCGACGTCTCAATGGCCAGTAAGTATCAGCAATGTAACCTATGGCATTAATCTATCCGGTAATGCTACATCTCAATGGCGAAACAAACTCAGCAACGTCACCTCAATCTTTGTTTCAACCCTTAATTCCACTTCTCAATCGCCAAGTTTGGTTACTTTCATACCATCTGGAACAATCGCAACTTATGGTGATTCGATTTGACGTACCGGCTCTAGATAATCGATCAACAAACCAAACACCACCAAAACACCCGAGTCAATACCAGAGCCAACGCCCTACATTGTCCCTGATTCTTCCGACGACGATTTCTTTGACTTCATTTTTGTATCCAATACAAATACTATCACGCTTGTTAGCAAAACGACATATACCCTTCTAATATAATCTACTCTCCCAGTCTATTGTCCACTAGGCACACCATCAACGTATACTATACCAGCGTCCGGAAATGAAACGGACCAAAATTTAATAGACCCAAATTTCATAAGCCCAGATGAATCAAATCTGTCACTACTAACAGTATCAGTCAGACTCGCCATTATCGGCTCCGGTTATAAAGCAGCACAAACGACAACAACTTGTCGTGACAAGCAAGAACCCTCAAGTCGTTGACACTATATATACCCCCCCCCCGGCACCCGTCATACCCTTGCGCTCCTAAAACAAGAATAGACAAGCCCATTACTTCGATTTCCATGAGTGAAAAGTAAAACAGCGTCTAGCACCGATGCAAGTAATGAAGGAAGGGTAGAGAGAGTATACGGCAACGAATCCGGACCAAGTTCGCCTTCTACGATTCCAGTAGTAGCTCCGGGACTACCGTTTCTACAATAATCTGTCTCAAGTTATTGCTCTACTGTAGAACAACTTACGGTATCACTTTCCCAATTACATAGGCAGCTATTGAATTTGCCAACGGAAACCTCAGAATGGAGCAAAACGGCGTTTATTTGAATAGTGCATAAGAACGCTTAACAGTCCTACATATAGGTAGTTATCGAAGATGTGGCGTATGTGTATCAAAACCTCATGCATGATTTATCACCTGCATAGGACGTCACCGTGCACATGGAAATTAGGTGACTGTATTTTTTGATATAATACATACCAAAACGAGAAACATAAGACTCAAAGAATTACAGCCGCAAGAAATAACATAAACTACAACCCCCTACCCCCTCACACGAACATTCGAAAGATCAAGACTCCGTCAACCATTCTATCTACAACAGACTGACCGGATACACTGGCTCAGTCAAACACTTATATCCCACCTCTTCACGCTCACTTATATGCAGCCATCGCCTCCCAATAATTTAAACAAAATTGTTACCTTCGAAAATCCGTCAGACTTATCCAATTCATCTAATCATGGCACTCACTCTCCTCACCTCCAGTCCGGCGAGCTGGCTAGCCTTTGTCATAGACTCGACAGTTCAACGGCAAGCTCAACCCCTTCGACAGGTTCAGCAGGAGCAGGATGGCAGTCGCCTCTCGGTGGTGTGGAGGAGTCATTACTTGGATTGAATTTAGAGCCCAATTTTGAGAATCGCCCAAGACCATCTTATCAACGAATTGCTGAGTATGAAAATGCACTTGCTCTTAGTCCACCCAGAAAACAACCAGAGGGACCCGGATTCAAGGTTGTGAAGAAGAAAGGCAGTATGAGTGATGAAGGCCCTCAGCTGGAGAATTTTCCAAATGGTATTTTCAATCACCATTTTATGATCTCAATTGACTTCATTCTAATATATTTCCATACAGAGGTTTTAACTCATATCCTATCGCATTTGCCCGCGTCTTCTTTATCTGCAGTCTCACTTCTATCGCGACGATTTTACAATTTGGTCACCACACCTCATGCATGGCGCGTCGCATTTTCAAGATTCTTTCCAGGTCAAGATGTCACAGAGGCGCTACCTAATACATCTGATCGTAATGCGGAATCCGATGAACGAGAACAATTACGCGAACAACGATTCTTTACGCGATTGACAGGGCTGGCAAGTTGGAGGAGTGAATATGTGATTCGAACACGACTCCTACGAAGTCTTGCGAGAGGGAAACCTGCTCAAGGTGTCGAACATAGTGGTTCAAGTCGGTCAAATAGTGTTGGAAACACAAGTGCTGTCACGACTTACACCTCGGAATTATTTACGTCCATTAATCATATTCATGGCGTATTTGGGCATGGAAAGAAATATCCACGTTTTATTCATGGAACAGATGAGACTGGTTCTGCTGGTAGCAGCGATCCTAAACTTGGAAAAATTGATCCTTGGGGTTTGACTGATCCTCAGGCAATGCCCCAATTCGCAGATCTGTTTACAGGCGATGTTCCATTTGGTCTCGGAGATGGTCCTGCGGGTCTTCCGAATGTTATGGATGTCAGCCAACCGTTTGGAATGGTGTATGGAGAAGGTTTCCCAGGAGGTTCGGCTTACTATAGAGCAGCGAATGAAATGCGTGGTCGCTTTTTGGCTCATTCTCCACCAAGTTTGGCAGATGCAGAATATGGCATTCCAAATATACCACCTCTAACCGAGGCAATATCAGCCCTTTGGATTGCCAGGTCCATGTCTTTACCCAAAGTCACCGATGATCTCATTGGAATTATGACTGGCTCGACACTCGGTATAATCACAGCTTACAGCCTCGGCACAGAAAATCCCAAGGCCAAGCTTGGACAGGTGATGGCCCGATGGATCCCTTGTCCTGGTGTCCCTATAGTGGCAATTAGTTTGGATGATTCTTATGGTCTTTCACGCAAAGCCTCGGACCGAGCTTGGGCAGTTGCGTTGAACGCTTTGGGTGAAGTGTTCTACCTGACGGACGTACCTACACATCCTCTTTTTGATGCATCGTTAGATGAGGATAATTTGGGTAGGCAAGCGTGGATCGCTGGTCGTACTGCATGCTGGCAAGTTGTGGAGGCATCCCGCCGTATAGCACGGGATGATCCTTGGCAAGAAGCTGAAGTTCACGGCAGCTACTCCCCTAGATCTTCATGTACTTTAATGAATCTTTCCAAGCAGCAACTCAAGGCAGAAACGCGCGAGATCGAAAAGTTCTTGAGATATCGTCCCTCACATTTCCGCAGTATTTGTGATGGATGGGATATGCGTCGACGACTGGAGGTTGACTTTAGCGGTGATGATAGTAATGGAGCTGGCGAGAGTGTGTTTGTCATTGGCCGTGGAATCAATTCTGGAGAAAACGCCGAGATCAAGAGATATACAAGGTGTAAATTCGAACAAGCCTCACTTGATGGATTTAAATTACCAAGAACTGCTCCGGCAACACCTCCAATACCATCCGAACCAAACAAAATACAATCATTATTTGGGGATGTGTCAAAAATCAAATCAGAGGAGCTTACTTCGCCTAAATCACCAATATCGCCTATGATGAAGCTTGATCGATCTTCTGGAATTGCGGCATCCCTCATGGACGAAGAATGGCGGAGCTCCTTGCTATCTTTAAAGTCCTATCCCGGCGTTGAGATAATCACGTCTGCTGTAGATTTATCAACATATGCCCTACTCACAATCGACGAGGACCCATTACACACAGTAAATGGCAAAACAAGTTTTACCACTTTCTCTGAGACACCATCTGATGAGACTTCGCCAACCAGCATCCCCGGATACCGTGCGCGTTATTTAGCTGTTGGTACCAAGACCGGCCAAATAATCTTGTGGAATATGCGTGGTCCTCAGTCTGCGAATCCTCAAGTGGTCAATGAGCTACATCCAATTCGTACTATCGTCACAGAGTCACCTCAAATATCATGTTTAGCAGTTTCTGCATTATTCGTTCTCCATGGTGGTAATGATGGCCTTGTACAAGCTTGGGATCCTCTCGCATCATCTACTCAACCTATTCGCACTCTACACTCCCGCTTCTCTTCCCGTGCTCGACGTCGTTTAATCCAAGCCGAGGCTCGAATTCATGGAGTAGGCATCAATCTTTACGCAGCCGGTGCTATCGTCCTTGATCCCGATCCAACCATCTTACGTGGCATGGTTTCACTCGGTACTCATCTTCGATATTGGCATTACAGTTCCTCTGCTGCCGATCAATTCCAGACCAAAAAGCGAAGACTTCGACGCGGCGAACGTGGTAGCAATGGAGCAAGTGATCGATTTAGCAATACTGGTAGAGGAGCTTTGTTGAGTCAGATCGCAACGGAACAACATGAACACGCCCAAGAGAAGAAAGAAAACGCCCAAGAGGCAGCCAGATTTGCTGGCCGATTTGGTGTTGGGTTCGGTGGTCTGAGTGAAGAAGAAGCTTTACGTTATGCGGAAATGGTGTCTGCTCAAGCTCTCATTGACGACGAAGAACGTCGTATCAGTGAAGCCGGATATTTCGCAGATTCTGGTGAGAATTCTCCAAACAAAGGCGAGAAAAGTACTGGAACGATCACGCCTGAAGCTAGCACCATAAGTCAGTCCACGATACCAACTCCAGCTGTAGAGTCTCAGCCTGACTATGATCATGATCTTGAGCAAGCCATACGTCTTTCATTAATGGATGGCCATACAATTGGTGACAACGGCTATTCACCAAATAAAGGTGATTATGATGTCAATTTCACGTATAAACAGAAAACTACGAGACGTTCGGCATCATCTTCGCCATCAACCAGCCTAGTATCTAATAATAGATTTAGATCAGAACCGTCGAATTCTTTTGACAAACATAATCAATTGGCAGATGATCTTGATTTTGCATTGCAACTTAGTTTGGCAGAGGAACGTAGTAAAGAAGAGGCTGAGGCTGAGGAGTTTCCAGGATTGGGATTTGTAGGAAAGGGGAAAAGTCGTGCAAATTGAGTTGAAGTGGTGCTTTGGGGAGAGCTTTCTTTTCTTGTGGTTGATGATTGCTTTTTGATTCTGAGGTGGCGTGCTTTTTATTCTGAGATGGGCTGAATGAAGCCTTTTGCGTTGTTTTCTATGATTCTCCAAGAGCAAGTTACAATGATAGATATTTGCCCATTCATTCCATTGTCCCAATACCTTTTTGACATGTAAAATTGCCGTCTCGTGTTGTGTGATACAGTTTTAGATCATGTCTTGGTATATGAATTTAATCTAATCTCTGCGGTAATGGTTAGTAGCGTGGCGCAAGCTATTTCCTCGGAGTGACTCCTAATTGTTAAAGTTGAGTTCAGATATTGAGGAGCTTTGGTCAGGATCGGGATCTACTCGAGTAAAGCGATTGTGCTCGTTTCCGCCAATCTATGCCACTTCATTTCACTTCTGATTCAGTGCGGCCTAGCCATAAACCCCATAGTAGTCTGACCAGTTCCAATTTAAAGCATCGATTGCCTCAAAAGAGGAGCGACCTGCTTTCTACTATTCTCAATCCTTTCCTGCCACCAACAACTTCTCATCTCCCTTTTCCCCTCCCCCTCCCCTTCCTCATTCGCATCCACATCCACATCCACATTCACATTCACATTCACATTCACATTCACATTCACATCCATATCCAAGTCCAACACCCCCTCACCCCAAACCTTCAAACCCAATTTCCTCTCTCCCTCCCCTTTAAAATTCTCCAAACTCGCCACACCCTTCTCCCCCAACCCCCACACCAAAAGCTCCCTCCTAAACACTCCATCCCTATGACTCGTCGTCATCACCGCACAAACACCCAACTTCTTCTCTTTTCCCCACGCCCCCAATATCTCTAGGAACTTTTGTTTGCTCCCCGCTTTCGCGATGAGGAAATGCAGATCTTGCACTATGGAACTTATACCCAGGGTCATTCCTCCTTCGTTCCATTCTTTGTAATCTTTGCGTAGGATGTCGCGTAAGCTCATGTCTCCGATATCTTCTTTCGCGCAAGATATCGAGGTGAAATAGGTGTCGCGGTTCCATGATGGTGCTGTTGAGTTTTTGTTGGGGGATTTTGAAATTAGGTCCTCTAGGAATTGGACGGCGGTGATGTCGCTCTGCTGGGTTTTGTCGGGGGATTGGAGGTTTTGAGTATCGATTAGTATGGGTCCGAGGGCTAGATACGCTAGTTCTCCATCCCATCTGCTGAAAAATGGTGAGTTAGTGGTTCATTGCTTATGAAGGAAGTTGAAGTATTCGGAAAGAGTTGGAAGAGAGAGTGCGGGCTTACCTGAGATCCTCCTCCCCATCTCCCTGTCCCTTTCCCCTGCTCATCTTCTCCCAATCATTCTTCCCCCACCCAACAATCAAGCTCGCACAACTTCCGCTCTTCTCAATAACCCTCATTTCCCCCTCTCCCTCACAAGCCTCCTTCTTAGGAACCTTGTTTTCCTCCGCATGATGATCAATACACCCCCTCACTCTGCCCCCATACATCCTGCCCAACTCCCCTTGCAACGCATTATGATCCACCAATAACCATTTTGTATTTTCCACCCCCAGTCGCGACTTCACGCCCTGCTGTCCCTTCAAATCATCCAGGCTAATAAAATCCCCAACCTTCAGTCTGGCTTTCTCCAAAATAGGATTTAATTCCGGTCGTAGTCCTAGATCTGCGCCAGGCAGATTCGAAAGGGGGATATAGAGGGCTTTGGTAAGATTACGCGAGGAATAGGTGCGGAGGTAGGCGAGGAGTACGGCGCTGCAGAGGGAATCGAGATCTTTGTGCTGGGGGCGTTAGCTGGCTCTATATCTATGTAACTACTACATATGTGATACCGGTAGTAAATTCCAATGTAGCAAGTTCTCGGCGCATAGTGATGAAGGTCAAGATCTGGGTAAATACGTACCAGCAGATTCATTACCCACTACAAATGTAACTTTCTCCCCGGTTTTGATGGCTCCATGGAGAGCATTTTTGGCGGAGGAAAGGAATGATGAGAGGGAGACGCGGGGGAGGGACATGATTTTTGTGAGTACGTCAAGTGTTGCGAGCTTGTTCCCGGTGAACCAGCCTTATGATGTGGTGAGTTTTTGGTCTGGCAAGTTGAGTGTATTCGAGTATATCGTTTATGCCGATGTCTAAGTTGCTTTTTTTTTCAATATTTAAGCCATTCTTGAGATATTATCTGAGTACCAATAAAGTAAATGACTGGCACCCATCTATTCAATTCTGGACATCTACTCGACGCCACAGCTACTCGAGTATAACTGTGGCTCCTAACGACGACCCTGAATATAATCAACCACAGAGTTTCCTTCTCCAACTTCCTGTATTCTCATACATATTACACAACAGGTTGATACAATCATGTCCATCTCTCCGCCTCCAAAATCCATCCCCCAATCCAACATCTCAAACCATGAAAACTCTCCCCTCATCCCCACCCACCACCTCAATGATTTACCCCCATCCTCCTCTTCCTCCTCTTCCTCCTCCCCATCACTCACAACACTCATCCTCTACTTCATGACCCTCCACTTCCTCATTGCCTTTTGCGAAATGGTTCTAGTAGCTCCCCTCATCTCCCTCTTCGAATCTTCTCTCTGTCAATCTTATTATAATTTCCCCCACACGGGTACCGGTAGTCTTTTTCTACAATATGAAAGAAACTCAGATATGTGTAAAATTCCAGAGATACAGGGTCCTTTGGCGACGATTAGGGGGTGGAAGAGTTTTGGGGATACAATTCCTGGTATTTTGATATTTTTATTAGGTTTCGAGCGAAGGGCCATGAGGGGAAAAGGGAAGAAATGAATAGCTGATGGGTAAATAGTTTTACTAGTAGCGATTCCGATTGGGAGTTTAGGAGATCGGTATGGAAGGAGGAAAATTATGGCAGTATCGTTGGTTGGAATTGGATTATCTCTAGTAGAGATCTTTGTTGTTTGTATGTTATTCTCTTATATGATTTGATTCAGTTTGCTCTCTGAAAATATGCTAATTTCCATGTCTTTTGAGGTGCATTTCCAAAGCTATTCGATTTGCGTTGGGTATGGTTATCATCTATTTTCCTTTTATGTGGAGGGGATTTGTATTCAAGTGCTGCGTTCATGTGGGCGATGGCTTTTTCACTCATACCAGAAGATAGAAGGTAAATATTATTCTTGCGAGATATGCTTCATTCATACTGACGGAGTATGTATAACAGAAGCTATGCCTTCTATTACATATTTTCAGCATTCTATATTGCAGAACTAGTTGGATCATATTTGGCCTCTGTCACTATAGATATATCTCCTTGGATTGCCTGTGGTATGGCTATGGGATCTGTGATTCTCGGATTAATTTTATTATGGATGATACCATTGAGTCAATCCCCTCCTCCGCAGCCCAAATTACCATCATACCCAACATCATCCTCATCAACTATTCTCCCACACTCCCAACCCAACGCTCCCACCCCTAAATTTATCATCCTCACCACTATCCACCATTCCCTCTCCAAACCCAATATCCTCCTCTGTATCCCCGTCTTCCTCGTTGGAACCCTCCGCTACACAACCCTCAACATTCTCATTCAATACTCCTCCGTTCGTTTCAACACTAAGATATCCCAAGGAGCTATGTTTTATACCGAAACCGCTATCATCAATATCATTTTATTTATTTTTCTTATTCCAAGAATATCCGCTTATATACAATCCAAATATCATGTCAGGTCTGAGAAAATTGATCTGGCGCTCGTGAGGATTAGTGTTTGTTTACTTTTGTTGGGTTCTCTTACCATTGGGTTGGCGCCGACGAGGGGGTGGATTCCGATTGGTAAGTTGATTATATCTTGTTCCTCGTGTTGAATTTCGAGCTAATTTGAGTGCAGGTGTATGTATCTTTGCCGCAGGCTGTAAGTACTATTTCCTTTTCCATTTCATTCTCCTGATTCGATATCCTCCCCTCCACCCCTTTTCAAATACCACACAAATCTAACATCACCCACAAGTCGGATCTCGCGTCTCAACCCTCTCCCTAATCTCTCACTTCATTCCCTCCACCTCCCTCGCCACCCTCTACGCCTCCATTGCCGTCCGTACGTATAATCAATTTCCCAATTCCGCACTCCTGACTATTGTTTCTTCCAAAATCTACTTCCACATCTCGTCCTCTATTTCTACAATTTCTATATCCTCCCCTTCCAATACAGCTTTACTCTCCCATTCGCCAATATTACTCTACTATTCTCCCTTTCTAAACAACCACTAACTCCCATACTCATATTCCCAGTTGAAAACATCGGCCACGCTATCAACGATCCATCTATGCAACATATATATGCCGCCACATTACGCTTACCCCCTTTTTGGCACGCGCTGCCTTTTTTCGTCGCTGCTGTATGTACTATTTTTCCTTCACCCCTAGTTATCCTTCATCCTATCTATATCCTACATCTTTCACAACCATTTCTTCAATAAGAAGAGCAAGTGGAAGGAAGGTAAGTAGGTAGGTACCTACATATGGTATGGACTCATCAGTAAAGAACATTCTAACAAAATCAAACACAAATAGTCATGTTATTCGCTAGCCGGTCTATCCACCATATTCATCAAGATCAATGACGAGTACGAAGAAACAAGTGATGAAGATTAAATCTCCAATTGTACCAAAGAGACACAAAAATTATAACTCACTGAATCAACTACTCCTACATCTAACTTCTAATTCTTAAACTCCAACTCCCACCCAACGTAACAAGAACAAAACTTCCTTCTTGGAGAGTTAGGGAACTCCTCTTTATGCTATAATTACAAATGACAGTATAATTATAAACACAACTCCCCATAACCCCCCACAGATCAAGCTCACAGTGGTACAATCAGCCACTACAGTACATATAAAACACCAATCCAATCCAATCCAGGAAAGTATCTTCCTTTACCTTTACTTCCTTTACCTCCTTTATCTGCACCACACACACATACTCGAGTACACTAAGCAGGAACCTGTTTCATTCTATTCATTTGCATTCCCTTGCCTTCCCTTTCCTACCCTCCCATTTTCTTCACATGCCCACCCTTCCATTCCGATCAACCGATCAACCAGTCATTAAAATCATACACAACCAATCAACATACCACACCACACCACACTAGAAAACCGAAAATTGAACATATATTTCTATTAATTGATTCATCCTCCTCAACCCTCTATTTGTGTCTCGCTATACAAAGATTACTATCTCAGCCCATTTCTTCTCAACTGATCTATTCCCTCCCATCCATCCCTATCCCTAACTTCCATCCATCCATTCACCAATCATCCTTTAAATCTCTCATTTCTCACCTCTCCACCTCTCCACATCTCTCGCTCCCTCACAGATCCGATCTACATACCTACATATATATACTTGCAAATTTTCTCTCTTCTCTTCATTCCCTTTTCCTTCTTCTCCCCCTTCCGCTTTCATACCTCGGACTTCACATCTCCCAAACATCATCCCCTGTTAACTTCACCAACCACATCACAATAACACATCAAATATTTTCTCCCAAATAACCTCGTATTCATCTTCATCGACAACAACAATGAAATCCAAACTCCCTGTCCGACCCCCAGCTTTCTTTTGTACAAGGCAACTCCTCACTACTGTGATAATAATACAATCTCTTTCTCTTCTCCTGCCTCTCTTCTCATCAATCAAGCCTTAATCTCAGTCTGCTCCTGTTCAGTTCCAGCTTCAGTCTTAGCAGCAGCAGTCGACACCTCGTCACTTTCCTTCCCTTTCACATTTTCCTCGACCCCCGGGCCCTCCAGATCAAGCTCTTTCCTCAAATCCGGTAAGAATCTATCAATTCTCTTCCATGTTTCCGTCCAAAGCTTTTCCTGCGTCTCATCTTGACTACGAGGTACCAAAGATCCGCTACTAGACATTACGAGCAGAACATTCTTTAAGCTTTCTGGCACTGCTTCTTCCTATTTTATTTATTAGTAATTTATTATAAAAAGGGTCCTCAGAAGTGCATAAACATACCAAACTATCACCCTGTCCACTATTCATCAAACGATCCATGATATCCAGGATCTTAAGCCAAAGATCTAACATGCCGTCCCATTTAGACAGAAGAACAAGATAATGAAGGAATATCCTGCAAAGAAGTGTGGCGGCTTGTACACGAGTTTCACTCATGCCAATAGGATCTGATGAGTAGACTTCTGGCTTTAGTAATCGAGTTATGAGAGGGAAGAGAACCTCGCCGAATATGGCGGTCCATTCTTCGTGATCACCTGAAGTCAATTCCGGTGATAATAAGGAGCGCTGTAGGGAGGAGAATGCTTGATGACGAATTTCTCGGCAAGGGTTGGTACACTGTGTTGTTAAAGCCATGAATATTGGTGACCAGTAAGCTGCCCAAGCTGAAATAAGTTAGTGTCGGAGAACGATATGAAAGATGCATTGAAACATACCTTCTTTGCTCTCGAGATGTGATTGTTCCATCAGGACTGGAATTCGTGATGTTAAAGAATATATCATCGTAACTGCCTGAACCCCTCTAGCCACAACTGCATCTAACACCTGTGGTTTTGGCTGTTTGACTTGTTGTCCCCTTCTTCCCCGTTTATCCAGCTTTTGTTCCACTGTAGAGCCTACACTCCCAGCAGTAGCAAATTCATTGAGTAACTTCACAGCTGACTCATAGTTATCAGCCATTATTGTTGGAGGTGAGCCAATAGCGACACCCTCGAGGATTTCGAACACAGCAGATGCGGACGAAGGACTAGTTGCAAGATTTTTGAGTATTACCCAGAAATCAGGAGACGTCATGATTTCATTTCGTAAAGGACCGGGCTCTTTTATGCATTGTGTTAAGCCTTGAAGGACAAGTGTAGCGGATTTCTCGAACAAATCCTTTTTGAAACTTGAAATGGCGTGAAGGACCACAGGGACACGAATATATGATTGTTCCTAGAGATATTAGCTTTAGTCGGGCTACTAAGGTGAGGTATACTAACATAACTCGCGCGCAGGAGATGCAGTAAATAGAGGATTGTTCTAGATACCATCAAAGGATGCCAACTAGGGGAATTCCTTATGATATTTTGTAGAGCCTCTGCAACATCTGCCCCAAATGCGTCGATAGTTTCATTATCTCGGATTGCAAGGACAGTACATAGCTCTAATATGTAAACAATTGATGGATCATACAGAGAGCCGGAAAATGCACCGTTGACACCGTTCGCAGGACTTGATGGGGGTTCCACTTCTGATTTCACACTTATGACAACCGATGAAGGGTCATCAGGCAATTGAGATATCAATGCTTGTAGTAGAGGTCGTAGGGAATCGACAGGCATGTTTCTAATCACATTAGTATCAATTCAAAATCAATGAGCAGGCATTACTTACACTACATTGGCAAATACGTCACCCATGAAGCAAGCATTCACACAATCGACTGTGCATAGAGTACTTTCAAGTTCTTCATCTGATGGCTCTGGGGGATCATCTGCAGCATAGCTAGAGATGTATGATGTGAAAGCAGAGAAAAGACCAGTGTCGCTAGGTTTTGCCCCTCGATCAATGACTTGGGAAGGGGTTTGTAGTGGAATTGGAGCAACATCTATGCTATTCGACGTAGCAAAGAATGGGGGTATTAAAGAATTAACAAATAAATTCAACCAAATCCTGGAAATCTGTCTATGTGATTAGTAAAGGGTATAGAAGGCTTGAAAACTGAGTAGACTTACATGCTTCCAACTTTCTCCTATGACACTTTCACTACCTAACACAACACGGAAAAGAACAACAGTGGCAAGTTGAGCCTTGACATCTCTACCAAACTTCACTGCAAGTTCGCTAACCATGACACTATTCTCTCCTACCTGTATCTCGGTATTAAGTGCAGTGCTGGATGGGATTTCTGTCGCAAGAGTAGTGATGTAACTCAAACAATACACGACTTGATCAATAACTTCAGTCAAACCATATTTCGCTGCGATACGGACACACTGATCGAAACCAGTTATAATTCTCTCGAATACTGCATCATCACTAGCCGAAATGAAGACATATGATAGAGTGGCAACCACAGGTCTCCATGTAGCTGCGAACATATCTGCGTCAAAGATGTTAGTGTCGCAAATGGTGAGATCGCCCGCAGGAGCGGTTTTGAGCAACAACTCTTTCCAAGCATAGTCGAAAGCATGCTTATTGTCATGCTCATCGGGTAAAATGATTTCGTTTGATTTGATAGACTCGAAAATGTCCTGAAGGTATTGTAGAGCAAAGTCCTGCCCGCCATTAACTCCACGTAAATTTCGTGCAAAATTTTCTATTTCCATGCGTTTACCCTTCAGGTTCGGGTTATGCTGATCTGTATTTAACATGATGATAGCATAAGTTAGAACATATACTGAATCTTTGTCGGCGACACCTTCAGGTAAAGTGCCTGAACAATAGTTTTCTGCGAAAGTCGTGACAATTCGTTCAATCAAACCGGACTCTCCAGGTAATCTGAAAGTTTCAAGGAGTTCACGTAATGCTTCATCAACTCTCTTGTTCTCAAAATCAAACAAATCCATCAGAGCCTCTAAAATGGGCTCATTTCCTTTTTTGGATATAAATTCACCCAATTGCTTTTTGTCGATTCGAGATGTTCCTTTTAAGAAGTTTGCGACAGTCTTCGCATCTTTGGGGTCATCTATGATACCCTGTGATGCCAAGAATGCAATTCCAGCTTTTGGATTCTCATTGAACTTTATGGTTCCCTGAATGATGATTTTTTTCCTTCGTTTTTGCTCACGTAATGCCGCTTGATCAGGGTATCCATCACGTTTTGGCTCATCATTGAGTCTACCCGCGATGAACTGAACATAACCTAAGAGCGCATCAAGACAAAGCGGTGGGACGCTGGTTGTACTCCAAGTCGCTGAATCCGGGATTGCATTGCGAGACAGAAGTCCAACCATATCCTCACATATATCACTCCGATCGACCTCACAATCATAATTGACGTATAGCTCGACCATATAGCTCGGTATCCGTGCAAGAGCCCCGACACTTTCCACCATTGCTTCACGTGCATCCGGCTTACGCGACCCACCTTCTAACCCTAGTGTGCGTCGATCTTTCACAGGTACGGGTGTATTGCGACCACTGTTAGCTTGTGACGGTGGAGGTTTCACCAGTTTTGGAGCTTGCGGCACACCAGCATAAAGAGAAGGGTCGATCCCTTTTTCTCGAGGAATTTCGACACGAGGATGCAGGCATGCAACCAAATAAGAGAGAAAGAGCTCTTGCTGCAACTTTAATACTCCCCTGCAAGTCGCGAGGAGAGTGCCAGCAACAATGAGAGATTCCTGTAATATAGCCATATTGTCCGATCGGACTAATTGGAAGATATATCGACATAAACGGTCCTCGGCAAGGTTCGCTAAAGCTGGATGCTTGGCAATGGAAGGACCCGCTACCTCTAGAGCTACATTAATTATACGAAGAGCCATAACCCTTAGAGTATCGGCATGTTTGCGATCATCAGGATCTAGTAAGTCTATCAGAGCCCGAAATAGCTCACATATGGACGGAAGAGAATAAGGTTTGCTTGGGGAGTCATCAGAAGCCTCTGATGCCGGTGCCGCAGTCCCACCCTCAGATGAAGTTTCCATGAGAGGTACCGTTTCCATGGCAGATGCCGGCCGTGACGCATCGAAGCTCAAAGAAGATGGCCGTGATTCGGTAGGAGGTGCGATCAATTTTGTGATAGCATCGGTACCAGCTGCTGAGGGGGCCATTTTGACAGTATGCATATCTTCCTTTGTCTTCTCGTCTAAAGCTTCAAGATCATCCCCAGCCTCTATTTCTAAATGCTTGAGTCTCTCGAAAATGATTTGACACATCTTAACCATAGAAATTTCTGCAGATCGACGAACCAACTCCGATAGTTTCGGTTGACAGCACATGCTTAAGCCCGTCTCCATCATTTCGCAAACACTCCCGTCACTTAATAAATCTCCACCGGGGCCAGACAGCATTCCCTCCATGAGTTTCAATATCCGTAGAAATACCACCTCGTCAGCCACTGTGTCGCTAGCTTCGAATCGGCAGTGTGTCATGGCAGCGGACAAAGACTGCATTGCCTGCGAAAGTCGAGGAGAGCTTGGACTAATTAAGTTGTACGAAAAGAACTTTGTGATAGCAACCAGGGCTAAAGATGTGATCGGCGCAGTGGTTGCTGGAGCTTCGATGACTTGGAGAAAAGGATGAAGTAAAGATGGGGTATCGAATGCGTGTATATCTAATATTAAAAGAGTAAAATGTCAGTCATGCCCAGCCCAGAAGTGGTTGTGTTGCCTACCTTCACATCCAGTCAATTCCCGTCTGAGGCGTCCAAATCCAGCCATCAAAGGATTGTCTTGCATGCTCTTCCCTTTCTTTCCCCGCAAGCCCCATCTGTTTGCCAAACCAGCATCATCATTCCCTTCTGCGGCGGCTGAGCCCTTTGGGGCCCTGCGATGTCCTATATAATCTCGCGGTGTAGAAGGCCTTGAATTTTGAAACCCCGAGCTTAACGGACTCGAACCACCACCCAATATAGAAGACACCGATGAATGCGCCCATCGAGCATGTTTCCGCATAGCAGACGTAACTGTGATACATTCTGTAGTAATAAGGGCCACAGGATCGACAGCTACCGAGACCATATTCGTATTTGAGGCCATGTTGCCGTTATGTTGTTGCGAGGCAACGCTATCAATGCTCTGGCGCGAAGCTGAGGAAGATATCGATCGACGTATGGGAGAGGTAGCCGAAGCTATATCTTGTGTTGTGTCATTATCGCTCATGTTGTATGTCGATTACCTATAGTACTGAGCGCAGCATGAGGACTATTTGCGAATATTAATAGCCACGCGCAGTGCCGTAAATTCGTGGCGATATAGTGAGTCCTATTTGAATAGATCCGAATCGCAAATACAAATGACTATTGGTAAATATTATACAAACACAACTATGTTGACTAGATTCAATAAGACCAGTAGATATCTACGATATCATGGTTAGGCTGGCTAGTAGGCTACATACATTGGAAGAGCACAGATGTCAGAACTACGGGTACCTGAGTATCGGTAGTGTGTTCTTTGATATGACCCAATAAATCATCTATCAAAAAATGATTTGTAGCAAAATCAAGTAGAATATAATATTCGTTATTATTTTCAGTACAATAGTTTGTTCAATCAATCCTTCAATTCTATAATACTGCTATGTTTGTTTTTACAAGAACTTCAACCTAGATTACACTGTACCTAAGAGAAAGTGCTGAAATGCCACCTCCATATTTACGACTTGGCCTCGATAGAAATACTTCGTCAAGCTGTGAATGTTCATGAATACCCTCGTAGCCTCATCAACACTGGCCCAGCCAAAAGCCAATATGTATCATTCCATTAACCAAGTTTCCTTTTGCGCCCCTCAATCACTTTCCTTTATTGTACCTAAATCAGTCAGTAAACATGGCGATACTTGAGTTTTATAACATTCTTACTTTGTCCTTTGGCTTGATTTCTTCGGCCTTGGAGCCAGCAACCTTCACCACATCATCCTCTTCTTTAGCTTCAGCCTTCTCCTTCTCCTTCTTCTCTTTCAGAGCCTCATTTTGGATATCATTCTTATCCTTCTCCCATTGTGGACTTGGATCATCAAACTGATCCTTGACCTTTTTCACACGCTCGGCTTTCTCCTTTTCTTCATTCTCATGATCAATACGCTCTTTTTCCATTTCCTAAAATACGGTAAGTGATTTGTCAAAAGTCAAGCATGATTCTCAACTAACCTCCATGTGACGAATATCATCAACACTTGGTTCATACAAATGCCAAATAGTGTAATGGGGTAAACCAACAACCGAGAATTTCATTCGCTTTGCCATCTATTCCTCTCGTTAGAATTGCCAAAATACGTGAGTCAAAGGGATCTCGAACCTTTCCGAATCCTTCAGTTTCGGCATGCTTTTCGAAACTAAAGGCGGGGAAATGCACACCAGATCTGAAAACCTTAGCCTTGGCCAAAATACTCACACCTCCAACACCATCGATATCCATTTCCATGTCAGGGTCGCCGTATGGATCTCTCAAGTATGCTAAATGAGGGCGCCATGTTGCATATTCCGCATATCCCTCGACAATAACTGCGTCCTCGTCGAGAGTATCAGCCAAGGCCAAGGCTGTTTCGGACTCTTGCCATGAGTTTAAATCATAGGGCTGCTCTCCTCCGAGCCAATCTGGCAATGGTCGCCAAACGTCTGAATTTATTATTAGCAAGGAGTGATAGAACTCGTTCGCTTTTACTCACTAGGTACGATGACGTCCTTGTTGTGACGCATAAGATCCTCCAGAATTGTGAATGGTGCAGTCTCAACATCCACATCTCTCCAGTAGACCCAGCTGTGATAAGGACGTAATGCAGCACTTAGAAGCCAATTTCTAGCTTGTGCCATCAACTTTCTGCGGCTTGCTTGTGCAGCAAAACCATGACGACTCTCTACATCTTGGTTGACCTTTTGTCCAAAATCCTTTTCAATGATAGATATTTCGCCGTATGGTTGTTTTGGGTCCTCGTCGGCTTGTAATTGTTCCAAAAGCTCTGAAAGTAGAGGTAGAGTGTTATCTTTGGAATCGGAAACCAAGAATGCGAGATCTATAAGATGATGCGGATATGTGAAGTTATGGAGATGTGAGAAGAACATTCGTAAATGGGATTCGGCATCTCGAAGGGGGGCGCAAAGTAAGATTCGCTCCTCTCTTTCCCAACCTCTGGCAGTCCCTTGTACATTTGAGAGATCGTAATATCGAACAGTTTCCAGTTGAAATTCCTCTCCGGAAGAGATAAATCCAAAAGATAATACTGGAAGGACAGCGGCACCTGGCCATATAAATAGTCCTACTACTAATGCGAATACTAAGACAATAGTCAAACGAATGAGGAGTTGTCTTCGACGGCGCAGAGCTGGAGGTGATGTCCTTGGTTGGAATCTATGTTGAAAACTATATCAGTACACTGCCAACATATCAAATGATTTTCGCGATGAGTTTGAAGGGCCAATTTGATTTATACGGACCTATGTGGTGATATGGAGTATGTGTCGCCCTTAGAATATGGATCGCTCTTACGAGGATATCCATTTGAAGATGTGGTTGCTTGATGCCTGGGCATCATCTTGGGCGAAGATACAGATGCATAAGATGGTAACATTCAAAACAGGTACAATGAACCCAAACCCAAATGTCAGTGTTGACGTTACTTGACGAGAATTGAAGGTTAATAGAAATGGGTAATTGAATACTTTAGAGAGCAGGGGGAGGATTATTGAGTGGATTCGTGTTCCTTGGGCGGGCTTGCTCAAAACCCAAAAAAGATACTCAGTTATAATTAACTACCTTTACAGTACTCAGTACAGGGGCTTCTATACGACGTAATTGAACTTAGAAATTGAATGCACCAATCAATTGAAGAGTAAATGAAGCCGTATAATTAAGATATGGTAAGCTTTTAATTTTGGACTTATTATTACTCTCAGTTGAACGACGTTTTGAGGAGTTTGGGTATCTGTGTATGAAGGTATTCACTTATTCCGGACATTCCATTCTTTCAGTATTCAGGGCAATAAAGGATCAACAGGTTATAATCGTTAGGACCTGGGCAAGTATATTGAAGTCTGAAACATCGAACAAACTATACTGTAGTACAGTACCAGGTAGGTATATACTTTAATCTTAAGCGATTAGACGCCAATGGTGAGCTTATTTGTATCAAAACAACTAATCGTGGGTGGCCCCTCTATAGCTCATTGATATGATGGCGCTCATGTACCCACGATTACTACCATACAGTCAAAGTCAAATAAATGTGGCTGATTCACTACCCACGTAGACATCTAATTGATCAGGGCAAAAGAGTCGATATCTGTTTGAAACAAGACACATTCATAACCGTGAATGCCTTCAAAATAAGCTTAAAAGAGGCAACCCGCGATTATGATGGAGAGATATCAGTCTGTTTCTGTTTGAAAAAAGGGAGTTCAATTAGATTTTGATACCTAGACCTTTTTTTTTTTGCGCTAATTCTAGGAAGGGCTTAGAGTGATTACCTAAGCTAGCGCATAAGCTAGTGAGAAGCTCTTTCCTTTTCTTCGCGAAGAAAAAATATTCTTCAGTCTTTCAAGCTTCAAACACTTTCAATTGGAAAGTCGGCAACAATTCAATAAGCTCTGGTAAGTTATATATCTACAATCTCTTTAGTTTCCTTCTCTTCGATATGATTACAAAACCGATCTGTCAATCCCCTGACACCAGATTTATCTGGACATGATGTCTTAAAATATGTTTTAATTCATGATTTATCGAGTCTCAACTTTATCATAGCACATTTTACCATTTGACATGAGAATCACTGCTAACATGATAAAGTAATCTATAGTCTAAAGTCTGTTTGTCTCGAATCTAAGATGTCTTCATCTCCCGTGTCAGAGCCAGTTGCCATATCATTCATCGCTGGTCGATATTTGCTATTCGACATTAATGTCGTGACTCACCTTCGCCGAACTTACCATATCTGCGGTGTTTTGACTGGTACCATCCCGCAGATTCCACAACAGAATTTATTTCTTGGCCTTCCCGTTGAGTTGCTACCAGAAGAGGCTAAAATTCTCGTCGATAAGAAGATTGCATACATTGTTGAGGATACTCTCTTGCATAAACAACACTTCGGTTCGCTGGAAGGATCAGACAGGAAAAATTACTTGGATCCCCTTAAAGCCGAGGCATTACAAGCAAAAAGAGCTGCAGATACTGAAGCCAGAAAGCGGACTGAAAATGCCCTAGCAAAAAAAGCTTTGAAAGGTGGGAGTGGGTTGTTACCAAGTGCATCCAGGCTGAGTAACGAACAGAAAGATACTGTTTCAAATCAGCCAGACTCTTTATTCGATGATGAACGCTCTGCTTCCAGAGCATCATCTGTGGCACCCACATCAACAAAACTTTGGGGCATCACACCAACTATTTCATACCCCTCATCCTCCTTGCCCAAAAACTTTTCATCTAGTTCAGATCCATCCGTTCCTTCATCATACCCTTTGTTTGCACACTTGCACTCTCGTGACTATTTCATGACCCCTGGTCTCCGCTTCGGATGCGATTATACAGTGTATCCAGGAGATCCTCTACGCTTTCACAGTCACTTCGTAGCTACAGGTTATGAATGGGATGAAGAGATCCGTTTGCTGGATATCGTAGGAGGTGGTAGGTTGGGTACTGGTGTCAAAAAAGGTTTCTTGATTGGAGGTGAGAATCTCGAAAAGAAATCGACCGAAGAAGAAAGTGATGGAGTAAGAACGTTTTGTATTGAATGGGGTGGAATGTAGTACACCCAGATAAATTGGGTGTATGGGACTGCCTATCAATCACATTGATGGTAGGTTGCCATTAACATAAAAATAACGAATGAAAACATGAAATCATATCTCCCTCAAACTCAAGCTGCGCTCCAAATGTATAAGTGATGTAGCAAAGCAGCCGCGCATCTAAATATTGGGATACTTTGTGGACCGTCAGGTTGCCTTTGGAACATTCGCTCAAGGAACTTGTGAGAGACACCTTAATCCATAATTTAAAGTTTGGTAACTTGCATTGCATTCTAGAATTGTTCTACGGCCGGATAAACCCTGCGCCGACCATAATTCACATCATCTGAAGTCGCATTATTAGATAATAAGTAATCATGTTTGGATTCCACCTTCCGACGTAAAATATTATCGACTGTTGTTGCTATTTCAGTTATCTTCTTCTTCAACTGCTCTTAGTTTTAGAGAATGCTCTTTATCTGGAATTCCCTGATGGTCCGGTGAGACCAATAGACATCGACTAATCATCTCTTTGTGACGACTCTCCGTTTGCGCTTGATTCGATCCCGGCTTATCATGGCTTCTCCAGTGATGCTCGACAATGGCACAAAATTCGACATTGCTTCATGGACAAACTGGACCGCGGTTAATGTCACACAATATGTGCCATCTGCAAGAGATCTCGCTTTGGCAGGACCGCGAATGGTTATGAAACTTGGTTCCTTTCTTACAGTTCCCGAAACCGTTGATAATATATTAGGTATAAGGATGGGAGCGCGAATCATTCCAGAAGCCACTGGGGCTGGCATACCCGATCCCATGGAAACGATAACAGCTACAGCAGTCGCTGGAATAAGACAAATTGTAGAGACTGGGTCGGAAACATTGACGGAGGAGAGTATAATGGCAAGTTCAAGATTCTCTTTGGAGAGTGCGCGAAGTCTCGGAGGTCTATTTGCCTATGCCACGAGCAAATGGGCGCTGGGATGCGTAGTGATGGCTGTTGTTCTGAACCGTACGCATATAATGGCCAGCACAAGAAGGCCACTTGAGTTTACGTGGAAACCACGCTTCCTATTACGAATAATACCTATAATCCTACTTCTTGTTCAAGCCAGATGGCTGTTACAATCGATACAATGCCAGACATCCCCTGATTTTGGTTACCTACGATGGGGTAATTCGTCAAAATCACATAATCTCATGTTCACCCAGGATGGAGGTCCTCTGCATACATTCAGTCAATTCCTTCTCTTTGGTGCTAAGGATTCGGCCTCATGCCTGGCGGTGAGTATGATCCCTAATGACTACATCGTGGTGAACGAGACAAACTCCAAAGAGGGCATTCCCACCACATATGATCTTTCTGGATCCTTGTCACTTTTATGGCCTATATTCAAGACCTTCAGCTTCAGTCAATTTGTCGAAACAGTATCTTGTGCTGTTCAAGGTAAGCCCACCCCAGCTTTCAATCTTTTCCGTTTGCATGTCTTGAGCGGTGCTAGGAGATTCTAGTCCTTAATCTTTTATTCACTATCTGAAGTAGCTAGGGTGTACTTGTAGTATGTGAACTAACAATTTTCAGGTCGTCAGGTTGCAGCCGAAACTGGAATGACACTCTTCGAACATTCGTTAGCCTTTGCCGAGGCTGATGCAGCGGTTGGTTCTCAGATTGTTGGGTTCATCAAAATCAGGATTCCTTCAGGCGATGATTCAAATTCCGAACCCACTCAAATTGCCATCACACGCTCTATGATTATGAAGAAGATAAACACAACGCCAGAGGTTCTACTGGTTGGGTTCCTCTCGGTTATGAATCACTTGAGTAGTCATATCCTCGGAATCTTCGACGTCCAAGGAAGATTCCGACTCCTCAATACTGGCTTTTGGGGCATTTCGTTCATGTCCGTCATTGTGTGGAGCCTTTTGTCATTCTCTTTCGATGATTCTTCTAGTCAAGGGTTATTGAGGTATCCCACGGTTTGTATAATCGGATTCATCCCTCACGTTCTCGTTCTGTGCGGTATTATTATATGCTCAATCATATACGGCGTTGCATTGATTTTGTCTACATTGGCCCCTGTTAGCGGTATCAACGAGCCCAACATTCCAGTTGGACGAAACCTACCAGATGCTCGACCTCGATTATCATTCTCAGAAAGAGTGATCAAAGCACATCACAACATGCAAGCGAATGTTCCCCTATCAAGTATTAGAATTACGATGCACATGGACTTCTATACTGCCTTGCTCAGGACAGGCTTTGCTGTCATGACCATGGCTAGTGAAGCTGTTTATTTAAACGAGAGTCGAGGAGTGAACGTCAAACCCAACACCTGGCTCGAAGATGACCGTTTGCGTGAGATTGAAGAGACTGGAGCTCAATGGCTAGGTCCATCTTTTAGAGCACATGAATCTGAGCTTGCTATAGATGATCATATGCCTCACAATATTGGTCTCGTGGCGGCAAGAGGTCGACCGGTCCTTTCACCGCAAAATTATCACAGTCCTTATGCACGCGAAATGACTGCACAGAAAACTACGAAGCCCAAAGCACAGGAACGAGTATTAAGAGATGGTGTGGGTGCTACAGAGCGCAGTGGACGTTGGGTGATGGCCTTGGAGTTCTTCCTAGGTATCAATAGATTAATCTTTAGCTGGTAAGTACACTTCCATCAATCACTGCTCTCGAAATTCTCCTTCTACCGGTAGTTCGACATTGTAGGAGTCCATCGAATGTTTAAAATGCAACATACTTTAACCAATTTTTCCCCATGGTGGAGCCTAGTGTCACCCATACAGCACAAATTATACCCTTGTAGATTATGACAGCTACTAATCTGTGGGTTTTAGGTGGGCAACATGCATCTTAATGTCTATGAGTTGGCTTGGAATTCAAACTCGTCCGCGCTGGCTTCTTTGGTTTGTAAGGCAAACGAAAAGAGATTCAGTGAGCACGGCTGTACAACCAAACGATCCAGATACGCTAAAATTTTGGCTTCTCAATATCGATGGCGAGTTGACTCTACCCAAGGATGAGCATGTAGACATAGAGGTGGAAATGAGACGGCGACTCAAGAACAACCAAGAACATTGGAGTCGAAGCAGGGAGACCGAGTTAGAATCAAGCCTGTATCAATGGTGGCTCAATGGCGGATGGTGGGGTAGCGATGACAACAGCGGAATGTTCAGTCCCGACAGAAGAGATATTGAAGATGACACAACTAGTGTGGTATCCTATTCGACAGAAGATGAGAGAGATTGGGAGTCGGATGATGATGCCATTACAGACGGTCAAAGAACACCTACACAACGATCACCTCATCCATCACGAGAACCTAGTCCAATTATCGACACACCCTTATCATTAACAGATTTATCTCAACTCTTACACCCTCGAAACCCCGAACAAAGAGCTGAAGCACAAGCCCTCGCAATTCACCTCACAAGCGACAAAATCCTAACTCGTGCCCGATACCGGGATATCATCCAAAGAGAACGAGCTCATGTCTTAACATCTACCCTCCAACGCCCCCCAAATTTCATCCCATCCGATCCATCCGGCAAACTTTCCCCAGAAGAAGAAACTCAAATCCTCGAACACCTCATCATCTCAAAACGCAACTATCAAAAAGCTACCAAAGAACCAGCGTCGTGGATGCACGGTGCATCGGGCATGGGAGAAAATGGTCCGCAATGTGTGGTGTGTCAAAGTTCTCCACGAAGCGTTATCTTGTGGCCCTGTCGTTGCTTGAGCTTGTGTGATGAGTGTAGGGTCACGCTAGCCATGAATAATTTCGATAAGTGCATTTGCTGTAGAAGAGATGTAGTTAGTTTTAGTAGAATTTATGTTCCGTAGGGTGTGATAATAACGGGGGGGTTGGGAAGGAAAGTACGCAAGGTTTGACGGGTATTCGTGCACAAAATTCCTCTTTTGGGGTGGAGATTTGAAGTTTTTTCCGCATGGTATGAGACATATGCATGGTGCGGTCCTCTGTTTTCTTGCCAGCGACGCATTTTTTTTCTACTCTATCAGTAGTTCAACCTTTTATTTCTTGTATCAGTAGATTGTGTTGTATGCGATGTGATGTGTTATAGTGTCTATGTTGAAATAGAGTAATTACATATGGATACGGATATGATATACTCGAGTGGATAGATATATATGTATATACAGTGCGAGCATGAATGAAGTATGAAGTCCACTCCGGACTGTATATCCAGATCTAGATCATGTATCTCGATCTCGGATGTAGATCTGCATGCTACTTTTATTCGAGAGAAGATATGAGGTGACGTAGTTTAGGGCTGGCGTTATTATTCATCTATTCATCCATCCCGTGTCATCCGTCTCTTCTATAGCTACCTACTCATATCATATTATAGCTCCAAGGTATCTAAAATTGAACTTGCCGTTCCTGCTTCGCTTCTTATCTAGTTGTATGACCTCGTACATGCATACGTACATACATACATCCTGCCCTCTAAATTGTGATATCTATATCTCGTACCTATCACCCATCACCCATCACTTGTAAAACTACCTCATCCTAGTCTCAATCTCAACCTCATTCTCAACCTCAATCCCCACCCCTCTCCAAAAACCCCGGATCATTCCTCACCCTCCCCTCAAACTTCCTCCACCACTCCTCAAAAGCCTTCAAAGGAACAACTTCTATCCCCTTCCCTCCGTTCCCATTCCCATTACCATGACTGGTATCAGCGATATTTCCACTGAAACTGGATAGGAAATTAAAGGCGTTTTTAATGATGCGTTGGGCGAGGAGGAGGGTATCGGGATTGGGATTGGGATTCTGAGGGGGAAGAAGAAGGGGTGTGGAGGGGGGGTTTGTGGAGGCGGAGGATAGGAGGGACATCTGTGCAGATACGGAGGCGCTGGATTCGAGGGATATACCGATGGTTAATTCACCTGCGTGGTTCTGGGGTACGCTAGAAGGGGCGTCCATATCGATTTCGGGGGGATTGTTGGGGTTGGGGTTTGCAATTGAGGTCGGAAGAGATATATCTCGGTTTATTTTAAATATGGCGCTTTCCTTGCCAGGACCAATGCCCCCGAGAAATCTAAAGGGTGGTATATCTGCAGAGGAGGAGGAAGAAGGAAGAGATATGTAGACGGCGGCTGCGGTAGAGGGCGGGAGAGTGATGCCTGGGAGGAGAAAGACGCAGATGTGGTGGTAGGGTTGTGCGGGTAGCGTGTATGTGAAGGAGGTGGGTGAGGGGGCAGAGGTGGGGGTTATGATTGGGGGGTGGCCGGTGGGGATGCTGGGGTTGGGGAGAGAGAGGTTAGTTGTTTGTTGGGTGAGGGGTAAGGGGAGGGGAGATGGGTGGGCTAGATTGGAGGGGAATGAACATACATGCCGAAGAGTTGGGGGAGTGAAGGTGGAGCTTGCTCCATGATTTGTGACTTTCGCGAGCTTTGCGATTGATGTATAGGAGATGACTCAGATGAGATAAGTAAGATGTGGTGTGATGTGATATAAATGCGAATGTGACGAATAGTATAGTAACACTACTCAGTATAGCTATTAAATTTGATATCTCGGAGATTTAAATTCAACGCAAGCTCAAATATGATTGATGTAACTAATTGACAGTGAGTCAGTGACAGAGTGAATACAATTGAGATTATAAATTATGTGAATGTTATTGAGTTGAGTTGTATTAAACTTTTGTACTTCCAAAAGTTTAGTTCTGTTCTGTTCGCGGAAAGTTCTCGTCGCATCTAGATACCTAGTAATTATATTGTAGAATTCATTTACATTATATTGCGGGGCAATTTGGTAGTGTTCGTGAGGTGGGGTACATACTGTTAAGTAATTGCCGAGATGTACTAAATTCTAATCAATATCAAAACACTAGATCTGTACTGAATAATCTCGGGACTAATGATCTATACTGCTACACTGTACTGTACTGCGCTATCAAATATCTATAAATATTTTCAGAAATCGCAAGAACAAAACCAAAAATCTACATCTTTTGATTATTAGATACTTCATATTTCATACATCATACAAGGTTTTGGAAAACCCGATAAACACGGATCATGAAGACATATTTGGAAGTAGTCGATGCGTGCGATTCGTAAGTAATCCCCTTTCGATATATTTTTTGTTGATTTGCTGTTTGGTTAGTACATGGTGGGTAGGTACCTAGGTATCACCGCATGTGCATGAAAAGAAACGGCTTGGGTGGTGGTGGTGGGAATGCATATGATGTTGTGCTTCAGGAATATACAACCAAGTGGTTGGTAAGATGGAGTTTTAAAAAACTTGGTGTATTAGAGCATGCATGCATATGGAACAGACTCAATCTCAGTGAAAGAACGGTTCAACTGAGCAGAGTTCTCGACTTTGGGTCAAACATATCAAAATCAAAATCCAACTCCACAAGATCATCCTCATACCTCTATCACATCAAAGCCACCTCCACATGATCATCCTCAAATCTCTATAATATCACACGATCCCCTCACAGACCACACCCCCCAACTAACCACCCCCAGATTTCCCTACCTAGAAAAAGATGCCGCCGCCCACTCCACCCAAACCTCCACCCTCTACACCCTCATCTACGAAGACCCCAGCACTCACACCACCCACCCCATCGGCTACATCACCACGCCCATCTTCCACGCCCTCACCCAAGTCCCCACCAGCATCAAAGGCGAAATGACCGTCAACCGCTCCAAACGCACCATTAGCGTCTTCACTCAACCTAGCGAGTCCGAACGCAGCGCCGCCGTCGCCGCAACATGTGCTTACTGGCGCTCTAGCAAGACCTTCCTGGTGTTATCTGGCTGGCGCAATGAGCTGTATCCCGTCTATGGACCTGCTCACGAACTATTATGGTCCGTTGAACGAAGCGCCTCGGTACTTTTCGGCATTGTGGGTTATGGCATTCATATGATGGCATATGTGCGCGATCCGGAAGTGAGTTATGGGATGAAATTATGGGTGCCAAGACGCTCGGCTACTAAACCTACGTATCCGTCTATGTTGGATAATACGGTAGCGGGGGGCATGGCGACAGGGGAAGATAAGTTGGAGGCTTTGGTGAGAGAGTGCATGGAAGAGGCCAGTTTGCCGGAAGAGGTTGTTAGGAAGAATGTTAAGGCGCATGGTGTTCTTACGTATATTCATCTACTGGGAGCTACGGCTGGAGGAGAAACGGGCTTGATCCAGCCGGAATGTGAATACCTGTACGATTTGGAGTTACCTGCCGATGTCGTTCCCAAACCAAACGATACCGAAGTGGAACAATTCTATTTATGGACCGTGGAGGAAGTTCAGGAGCGCATGAAGAATGGGGAGTTCAAAGACAATTGCGGAGTCGTTTTATTGGATTTCTTCATCAGACATGGCATATTGACACGGGAAAACGAGAGCGATTTCGATGAGATCAAGGGCAGGATTCATAGAAAGTTGCTATTTCCAGGACCACACGATAGTTGAATACCCTAGTATTCCAGATATAAAAACGTATCTGGTGCTTGAACGCCCTCAAGACTTTTCAATTTCCCATCCACAACGCCCCACGCAAATGCAAAACCACATGTGCACGCGAAAATTCGGCTTCCATTATTGACGATTTTCGTCTGCCAGATTTCTCAAATGATTTAGCCGCGCTGTAGACAGCGATTCTATTTCTCGTTTTGTTTTTGGTATCCTGGGTCTATGATCTATTTCTTGATGAGAAGATAGACATAGTCGACTCTCAGAGGCGTAAGCTTCTTATAAGGACCCTCCAATGCCATTAACAAACCTCCAAAGGAGATATATGCTTTACTATATCAGGAGTCAGTCAATCAGTTCATAGAATAATTAGATAGCAAGCAATCAAGCAATCAAACCAACCCCAAACTCCCCAGGAAAAATAACATACATCAAATCACTATTTTCCGAATCCTCAAACTTGTAAATCTTGCCATGACACACATAATCAAACATATCAGCCAACGTCGCCTCACCCCCCATGCCCATGCGATTAGCATCTCTCCAGCCCTTTTCATTATCCTTAGTGCCATCCAACGAAAGCGACGTCGCAATCACCACGCGAATGTTGTCGCCCACGGCGAGTGGATATAACTCCGTGTTAATATCCAAGAGCATGGAAACGGAATGGTCGACCGTGGATGTCGCCTTGATGCGTCCGACGCGTACATATTTCTTGTGGTCCAATTCATTGACCGTGAAGTGCTCGTCGAAGAGCTGTGCGTCGCCGGAACCTGACATTTTTTGGTTTGCGGTTGGTGGTAGAGGAGATGAGGAAAGTGTTTGGAGTCGAGGATCTGCGCGAAGTTTTTGTTGGTGTTGGGGTAGGGTAGAGTAAGGTAATCGAGGTATTGAAGAATCCTATCAAACTCGACGTTCAATATTTTAGAGTGGTGTATAAATATTTACTGCAACTACGTACCCAAGAAGCTTTGTCTTTAGCAAAATATTGCACATCCAAAAACATCGAAAATCAACCGGATGTCGGCGAAACAAAGCTCCGGCGCAAAAAAATTAATCCCACTTGTAGCTCGGTCTTATAGTGGGATAACTAGGGATATATACTCGGTACCCCGCGACAAACGACAATAATAATTCTGACCATACTCACCACCACCACCACCACATATCCTCCTAAAAATGGCCTTTCGCAAACGGAACATAGCCATACCACAACCAGGAATCAGCACCCCACAAACCCCAATTACAGAAAAAATAGTCCCAATCCCCGGAATTCGACCCTCACCACTCGATGGGCGCCCAACTACATCCACAGGAACCCGCTCGCTCGATGCCATACTAGCTGGACATGCGGGACTAGCACTCGGCACATCGCTTCTACTTGAAGAGAGTGGGACTACGGATTTCGGAGGCACGCTATTGAAGTATTATGCGGCCGAAGGGGTGCTGCAGGGACACCATATTCACGTCTTGGGTATGCATCCGGGGTGGGGACGAGAATTGCCGGGAGAGGGAAAGGCGGAGGGAGTATCGTCGTCGAGGAAGGATGGGCAGGAGAAGGGGAAGGCGGCGGATGATAGGATGAAGATTGCATGGAGGTATGAGAGGTTGGGGGAATTTGGGGCGAGTGGTGCTAGAGGTGCGTGGCCCTTTGTTTTTGTATATATATTTGACAGATTTAAGGAGAAATTCAATATGCAAGTCACGGAAGCTAATGTTGTTGGTTTTGTGCAGAGAGAAATGCTGCGCAATCGAGTACAGGCACATCAGGTCCGCCTTTGATATTCTGCCACGATTTCGATCTTAGCAAACGGTTGATTCCCCCCTCATCTACGCAGATGCACTTGATTCCCACGATCCTCAGGCCCGACTTCGAATTCGCAGATACAACGAACGAAACAAAATCCCCATTCACACCATTCCTCCAACATCTCTCAACTCACCTCACTCGAACCCCTGCTACAACCATCCACCGCATCATAATTCCCTCCCTCCTCTCCCCCGCCTTCTACCCCTCCCACGCCTCTCTCCCTCACCACATCCTCCCCTTCCTACACGCACTACGAGCCCTCCTCCGCCAGCACCCCACCAGGCTAACCATCATGCTCACGCTGCCACTCCCCCTACACCCCCGCACCACCGCCCTCACAAGATGGATCGAGCTCCTCAGCGACGGCGTCCTCGAAATTGCTCCTTTCCCCTCCATATCCATCATCCCCAAAGCGACCCCATCCAGCTCCTCCAAGCCCGCTGAAGAAGAACCACCCCAAGGAATGCTCAAAATCCATCGCCTACCCATATTCCACGAAAAAGGCGGCGGAAGCGCGGGGTTTGCTGGAGACGATCTGGCATTTTCGTTGAGTAGGAGGAAGGGACTTGTTATTAAACCTTATAGTTTACCTCCCGTCGAAGACGAGGGGGAGGAACAAAAGGGAGGAATTGATATTGATGGGAAAGGAGGAAAAGCTACAAAAATCGATATCGAATTTTAGATAGATAGATAACTTCCCATCTGCATGTTTGGGAGGAATTGTACATAACAAAGGCGTTCCAACAAAAGGGGCAAAATCTAATCAGAATCAGAATGTCGAATATGATCACCAAGCATATCCTCCATCTCGAATTGATTCCAAGCACCTTGTCCATTAGAAGTGATGGCTCCCATGTAATTACTGTCGAATATGGCTTCCCGGGGATCATAAGACATGCCTGAGATACGACGACGGGCTCCTTCGCCCAGACATGATGTAAGTATCATCCAGGCTATAGCTTTTGTTAGTGATTTTGTGGTGGATGGGGAGCATGCATTTGGGACAAGATCACATGCCGATGAAGAGTGTAATGCCAATTGACATCACTAGAATTAAGGGCCAAAGTGCCGGCATTGTGATTTGAGAGATAGATATGGCTTTAGTATCGTTTGACCTGTTGCTCCCGGAGTTTAAGTTATGTTGTGGTATGCTATGCTATATGATGGTTCTCAAACTGACAAGTAGATGCTATGCTGACTAATCAAATATAGCTTGACGACGCTGGCTTAAAAATGCATATTTGCAGAATGTCATATTGAAGGGATGAACGATTTTAAAACTTTTGACATACAGTGCTCGAAGATATATCTACAACCATACGCATGAATATCACAGTTTCAACGATACTACAAGAAACGATTGCAAGTGAAAATGTCTTAAATTGTAGCTATTTTATAACGAAGGACCATCCCAGCTATCATGCATCATTCTTCAAAGAACATACCTGATATTATTATTCTTTCCAAAGTATTGTATCACTTGTAGCAGGTCAAGTACAAGATTCAGACATTCCTAATAGCAGCCATCAATTAGCAAAGGACTAATTATGATATTTAATGCTGATCATAAATTTCCAAGATTGTTCAGTAAGCCGTGTAAATCAAGCACTTCAACCGGCGACAGTGACTTGCATTACAAGACGCAATACAAATCTCCGAAGCTCTGAAACCCTAGCTCCACAACCTATCATCCCAAGCTTGAAGGCTCAGTCCGGTGCGGGAGTAGGATTCGGTCGATGAGCATTCATGGAATGGATAAGCTGTTATCATCATAACGAGGAAGTGTTGAGAGTGATAGAAAGTATACCGTACCTGTTATTATTGTAGTTGTCGCAGTTGAGGAAGATATGAGTAAGTTCTGTGATGACTGAAATGACAATTAGCTTTTGTAATGCTGAAAGTTTTTTGAAAGCAAGTTAAGGTAATTGTCTTTTAGATCAGAAAAGTTTGGTATAGTGTTTTATCAACATGAATGTTCAGAAGCAGAACTGATAATTTTTTTCATCATATAAAGACGGAGCAAGAGTGGTAGAAAATGGAGTTAGAGGTATGCTTACACTTTAAAAAGCTGACACCTCAAGTACAGTTATTGCAATGAGGTGTAGTCGAAATATATGGTGCTTGAAGCAATTGTCATCTGTCTTGAGGCAATTGTTAGCAATTGGAACAAGCCAAAATGTTTCTGATTAAGATACGAGGATCAAAATCGTGGCTCATATGGTGATGCATGTTTGTTCGTGGCTCAGGTGATCGCCGAGAACTAAAAAGGTGTGTAGTTTGAATCCGGGCCAGAAGAATATGAATGAAGAAAAGGAGGTAAAAGCTTACCAAGTTATTTGAGTCAACAATCCATCTTCAACTGAGATATTAGTGCGCAGAGTAGTTTCAAACTTCCTTCTTCCCCATTGATACCATTGATACCAAGCATTGCTGGTGTATTATTGCCATTACTTTTGAAGCAATTGACAAAGTGTGAGATGTTGAAGAAGGGTAACTCGCAACCATCTCATGTCAATGTCATATCAAATAAGGAAATGTTGTTTGTTGTATGAAAGAGGAAATACTGAAGAGTTGAGCGAAAATTTAACCTTTTTTAATCGCGCTAAAAGGATCTACAAGGTATTTCTCGGTCCATCTATTTTTCCGGAATTCTTAGACAGAAAAGTTGATGCCGCCGCAATTCGTAATTCGAGCTGTGCGACCAACTAAAGCAGATGGACAAATTTGGTTGACCAATTCCACAAATTTTCAATTTATCATGTCTGATCGAAGGAGAATAAATGGTCCTTCTGGTGGAACGAATGCACCAGTATTTTCAAAGTATCTCACCAAAGATTCAAAGAATCGTCCAGAGAGACCTTCAAGAAGTAGACAACCCAATGTTTTAAGGAAAATTTGTATGTATTTCTAGATATGGAGAAGTCAATATCAATTGATTTCAAGCTTACTTTTTGATTAGTTTTGAAAACCGGCGTAACACCATCAGCCTCAGGATCTGCATATCTCGAGCTTGAACCATCGCAACCCTCGAACGAATCCGCACCAGGCCTTACTTCTCTCTCTACCTCTGGTCTTAAGCTTACATGTACCGTTCATGGCCCTCGACCATTGCCTAAAGCCGCTCCATTCTCACCACATATGATCTTGCAGACTCATGTCAAATACGCGCCATTCGCAGCAAGACGGAGACGGGGATATGTTAGAGATACAAGTGAGAGGGATCTTGGAGTACATTTGGAAACTGCATTGAGAGGAGTAATCATTGGTGATAGATGGCCTAAGAGTGGAGTGGAAGTTAATATTACGATTCTTGAAGGCGAGGAGGATCATTGGTGGGGTGATGATAAATCTTTTGGTTCGTTGACTGCGGGTGGATGGGGTATGATGAGTGTACTCAGTGGCTGCATTACAGTTGCTTCTGCAGCTATTGCGGATGCTGGAATTGATTGCGTCGATGTAGTTTCTGGTGGAGTCGCTGCATTAGTACGTTCGCCGGCGAATTCAGAGCAGGAGGGTTCTACTTCCTTGGTCTTGGACCCAGTACCATCTGAACATAAGGAGATTCTTGCCGCATGTATTGTGGCATATCTTCCAGCTCGAGATGAGATCACAGATCTTTGGGTGAAAGGAGATATTGGGCATTCGACTGAGTCTAGCACCGATGATCCATCTTATGAGGAACTTACAGAAAATGCGGTACAAGCAGCTTTGGGAGCACATCGAGTTCTTATTGGAGCATTGAAAGAAACTGCAGATATCAAATTCAGACGATGAAACCAAGCTTTCAATTCTTTCTCGGGTGTTTGAAATAGGAGTTCTAGGGGATTAGAAAAGAGAGTAATGAATAGCCAACATCGGCTCAGGGTGACCAAGGCGTTAAAGAGTTTAGGACTTTATTGCATGAAAGCGAGGAGTTTCTCGTGATCTTTCGAAAGTTATGCTTCGATATCTACGTTGAATGAATACAACACTGGCACGGTTTATCTTCATTTGCGCATTCTTCCCAATATTTGTTCATTCTTGCGTGCATGATGGAGCCTCTTCCTATATGTTCCAGCATGTGCCTCGTTTGCTATCTTCTGCATACATACTACTGAATAATATTTCTTAGAACACTCATGAAAGCCTTCTTTATCATATCCCACAAAACCACTCATCGTTCTCACCAACTCAAAGAGTACCGCTAGCACCCTGTTACATCCATCTCAACCACCACAAAACTTGAAAGGCCACCCATACATCCCTTTCAGTCCTTTCAAACCCCTTAACATCCGCACTTCCATATTTTCCAACGTCTCACACAAACACCGGCCTCTCACATCACATCAAAGATAAGCAACACCATTACATACATATCCTGCATAGCCTTCATAGCCTTCATACCAATGTCAATGTCGATATTCCTATCCCTATCCCTAGAAAAATTAAAAAAACACACCCAGAACCCATTCGTTTCATTCATGTACCCACTGTTCGCTTTCATCATCTTGTTGCTATATAGTTGGTCTAACCTTCCAAAATTATCTTACATAATAATAAGTTGTTTCTTGAGGTTCATTCTTCTTATTTTGGTACAGCTTTGCCATCTAATCTTGTTGTGTTTATCCTCTTATTCATAGAATCACACCTTGTATTGATCAACTTAATTCCACTTCACTCCACTCTACACATCTCACCTCACCTCACCTTTTTACAATAGAAGAGGAAAGAAGAAACGCACCCAAAAGAAAGGAAGGAGAAGACGAACGAGAAGAAAAAACTTAAAAATGCCCTCTAAAATTCAACTCGATGAAAATCTCGTCTTCTTGTATATCTGTCTCCAGAAATCGGATATGAAAACTGTGAGTAATTTTCCTTTTCTTCTTCGTCTTTTCCTATTTCTCTGCTTCTATGATTGCTCTGCTTCACCCTTTTTCGTCTTCCATCTTATCCTATCCTATTCCACCCCCCCTCCTCAAACCCCTCAAACTAACCCAAACTAACCCCCAAATCCCAAAGATCGACTTCGCAGCCGTAGGCGCAACAACCAATCTTAAACCTCCCGCAGCACGTATGCGATATACAAGACTTAAGAGACAAATTGAAAAGGGGGTTATCGGGTCGGGGTCGGGATCGAATGGGAGTATGAGTTTTGCAGGTATTGGTGGTGCTGGTGCTGGGGGCGAGGAGAGAGAAGATGGTAGGGGGAAGTGGAAGAGGGGGGAGGGAGAGGGGCGGTGGAAAGGGAAAACAGAAGAGGGAGAAGATGGAGGTGATGGAGGTGAAGGAGAAGAGGGAGGTGAAGAGGAGCAGAAAGGATGAGAATGAGGATGCGGATGCGGATGCGGATGCTGATGTGGATACGGGTGCGAATGGAATGAGCGGAGCAACAGTAATCCCCGGAATCGCAAGCGACAAAAGCGCACTTAACACAAATATCTGCATCCACACAGACAACCCCATCTCCATCCTTAACCAAAACCCAACCAAATTTCTCGAATCCCAATATCCAAACCCTCAACCTCAACACGAGCATACACCCCACCCACAACAAACTATACCCCTTCACACCCAAACCACATCCCCATCGATATCCACATCCCCACCACCACCCTCTTACACGAATCAGAACCTCCAATTAAACTCGAGCCACGCTCCTCATTCTCCTCATTCTCGGATTCTTCTTTAGAATGGGAACAGGAACGAGAACGAAGCGTGGATATGCATATGCATGCGGGTGTAGCTGATGCAGATAGCGACGATGCAGATTCAGAAGATGAGATGCCACTTGCGAAACGAAGGGGTGGTTTGTATGGAAACCGACATCAACGCGGGGAGGATATTTTGATGCTTGGGGCTGGGATTGGGGTTGGGGGTGGGCTTTCTTGTTCTGGGAGTTCGGCCCGGGGTGGGGATGGTGGTGGGTATGGAAATGTTGGCGTTACCAATGAAGAGCGCGAAAACCCGCACACCAAAAACGACATCGGGAGAACCTCGAGAAACTCAAGAAATGGGATTGATGGAATAGATGGGATAGATGGGATAAAAGAGCTCGCGGAATATGCGTATGGATATGCATCGCATGATAGTACTCCGCATATAACTCTTCCTCTCCCAATAAACATATCGTCCCTGCATACAACAAATTCACCGCAATACAACAATCTCAATCCCATCCCCATCACCAAACCAACTCCAACTCCAACTCCGCATCATAATCACAATCACAATCACAATCTTTTAAATTCAGCTTCAAATTCAACTTCAAATTCAACTCCAAACACAAGTTCCACGTACGATTACAACATAGACTGGAACGAACAATATCAATCATATAGGCATTTATGGGGTACGGAGAGGGTTGCGAGGGAAGAGGGGAGTGCGGGTATGGGTATGGGTATGGGTTTGGGGAGTGTAGAGTTGAATCACGATAGAGAAGATGGAGATTTGTCATTGAATTGAATTGAGTTGAGTTGAGTTGAGTTTAGGAGGGGAAAATTGAAGGGGGAATTGAAAGGGGGCGGGTGGAGATAGTTATTGAGTTATTAAGTCCTTGAGAGTAAAAGAGTAGATAATGCGCTACAAGTCAGGATTTATATTTATGTATAGATGTATGAGAAGTGAAGTGAAGCCCACATGCAAGCAAGGGTTTAGCCAATAATATCATCACGCTGGTTGAAATTTAATATATGAGTGACTCCAGATGGGTTATATTCTACTACGATTATATTATCACTATAGCACACTACCACCACCATCATCATCACCATCACCACCCTCACCTACCCTCACCTACCCTCCTTTCCTCACTACCCTTATCATTATCATCAATATCTTCAACACTTGACGATGATTATGATGATTATGATAATATTGAATTCAGGATTGAAAAGTTGAAAAGATGAAAAGTTGAAAAAGTTGAAATGTAGCAAAATTGAATATATTTTATTAAAGCAGCATCAAAACAAAGTGAGATGGGCAATAAAAGACCCTGGTTTCAATTCAACCTGGGTCTGTGGGGCCAAAGAGGGTCTTACTATCCCTTTCCCCACTTTCCCACTTTCCCACTTTCCCCCCTCAAAAAATAAAGACACACAGAAAGGCAAAAACCATAGCGGAGCGCGTCCAGGCGCCTGGAAAGCCCTTTTCTTTTCTTTTCAGTCAAGGATATTTTTGTGAGCTGAGCCCTTCGAAGAGGGGTCACGACTCCCGAACCAAACACCCCACCCATCCGAAGATGGTTACAGCACAGCGGTTGACTAACCGCGCCAAAGCGACATATGGGATGTTTGATTGATGGAAGGGATGTTTGATTGATGCAAGTGATGTGTTTATTTTGGTATATATTTCAGTGAATGTATTGTCTTATTTTCACTTTCTACGATCGATCTCAATGACTTATTTATTCGATGGTCTATCCAGGATCTTTTATAGAGAAGGTGAAGATGTTATTTAAATCTTTCGAAACAGGTTGTTTCACTTAACTTCAACCTAAGAAATAAATTTGATCTGTTAATTTTTGCTAGCTCTATAATAATGATAGGGAAGCGTGTAGGAAATAAATCATGTGCGTCATATGGTTTAGTTCCGCTACTAAGGAGAGTCTAGGATTTAGCGAATGACATACCGGTACTGTATATCAAAAAAACTCCACTCAAGCAAATCTACCAAAAGCATCACGAAATCCTACTGATTACCGACCACCTCTAGATAATCCGAAAACGTACTCGACCAACGCCCAACGAACTCTATATACACATTCCATCATCGAGATATCTCAAACATACAAAACTCATACATACACCTCACATACACTCGCCACCATGACCACCATTCCTACACGCGTGATGATCATTTCCGACACTCACGAGCATATGCTCAACGGAGCCAATATGCCCACTGTCGATATTCTCCTTCACGCTGGTGATCTAACCGAAACGGGTGGATTGGAAGCATTAAAAGACTATCAAAATGATGGGAACCATCGAGGCCGAATTAAAATTAGTCATTGCTGGTAACCATGACATATCTCTCGACCAGCAGAATCGGGTTCAAGACATGTCCAACGATGAGTACTCCCAATACCATCGATGCGCCTTTGAAATCATGACAGGTCGGTTGGCAAAGGATGCTGGTGTTACTTATCTTGAGGAAGGGACTCATGAATTCACACTCCAGAATGGTGCTCACTTCACTATATATGCATCTCCATATACATGCGGATCCGGCCACTGGGGATTTCAATATTTAGCCCACGAAGACCGGTTCAACGACGCGACACAAGTCGCTTCTAGCAAAACCTCGATTGCCATGAATCCTATTCGTGCAGGAGTTGATATCGTCATGACGCATGGCCCTCCACACACGATACTCGATCAAGTCGACGGTCAAAACCTCGGCTGCCCCAATCTTCTTCGAGCCATTGGACGTATGCGACCACTTATGCACTGCTTTGGACACATTCACGAAGGATATGGAGCGAATATTTTCACGTGGAATGCAGATGGTAGTGTAAAGGATCCAGCGTCAGCTACACCTATGGAGACGGAACAAAATAATGACTATCCGGATACGAATGAGTGGCCCATTCGACGGGGGGGAGAAAACTCTTATGGTTAACGCGGCCATTATGATGAATACGGCAAGGGGATATCGTCCGAATGATCGACCCTTCATAGTATCACTCGATCTACCTCGCTATCGTTGATCTCGTTTGCTTTTTTCTATTGGGTTGTTTTTTTTGCTGACTCTTTTTGCGATTAGGAGTGGCATTCGAATTCATGTGCAGGTTTTTCGATTTCGATTTTGTGGAGATGAGCGATGAGGGTTATTGGTTTATCGATGGTATGAATAAGATGGAGTTTGGTGCGTAAGTGTTACATTTAGAACAAATGAAATATGCATTAAATATAAATATTGAAACGGATGTATAATAAATTCAAATATTCAAATGAGAATATGCATCGGACCTGAATACCCCCCATTCCATATACGGTATGTGAATAAAGTACAAGTATAGATAGATATATCTTCCATGCATCCATCCATCACGTTCATCCATCTACACATCCTCCATCTACACATCCATCCATTAATTAGCAACCATCCTCATATTAGACTTGTAAACCATCACATCCCCCACGAGTATCCCAAATAATATGTATGTATGTACAAAGAAAGATACGCAGAAGTAATAGTTCTGATATCAACAAGCCAAGCATGTACCCATACTCGATCCCTGCCATCCATTTTCAACGCCGTTTCCAATCCAAGTGAAAGCGCCATGCTAAAAGAGAAATATACGTTAAGTTAGGTATGATGAAAAGGGTTTCGGAATCTGACTCGAACTAGCTTTTCGATTCACTAGTCCGACGGTGTATTTATTCTCGGATTCGCGTGTGATCATGACTCTTCAAAGGGTGTCATTAAAGGACTTTTTCTCGTTGGACTACCCGTCCTGCTTCTTCTTCCAGCTCCCAGGGAGTGTAAAGTTGGAGCTAATCTTTCTCGACTTTCTGTCCTGACAACAAGGCCACTCCTGTTCCATGCATTTGGCAATCCACTACCCAAACCAAGACCAATAGCTTGACCATTTTGAGAATTGTTGTCGAAGTAATTCGCTGTCTCGAAATTGACCACGTTCAACTTGGGCGTTGCAAGTCCAGAAGATCGTCCTACTCGAGATCCTTCGCTTCCGTCCGAGTTATCATTTTCCTCGGACGAATCAATGTCACCCAATTCAAACTCGGCAGCGGCTTCACCATCTTCTAGAACACGCTCATAGCTCGTGGAACCTCGAGATCCAAAGAATTTTCCTGTGCCGAAGAAACTACGAGTACCTTTCTTCGGACTGCCTGGCCGACGATTTCGTCGTAAAACAGTATTAACACCCCTATATAACCGAAGTCTTCTATCTCTTTTGCGAAATATGTAAGCGAGAAATGCTAGAAGAAGTAGAATCAAGAGAAACCCAGGAGTCGATTGAGAATGTGCCTTTTCAATAAGATCATCTGCTGCGTCGGACCAATCGTCATCATCGTGGGGTACGGGGTTCGCATTTGATCCAGCCAGTTGAAAGTCGGTGGGAACTCCCAAAGTGTTGCTACCAAATCCGACTGGAAGAGCGTCCTCACTTGCGGGAGGGACTTGGCCAGATGCATATAATATCATTTTCCCTAATGTCCAACTGACTTCTACTCCTTCAATTTTGTTGACTGCTTGAAATGGATCCAAGAAACCCCTGTCTTTCGAGTGGATCTTCATTTCCTTTGTTGCATTGTAATCTGGTCCTGGTCCTGGTTTCTCCAATCCTACTCTGGGAACGCCGATTCCATCGTGGAGAACGTTGATCAACCATGACGCTTTGAAGCACACTTCTTGCGCTGTCTTGGCATCTACCTTCTTGCCCCATTTCTTATTCTTGACTTCTATCTCTATATCATCCCATTCCTCACTACAGAAGTCCTTGACCAAAGCTTGATATTTTGTAAAATCATACGCTTTATCTTTGTGGGCCATCTCAAATACCTCATGTGTTGTATGCCAGTACTCCGAAACTCCAACAAAATGATTAACATCGAAATCAATAGCGGGAACATGCTGCCCATGGAGCAAGCAAGGTTGATCGGCGCAGGGAGCATCTTTATCTAATAAGGGATAGGTCGCTGCTAGACATTGATCGAATCGTCCAGTACCTAGCAATATCGGGTCTGTTCCTGTTTTCTTTGAATCACTAACGAGATCGCCGTTTAGAGTTGTTTTAAGACCAGCTGGGAGACATGGGTCGAGCAATTCCTTGGTATCCTTAGTGTAGGAAGCATCCATCAAACTTTCCACGAAGCGCTGTCTAGCTTGATTAACGCCAAATCCTAACCACGTTGTAGTAAACACCTTGTATTCTGCAGGTTGTCCATTCAAAGTTCGCATTCGTAATAACTTGAGGTCATCAGCATGTTTTTCGGCCTCGGTAGCGTTAGGAGCGAAAGCAATTTGCGCCGACGCTCCACCCATATCTAGAAACCCATATGTATGATGTCCCTTGCCATGGGAATGTTCTTCTGGTGAATCGAAGCCCCCAAGTAGATAATTTGCGGCAATCCATCCATAAAGTCCTTCTGTTTCACCGGGGATTACCTGAATGTGTAAATCACAATCTGGCAAGTCGAACTTTGTATATTTTTGTGCATAGTCGCAAATCTCCGATAGAAGTACATTTTGTTGAACTTGAGGCAGTAATCGCATGCCAGCTGTTGCCATTAAAAAGATAGGTGTATCGGAAACTTGGTCTTTTGGGACAATATCGAGAGCATGGTCGAGAAGTTGTTGTAAATGATCTGGGCCAACGTCTGTAGGCCTCTCGCCGAATGTAGATACACCTGGTTTGATCTTTTTCGTCCATTTCTTATTTGTTTCTAGCTTTGGTAAACTTTGTAGAGTGATAGTATCAGGATTCTGTAATGCTTTGGCACTGTTGAGCCACCTATAAATGTGAACTCGGGTTCCTGACGAGCCCGCGTCCAGGATAACACCATAACGCCCTATTGATACTCATCAGTAAAGGTAGAGAGAGATAAGGGTCAATAAAAAGATGATTTACATTTACCCATGAGGAGATTGAGATGGATGGAAATTGATGAGTAGTGGTGAGGTGAATTAGTGGTTAACAATGTGTATTCACGACAAGGCTTCCTCGATCCCTTATCTTTTGGAAGGTTCGCAAATTGCAGAATGTTAAGATTACGAATGCATTCGGTGGTCGAAGTCTTAATCGGAAAGGGTCGAAAGGGGTGTAGGACAATGAAAATGAGGTCCAAGGTAAGGTAGAAATATTGGTATTAACAATTAATCAATTAATATGTATATTTTGATTCAACTTTTGTTGATGATATGAATGAATGAATGAATGTGAATACAGTAGGTATGAATATGAATATGAAAATGAAGTTCAGCGATAAATGATGGATCATGATTATAATTATTATCTAGTGTATTTTAGGAAATTTATGTCAATCTACTGACAATCGCATGTATTCCAAATACACTTTAACCAAATTCGGTATTTATTAATGCCTTAAAAATGATGATAAGGTAATAATGCGCCACAAATCTATATTTAAAACAAGCCACCACTAAGAATCTATATATCATTCCACTAATTCCACCCAAAAAGTCATTCCTTCTTCCTTCAACCCCGCCTCCTCCATCCCACCACATACCAACAACAAGCAATATATCAATGCTTACACATATACGAAACTAACCTCTGAATAGTTTGCGGTGGTTGGTACGATTGAATACGAGGCCACGCAATACTTGGAGCTGGTGAAACTCTTAACTACTGTCTTTCCAGGATGATGCATTTACCCTATCGTTGCAATTATGTCGACCTGCCTATATTAATATGCAGATGTATCCAGCAATCGCAAATGGCGTCGAGCGACTTTCTGTGATTAACCAGCTTGCTTGTTTGCAAGTGAGATTTATATTTGAATATTGGCCGACTTTTTGATTCATATACGAGTAGCAATTGGTCCTCCTTCACAGACCGAATCTCTCATATTTCTACCCGAGTGGATACGAGGGCATACATAAGCATGTAGTCATTATTCTGACGTTAACTGGAGATCATCTTTTACAGCACTGAGATAGTTCTCAACATTAGTTGGTACCACCTTCCGTGCGCTCAAAGCTGTGTTTCTGTTGTTCGTTGACAGGATGATTTTTGAACGTGCGCGTCTGGTTTCCCCCTTGGACAGTTAAATGAAGGCTAAACAGCAACAGCAGAGTCTCATAGTACTTTGCTAAAACGTCTTTTCCGAGCCGGAGGTTAAATTTCAATTCTGTGTATTATCAGATCAGCTGGAGTTCGATTTTCATCATTATCGACTCACTTGAAACGCATCTCCTCAGCAATTGAGTTATCAACAGGTCAATAATCGTTACTGAATCATTACTATTGCAATTGTCGCATCTTCTACCTTTTAAATATGTTTCTTATAATTTAGAGGATGTGGCAATGGTGGTGTGATGTGATGTGAGGCCGGTTCCGAATTGAGAGTAGAAAACTGTCTCCCACCAGACATCTCATTACACACAATGTCTTTTTTCTCCTACTTTGTATGCTTTGAATGTCTACTTATCTGACGATGAATTTGGTGTGTAGTTTTCCCTCGTTAGGTGTGAGATGCCTGTTGTTGGCCAAGTTTGATGTTCCAACATCATTATATCGATCTTTGGTCGAGCGGTCGGCGCGGACCACAGGCAGATGCCATTTCATCGATTGTATTTTTTGATTCCAATCTACTGCTGTTGCAACCTACAAAACTTTGCAGCCTAGCATATATATGGAAAGTTCCAAGCCCCGACCCGCGGCGGTAAGGTCCCGACCCGCGGCGGTAAGGTCCCGACCTACTCTGTGGATTTCAAGGGCCCAGCTGCCTACCATTCATACAACTGTGAGATGGCAATGAAGGGGTAATCTGCAGGCTGCAAGAATCAACGATAAGGTATCGTTCGAATGGATTTATGTATTGGATGAAATATCCAATTGTTCCAAACTATAAGAACCACTTCGATTATCTCATAGTAATAGTCAAAATAAACATCAGTACCACTTTGCGATCTCTTTCTAATTCAAAAGTCCATCTCCTCAAAAAATATCATATTCACAATCCAGTATCAACTAGTGCAAATCAAAAAAGTCCGATATCAAGCCTTAAACGTCGATCGTCCAAATACCTACCTCAACCATGTCAAGTTCTCATAGAGATAGAGATTCCCATGTGTCAAGTTCTCATAGAGATAAAGATTCACACGTGTCAAGTTCTCATCGAGATAGAGATTCACACGTGTCAAGTTCTCATCGAGATAGAGATTCACACGTATCAAGTTCTCATCGAGATAGAGATTCGCATGTGTCAAGTTCTCATCGAGATAGAGATTCACACGTGTCCTCAAAATCTCATCGGAGTGACGAATCGGAAGTACCAACTCAATGCTCTAGTGTTGTTCCGAAAGGATCAAGTCAACCCCTTAGTGGTCGTGGTTCGAAAGTACCAAGTTCGAACGTATCAGGTTCGAAAGGATCAAGTCAACCCCTTAGTGATCGTGGTTCAAAAGTACCAAGTTCGAAAGGACCAAGTCAACCCCTCAGTGATCGTGATTCGAAAGTACCAAATTCGAACGTATCAAGTTCGAAAGGATCAAGTCATCCCCTTAGTGATCGTGGTTCGAAAGCACCAAGTTCTAAAGTACCAAGTTCTAAAGTACCAAGTTCGAAAGTATCACGTCAACCCCTTAGTGATCGTGGTTCGGATGATAGAGACGGAGTCAATGCGAGACCCGAGGAGCGGCGTGGTGGTGGTGGTGGGTCAGGTACAGGGACAACAACATCAGCACCGAGCATAGATAGCTGGAGAAACAACCAGACAAATATTTCCGATCCAATGAGGCCACCATCTCCCGCCCCATCTGCAATTTCAATCGCGAACACTCTTGATCCGGACGACAGCATATCACAAGTAGACTATCAACCGAGCCAACGACAATTAAGCGATAGGAAAAGTAAAGTAAGCGGTGTCTCTAGGCCCGGTGAAAAACAACTGATATCCACCCAATCACGAAATCCTCCTGCATCCATCTCTGAAGAACCAGAATCATATTACGCAAACTCACGTACAGGTTCAACAAGGGACACCCGCGACAAGAAAAGCGATGACAAGAAGCTTGTGCTTAGAGGTGCCAAAGCTGTTGCTACGATTGAGAAAGGCCTTATTAAAAGGCACGATGGAGAGAGAAGAGACGGTAGTAGAGATAGGAGCAACCAAGACCGAAACGATAGAGACGATAGTAGAGATAGGAGCAATCAAGACCGAAACGAAAGTCCGGGACATGATGACGAAAGCTACTACTCAGAATCAGAGTATAATAGGAATGAACCCATTAGTAAAGACAGTAAAAAGCCCAAGATGGTATCAAGAAAGCCCAAGGGGTTCTTCGAGGGCATGGCACGCAATCTCGGCCGGGACATCATTCCCGATGTCGTACATGAAGATGATGCGAAGCGTGGGAAATCGTACAAGGTGGAGGGTCAACCGGCCATGGTACGGAGGAGAACGCATGCTGAGCAGGATGCGAAAGATGCGAAGAAGGCAAGGGAGGAAGAGAAGAGGGCGAAAGAGGCGAGGAAGAATTCGCGTCGGTGATGTATGAGGGAGGGGTTGTTAGGCTAGGTTAGGTTAGCTTGGGTCTTGGTGTCGGGATTTAGATTTAAATTTTGCTCGGGGTTTTTCGTTTGGGTTTTTGGCTTTGGAATTTGGTTGGGATTAGGTACAGTAGCTTTGTTGGAGTTTTGCTTAGTCTTTGCTTTTTGGGTTTGTTTGTCTTTGTTTTTGAAGAAAAGAAAATTGAGAATTGGTTGGTTTTAGAATTTATATGGTTATTTTTGTTAGAGATAACTATATGAGATTCTAAATAGTATAAAAATAAAAACAATTCGATTTTTATAGTATAAGAATAATACTCGTATATTTTACTTTTAGTAGCACGAAAGTAATTTACAGTTTTATATTTAAATTCTTTAATTCAACTCTTCATAGACATTAAATATATCAAGTCATTAAATAAACGCCCTATATAACATAAATCATAATTCATAATTCATAATTCATAATTCATAATTCATAATTCATAACAATCTACCCAATCCTTCAATGACAAAGAGTCTTCCACTGATCCAAAACATCCTCCATATCAAAAGCAATACCCCACTGCGAACACAAGCATTTAAACAGCTTCTGCATCGAATTAAGTTCATAAAGAAGATTTGTCGTTGTCCCCATCCCCATGACTCTAAATGACGAGCTTTCGCCTCCTCCTCGTAAATATAATTGTGTCTCCGATTGACCAGTACAATCCGAATCTATTGATTCAGCATCTCCCGATTCATTCGTTGTCAAAACAGCTTGCCAATCCACAATATTGGGTACATTGACTGCACCATGACCCGCTAGTGAGAATACACAGTAGAGCGTTGCCGATGCGAATAAGGAACTTGGGATATGTATGACGTGTGCTCTACCCCTAGGTAATTGCTCTACAATTTCTTGGATTGCAATCGCGTGTAAGAGGGCTTTTCGTGCTTCTTCCGTATTGGCCCAACTTATCAAATCTTGTTCTGGTTTCATGATGTTCTTTCCACCGCAAACATGTTGTACGATACCATATCGAGAGCAGATGGATCTGCAAAGGAGTGATGAATCTTTACAAGTATCCAGACAGATGGTATGCCACCGAAGTAAAAGCTCAAGTCGTTCTGAATGTGAAAGATTGGGACTCATAGATATGGCCTCAAAAACATGACTTAAAGCTTTTCGTAATTCGGGCTTTGTAGGTACACCAACTGTAGCAAGGTCATCGGAATCACAATCTGAGACTAATGACTGAAGACCTTCTAGAATGACGAGAATGCATGAAAACTAGTCAAAGGTTGACTTGTTGGGAGAAATAATGATCGAATAATACTTCGAAAGGAGTGCTGAGAAGGCTCTTGAGATCTCATATGATCAAGCCATGCATTAGCAGTCATAGCCTCAAATTCAGTTTCACTACTAGGTAAACCCAATTGATTGGCGGCATGTCGTACTGAAGGAGTTTCCCCAGACATTCGAGATATCAGACCATCCAAGACGTAATGACCTAATAATGCACGTTGTTGAATTTCCTTGGCTGCCCAAAATTTCCAAGCTCTATCCTTTTCTTCGTCCGTTGCATTTTGACTAGGTAGATTATTGATTGAGTATGGTTCACTATCGGATATTGCGCATTGTCTAGCCCAAAAGAATCCAAGGGCATGAAATGCTTGACTTGTTGTACGAATAACTCGATTTCTTGAGAGAGCTCCGTATATGTGAGCAAGTAGAGCAGTAACGACTAACTGTACTCCTGGCAACTATCGTGAGGACCTTGATGAGTGATCAACGTTTCCCAAGTTGATGCAACTGCTATGTGTGCGAGTCGCCATAGAGCTTCACCTTTTGTGACTGAATCCTTAGGTCCAAGATATAAAGAACCGATAGCCATGGCATTGAGAAGTAATGGTTGAGTACATTCTCGAAAGACAAAAGTTGATCGATGTAATACTGTAAATGTTGGTATGAATCTTACAAAGAACATATGTAAACATTCATCTAAGAAAACCGAGGTGAGAGATGTAGCTTCAACAGCAGCCGTAACGGTTGATGACTATGTCTTTCATAAGTAAGGGTTTCCACTCAAAATCTTGTGAAAACTTATCAAACTTGTAACCATCTCACTAATATTATGTACAGCTTGATGACTTTCTCCCACCGGAATAGAGCCAATCGATCCCTTCTCGTGGGATGGGCCCGGTATACCAAAACATCCATTATTTATATGTGACCGAGTTGTGATGGGTATCGGTAATGTTCCAATTGGTATTTGCCATGAGTTCGTTGGATCGGAAGACATCAAAGTTTCAAATAAATCCTCTGAATCCGGCCATATTAACTCAAAATCGATATCTGCAGTCGAAAATGGTGTATTTCCAATCATAGAATGACCAGCACCACCTCTATCCTCCATGATCCCTTGCTGTATTCTTGGCATCTCGACTTGAAGAGTTGTATCGATCGCAGGTAGTATGACTGGCGGTATGCTCAATTGAGAAATCGAACTCAAAGGTGGTGAATGATAATTTGGATAATTACTTTCTCGGCGAGTATGTAATTTCTCATGGCGTGCTAGAGAATTTTGTCTAGCAAATGGTCTTCTACAATCTTTGCATATGAACGGTCGAGATCCAGTATCTTTCCATTATTTTTGATTAGTTTGTGGTTTCTTGAGCATGAGGGAGTTGAGATGAAGGAATTTGTTCTTACGGCTTCTTTTGTGTCTTTGCAATAATGATTAATTAATAAGTGTAGAATGTATCTCATAGGTGATATTCTGATTCTAACCCACCCTCAAATGTTCGCCTTTGGAGAAACTTTTATGACAAAACCTACAGTTCATACTGGTATACTTTCTCGGTGCTGTTTCCGAGGTCATTGATGGTTTAGGAGATTCCTTTTCCATGATATCTGGATTGGAGTTTGGTTGAGGGATTGTGTTTGACATTGAGTGTGAACTTATCTATCTGGTATTTTTGTTCAGATAGGAGAGATTTATATGTAAAGAAGAGAGATAAAGAAGGTAGGTAAGGTAGGTAATTGTGCTAAACAATATCGAGATAGGTACCGATGACATAAGCTTCTGGGGTGTAAAGAACCCCGCACAAAAGGTCGGCACCGACAACGACTCTGAACCCACTGCAAGTACAGGGTTATAAAAAGCTTCGCATTGACCTTGGTGGATATGGAAATGGATAAACTTACCCATTCGTCCGTAATCCTTCGTCTACCGGTAGTCTTCATGAAGAATTCAATTCTATGTCAGCAGTGTTTCCAATCAGTCTAGATCATTGTAGTCCATAAAGAAAAAGAAATTAATACTGATAGTTTTGAATGGATTCGAGATTCAAGAATGCTCATCTTGGAAAGCTCAGACTCGGTCAACTACTAATGAAATGGAGATTTGGTTGAAGAGAAGAGTCACATTTTGTTCATTCATCATATCTATCTTTAAATCATTTATCCCCAAAGAAAAACTCCTTAGAAATCCTCCAAGAGATCCTATCCTAGTCCCTATTCATTCCTTGTGTCCCCATTCGAAACACTCTCACTCCCCGTCTCCAAAGCCTACTCAAACCGCTCAAATCAATTTCCTTGCTGAGCAACCCACTCTTCTACATCTGCCTCAAAGTCTACATTGTACAACCAACTCAACTCAAATGGCTCTCTCTTCTGATCCGCCGACTTTCCAGGTAAACGTCTCAAATCAATCTGTTGATTCAATTCCAATACCTTCCCAACCCTCTCATGTCTGCGTTCTTGCCAGAAAGTAAGTGCACTCTCGACACTCCCCTTGTTTGCCTTTGCAAGTAGTAGTGCAAGCATGTAAACATCTTCAAATGCTTGATTAATACCTTGACCTGCAGAAGGAGGAATGGCATGAGCTGCATCACCAAGAATAACCACACGTCGATTTTGAGATGCCCAGTTCTCAAGTTTGGGAACAATGTAAAATGGCCAAACATTGATCTTGTCGTGGGAAATCTTGGAGACTGCATTACGAACGATCTCGGGGAATAGGTCATTGTTGCTTTGTAGAAATTTGACACTTGCTTCCTTGTCGTTTGATAAATCGCTCCATCCGGCTCTATCCTTCTCTTCGATGCGTAATTGTTTTCCAATCAAGACTTCCGATCCATCTTCTTGTTGAGGAGCAATGATGAATGCACCCTTTTCGGTCATCAAAGTGACAGGAATATGATATCCTTCCGGAAGTTGTAGTTGAGATGTTGGTACAGCTGCTGTGATTCCAACCATTCCAGTGAACTTGGTCTCCAAATCTGGATAGAGATAACGACGAACAGTAGAGTGAATACCATCAGCTCCAATGAGAAGTGGAGCAGTACCAGTTGTACCATCAGTAAATTCCCAATCAACTTGTTTGTCGGTCTCCGAGGTGACATGTGAGAATTTCTTGCCAAAAGTGATGGGAATATCCTGTTCCTTGAACATCTCAAGTAACTCAGTGATGAGAATATTTCTGTAAATGCGAAGAGCCTTGAAACCATATTTTTCTTCAGATCCGAATTCTTGGATTTCTACCAATTTTCCATCTCCGGCAGTTCGATACTCAAGGTTATCGAAATTGTAACCCTTGTGACGAAGTCGATCATAGACGTTAAGAGCTTTCAAAACTTTGAGAGCATTAGGAGAAAGCATGACAGCACCTCCGATATTCAAAGGAGCAGAACGACTTTCGTAAACTCGACATTTTATGTTATTTTGATGAAGGGCGAGAGCGAGAGTAAGACCAGATAATCCTGATCCGATGATAGCAACTTCTTTGGAAGATGGTGCAGACATTTTGGTTGGATGAGGGTGATTGAAATTTGTGGATTTATTTGAGTATATTTTGAGGTTGTTGGAGAGTCTTGAAGTTATTGATGGTGTTGAGATTCTTGAGGTTATTGAAGTGATTGATCTTGGAATAGAAGTTGTGAGTTGTGAGGACAATATACCTTTGGAATGAAGGAGATTCACTTGATATTTAACTTTTTTCATTCTGTTGTTTGATCCATCGTCTCATATCATGCATGTATCATGACCGTGTTTAATGGCATGATGATCATTCACCAATTAACCCCTCACGTAAGATTTTGTTCCTGCATTATGGGATAAATGGACGAAGGCTTTCGGATCCGAGCCGGATTGGTTATGCGACAGCGAGCCCTTCTCGGCTTATTGGTTGGGTCAAGTCCGTACGTCCGTACGTCCGTACCATTTAACCACCGTGCGCTTATATCCGTTCGGTATTTTCGTTTAACACCAAAATTAATCGGTCTATTCATTTTCCGCACCGAATTTCTTTCTAATACCGGTTCCCCTGCTTATGATAATCAAGACATTTACGTATATTTTATTTGCCTTATGGTCAGAAGAATCGGCTTGATGTCACCTCAGCCTCCCAGGGTTTCTAATCTTCCTGGCTGTAGTCCGATGACGAGAAATTCATGGATTTATTTCATATACCTATCAATTCCATTGAGAACATCAAGTTCAATTTGAATATCAAGCTATGTATAAAGCTCAACGAAATTTCGATTATTGGAATGCCTGGAATTTATAATTCCGAGTTCTTACTGTCATTAAGGATATCGAAAGGAGTTGAGATAGTTAGAGAAGTTTGGATATCTATGTAAAGGAAGGCATTGCCATTGAAAGGAGTTGGGATTTACCATTTTTACAATTTTCTCTCGTACTTTCATACAGAGCAGGCGTCAACCTTCAGACCTTTCAAATGAGTCCAATCATTTGACCAAAGAAGCAGCCGCCTCCAATATAAAATCCACCGTCTCCCTCGGTCTACTCAACATCGGCGAATGACTACTCACAACCTCCCTAACCGTAACATCCGCTCCAGCATCCCTCGCAATTTGCACAAACATCTTCTGTGCCTCTTGCGGAAACGTCTTATCATCCAACGTCGTCAAATACCAAACCGGCAAATCCATCCACCCCGCATAAGACCACTCACCACCCTCCTTCAAAACCTTTTGCGATTGCTTCGTCAACTTACTGACCCAATAATCACCTTCATCCTCAGGTAGATCATGGTAGAACGATTCTCTAGCTGGAAGTTCTAACATAGCAAAACCACTATCGTCAAATCTCCATAGTAGTGGTGGTGTTCCGCCAATAGCGTCAATGAAGCTAACTCCTGTTTGTCCAAAGCCGCATGCCATCATAACGAGGCCGATTACATGACCAGTTGATTGATCGTTTGTGGATTGAAGATTGTCTGGTTTGCGACGAGTGAGGCCTTTGACTGCACTTTGACCGACTGCACCGCCGTAGGAATGTACCACTATTATCACATCGCGTCCTTGTTTAGTCTCTGATAAGATGACAGCTCGCACAGCTTCGATGTCGTCGCCGAAACCCGTGGCGGGATTTCCTGTTGTGGATGGCAGTTCCACTGGGATGCATTTGTATTGTTTTTCCTCCAGAAGTGAAGTAACTTTTCCCCAAATCTCAGCACGATGCCATGCTCCAGGTATCAAGACAAGTGTTGGTTTATTAGACATAATGGTAGACATGAGGTAAGGATATGGAGTGGTAATCATATACGACTGAAAGTGGATGAAAGAAATGGTCCAAATTTTAAGAGGAGAAATCTCTATTTAAGATGATCCAACTGTGAGAATATGTGAAAATTTTCTTACCATCTGACCATATCTCACCGTCAAGTACTCGGCGATGTAACTTGGTGCCGGAATCTTTTCGCATTCCTCGTGAGATACCGGGTGAAACTCGGGCCAAATAGGAATTGACCTCTTCAAGATTCAGAAAGCAGCGAAGTTTTGCGCGTTGTCTCTTTTTCCCAACTTGTATCGGTTCTTCTTATAATCGCTTCATTCTGAACATGCTGTGCATTGGATAACGATTGGATTTTGGGGTATGAGATGCTCTCGCCTTCCATGCTAGGGAGATATTTTGGCTTTGTTAGGATCGAACATGGATAATGAAGTATGCTCGTCTCATATACTTGAGAACATATTAGCATAATATATAACCGGACTACATCTTGCAACTTCTCGATGAAATCATCCTAATATACCAGCTAGACTTGAACATTGGAAGCACCACTTGTGTCTCCCATATGCCATATTTCTCCGTCACTGCTCAGTAGATTCCATTGTGGTTCGAAAAGATAGACAATGGAGCCTGCTAGGAGAACTTTGCTAGTCAGTCATTTCAAGAGTGTAAGTCCAGAAAGAAACTACGACGTTGTAATGATCTCCGTAGGAGATAAAGACTAGCATATCATTATTAATACCTTTCATCTCCTGACGGGGAAACATCTCAGCGCAGATAACAATGCATTTGCTTTTTTTGTGTGAATTCAATCATCTATGCATGGCTTGCAAAAGGAAACCCGTCTAATTGACAAGTTACAACAAACAAGCCTCACGAAATATTCTACAGTGCTGGAACAATGGCTCAACGCACTAGTGAGATGTACTCATCTTCATTACCAGAAAAGCAATATTCACCATCGCCAAGTTCCTGTTTGATCTTATACTTTGCCTTGCCTTGCCTTGCCTGCATACTTATCGATCTCACCGAATTAGATTCCTGAATGGGAGGGGAGTTGGTTTGGGGGTTTGGGGGTTTGAGGTGTGGGGATTGGGGATGAGCGAATGGGAATCAGGGATGGAGGGTGAAGGTTGAAGGATTGGGAGAGTGATAGGTGAATAACCAAGGGAAAACAAAAACTTACCAAAAAGGTCCAATAAACCCCCAAATTTGTCTCACAAACGTAATAAATACCCCGATACTAGCCGATTCCTCCAAATGTGAATCCACCGCATAAGTAATAAGAACCGTCGTCACAATCTGATTACCCACCCCCTGCAACCGCAATTCCAACCACCGGTGTAATATTCCAATGCATTTCTTCCGCTTGCTCAGTTTTCACCGAGAAAACCACTGCGCCCATAATGGTGAGGATGAATCCCGCATAACTCAACCACAAACGATATTCGGGTGCTTGTTGAATACATGTTTTTCGAGTCCGACGATTCATCCAGAGATCCGAGAGATTGCCATCGAGTTGTTTGCTGATGACGGAACCGATGATGAGAGCGAGAAATTGGTAGCCGAGTTGTTGGGCATCGAAGCCTAATTTCTCGCCAAAGAGTTGCGGGAGTTCGACGGTGATGAGGACGGAGCCGAAGAGAAAGGTCATGGCGTAGGCGATGGTGGGGATTACGATGCAGGGTTTGGTGAAGAGGGTGAGGGGGTGGATGAAATCGTAGAGGCGGAGGGGTGAGGGATCGATACGGTGGAAGGTGAGGTATTTCTCCTTGAATGAGGATTTGGGATGTTTGACACCGTGACGAAGGTAGCGGGTTTTAGGGCCCAAAATATATATAGGCGATGAATTGGACGCCGTTGATGATGGCTAGGATCCAATAGATCCATCTCCGTCCTACGTGTACGGCAACAAAGCCCATGATGAAGGGGGAGAGTGGTACGCCGATTGTGACCATGAGTGTCTAGATTCCCATATAGCGAGCTCGATCTTTCTTGAAGAATGATTCAGTTACAACTGCGCTACCAATTGCTCCGGCGGGACAGATGAAGAAGGCGACAATGGCACGACAAACTGCCATAGTAGTATAGGGTAGGAGCTTCAGCACATCCTATGTTTCCAACCAAACTAACAATCAGTGATATGAGGAATAGGGGTCTTCTTCCAAAGGTATTCGATAAAGGTTTCCATAAAAGAGGAGCTCCTCCCAAGATTGCAATTTGAAGTGAAGTAAGATATGAAGCTTGTGGAAGAGAAACTCCTAGATCGCTGCGATATTGACATAGGCAGGAATGATAGCTGCTGCTATAAATGTCGACATACAAGCATGAATTGCAACGAGGGCGAGGTTTGTAATTTTCTATACCTTTAATCAGCGAGTTGTAGAGGAATGTATTAACGGATTTGATATATACCTTCTTGTTTGTCCAATTGTATGGGTCAACATCACTAGAACTAGGTAAGGGATCGAGATCTAAAGTTCCATGTCGTAAAAGAAGATATTGTCTATGTTCTTCAGATAATGCAGCAGTGGAATCTTCGATATATGTTACTGCGTGATGGATAGTTTCTGAGAATTCGCCGCTTGGATTCGATTCTTTACGCTCTACGGCGTGGTGGTCGCCATTGTGTTATTTCTTTGAGAAAAACTCGATATCAAAGTTTCCCCTCCAATAAATCAAGGTTATTATCCCAAAGTGAACAACAACCAGTGATAACAAACCAAGAGTCAAAACCTCCGCGTTGATCCAACTTCAACTGGCTCTTCAAAAATCAATCCTGAATTTGATACTGTGAAACCGATCCTCCAAAAACGACAAGTATTCAAATCAAGGAACTCGTAACTGAACAAATGAAGAAATTCTTGAGCACAACATGATCAACTCGAATCGAGGATACCTATTTAAAATATAGGGACAAGCTTCCCCATATTGAGCTAATCTACACTATTCTCTTCAAAGTAAACAAGGACGAACCCATGTACCGAACCCTATGCCACATCTTAGAATCCTTCTCCTCCACTTCCCTTCCCTATCAATCCATCAATCCTATCGTCGGTGCCGAAAACATATTGAACATCACCACGGGTACCTTGTACAAGTCTGAGCATGAGGTTATATAGTGTGGAGCCTCAAGTTGCCACCATAACCATGAACATGAATATAAGAAACCCCATAAGGTTCCTCAAAGCAGCATGAAATATCAATGAAAAATACCTATATCAAGAGTATCAACCCATTGTACTGTACACCTTGTCCACTAAGACAAAATGAGATAGGTACAGTACAGTAGCATCAAGATTCGTAGTCAATAATCTACACACAACATTGTGGGGTTACAAGTATCAATTCATTGCTTATAAACAAGTGAGAGATATAACAAACGAGTGGAGATAATTGCGCGGCCCCTCGTTTATAAAATCCGCGCGGGGTCTTTCTAGTGCTAGTAGATGTTTTCATAGTAAATGTGATGTTGGGGATGTGGAGATGATGAATGGAATGGAATGAAATGAGATGGATGGGATTGGAAATGGAGTGGGTTTTTGGTGGGATTCGTGTGTACTGATTTCTGAGTAATTCTTGTACAATACCGGTACTTGATTGTATGAATAGTTCTCATCGTCTGAAATATGAGTGATGGTAAGTGTTGGTGATTTTAGTTAGGGATGTGAAAATATGGATATCAATACCAATGTATGTGCATGGTATAGATATAAAGTACCTAGGTACATGTACATATAATGTATCTTACTACCCGAATCGAGATAAAATGCTTTTCCGGAGTAAGTGGACTTGTGGACGGAAAAGCACATTACTGTCCTGTCATCACAACCGCTTTGGGTAGGTACTTAATGAGATGCTTCTCTACTCGTATATATCTCGGCTGTTCCATCACTCGAGTACATATACATGCCTATATACATACCTACAAACAGAACTCACAACAGACACATATACATTTCAAAAGATAAGAAAATTAAGACTAATATTACATTTCACTTCCATCATCTATATCTATACATCTATCCATCCATCTACCTAATACCTACCTAGTACACCCACTCACCCGTCTATCCCATCCCGTCCCGTCCCAGCCAAATAAGATCTTACATGAGTACTCGAGTTATAGTAAATAATCCACAAATCCACAATCCCACAAATATAAACAAGCAATACTGTGCCTGTGCCTATGCTATACATCTATTCTATTCTATTCTATCTAAATCCTCACTCACTACTGTATCTACCGACATACACTCAGTATAACTTGGCATCAACAATAAACACTATATCTATCTGCCTATATATATATATATACAGAAAACCGGTGTGCTATTCCGAACAGATCGAGAAAGTAAATCCACAAGTGATACAACATATACAACACATGCAAATATCAATAATATCATTTATCAGAATCAAAATCAGAATCATAAGAATAAAATTAATCCAATCTAAAGAATGCCATCTGAACTAGATACACTACGCTCCCCCACCCAACCAAGACCATAAATACATATACAAACCCATCCCAAATATATATATGACCCCTCCCAAATATATACATTAACCCATCCGATCCATACATACACATATATGAACGCATACATACATATACGTATACGTAAAAATGTTACCCATCACTCCGATAAATAAATATACATCAAATCATAAAACGGAACCATTTCTACAATCATAAAGAGAATGTCTACATATATCTAGGGCATTTACTCAAAAATCATATAAGAACCAGTAAGAAAAAGTAAATGGACTTTTCCCCTCTCATCCGTGAACAACGCCTTGCCTATGATTTTGACCATGAGAAATGTGATAGATCAAATCTATGGGGATAATACCAAGGCCAACAATGCCATGCGACAGTAAAGGCCATATCTCATCTAGAAGGAAATTAGTAAGGTGGAAATAAATGAGGGAAAAGGGGAATAACATACCTGTCTAAAGTATGCAGCTCTTTGATCAAAGTCCACTTCCTCTGAGATCTCGGCATTTCTTGGTAATGGATGCATAACAATCATCGAACTCTTAGCATTCCTCATTGTCTTGTTATCAATGATGAAACTATTCTTCAAACTTTCGTATTCCTCCAAATCGGCAAATCTTTCCTTTTGTACACGAGTACAGTAAAGAACATCGGATCGAGCAATGATATCAGGTGTCAATTCAGTAGAGACTGAAAGTAATTGACCTGGCTTAGATTTGATAAGTGCCAAGATATCTTGTGGAAGAGATAGAGCTTGTGGAGAGACAAGTTGGATGTGAACATCATAATGTTGAAGAAGCTTGACGAGTGAGTGAACTGTACGACCATATCGAAGATCACCAGTAAAGGTAATGGTAAGACCACCAACTGTACCCAATTCTTCTCGGATGGTAAATAAATCCAAGAATGCTTGAGTAGGATGTTCTTTGCTTCCATTGCCTCCGTTGATGATTGGAACTGGTGAGAACTTGGCAGCGATTGCAGCACTACTTTCTTCGGGGTGACGAAGAACAATCGCGTCTCCATAACAGCCAAGAGTACGGATGGTATCAGCTAGGGATTCACCCTTGACAGTGGAAGAGTGGGAAGTGGCAATTGCAACTGTTCGTCCTCCTAATCGTTGCATGGCAGCATCAAATGATGCAGATGTTCGAGTAGATGGTTCATAAAACAATGTGGTGAGTAGACGTCCCTTGAGGATAGAAAGGACACCTTCACGTTGAACACCCAACCTCATTTCTTGAGCAACAGCGAAGAGTAGGTGAAGATCTTGACGGGAGTATTGATTAACCGAAAGAACATGTTGATTCTTGAATGGCGATTGTCCAAGAAGGAATTGTAAAGATGGTGATATGGTTGGCTGAGGATATAACGGAGATCCTAAATATTCAGGAGCTGAAGAACGAAGATGTGGTGCTTGATTGGCAGCACCATCCAAGAACCTTGAACGAGTTGCGGGTCGCATAGCTGAAGATGGGGTACTACCAAATGCAGAAAACTTTGTCAAATGAGAACTATCAGGTCTTGTTCCCATAGCTGGAGATCCAAATGGTGAATTGTTGTTGAATTCAACAAGTTCTGATGGCACATCTTCACCATTAATGCCATTTTCAGTTGAAGAATCATCTAGACTTGTTTGAGCATCAAATCCACAAATTTCCATATCATAGTGTCTTGCGATGGCTTCGATAAGGATCTTGGCATTCTTGACATTGGTGACCAAAGGAATTTGATAATCAACAGCCATACGTCTTGTTTGGTAACCTTTACTCATGTAGGTTGCAGGTCTTCTGTATCTATTGCTGGAAGGAAGATTGATATAGAGATCAATCATGCTGTTGGCAAGATGTTGAGTCAAGGAGTATTCTGACTTTTGATCATCCTCACCCTTTCCAAGAATTTCGAGGTATTGAACTGGAACTTCATGTTCCTGTAAGAAATCCGCTGTACCAGCTGTGGCGAAAAGTTTGTATCCCATTCTCTGAAGTTTGACAACAGATGGAAGCATTTCCTTCTTGTCCTTGTACGAACCAATAGAGAGAAGAATGTTGCGGTTTGGAAGCTTAAATCCAGTAGAGATCAATGCTTTGAGGTACGCCTCATACTTATCACGACCGAAACAAGCAACCTCTCCAGTAGAAGCCATCTCAACACCAAGAACGGGATCAGCACCAGAAAGTCGGGAGAAACTGAATTGGGGCACTTTCACACCAACAACACCTGCGGGCAAGTTGGTAGGTGGGTATGGGATAAATGGTACGCCCATGATAGCTCTGGTTGCCATCTCAATAAGATCGACACCCATGACCTTTGAAACGAATGGAGTTGATCGAGATGCTCGAACATTACACTCAATAACCTTGATGTCGTTATCCTTGGCGATGAATTGAATATTGTAAGGTCCAGTAATGTTGAGAGCTTTACCGATCAAGCGAGTAGCTTCTTCAATTCTCTGAATTGTGGTAGAATCAAGATCTTGAGGTGGTAAAACTAAGGTCGCATCACCGGAATGTACACCAGCGTTTTCGACATGCTCAGAGATGAAGTGACCAACCATGACACCATCCTTGGCAACAGCATCCATGTCGATTTCCTTTGCGTTTTCGATATACTTGGTGATAACAACTGGATGATCTCTTGAAACATCAACAGCTTGAGCAAGGTAGGCTTCAAGATCTGGTTCAGAGTAAACAGTGTTCATAGCTGCACCCGAAAGTACATATGATGGTCGAACCAACACTGGGTATGAAACTTTGTTACAAAATATCTTTGCATCCTCGAAACTAGTCAATTCCTTCCATGTTGGTTGATCAACATGAATACTATCAAGCATACGAGAGAACTTGAAACGATTTTCGGCAGTATCGATCATCTCTGGCGATGTTCCGAGAATCTTGACGTTTTGGCGATGAAGGGGAAGGGCGATGTTATTTGGTGTTTGACCTCCCATAGCAATGAGAACACCACTGGAAGATTCCAATTGATAAATATCGAGAATGGTCTCGAGGTTAATGTTTTCGAAATACAACCTATCGGCTTCATCATAATCAGTACTGACGGTCTCCGGATTGTAATTGACCATGACGGTTTTGAAACCAGATTCGCGAAGAGTTCTGATGGCACGAACCGAACACCAATCGAATTCGACAGAGGATCCGATTCGGTAAACTCCTGAACCAAGAACCATTACACCGTGATCATTGAAGGAGATGTCGTTTTCTGATCCATTGTAAGTCATGTAGAGATAATTGGTGTGAGCCTCGAACTCAGCGGCAACAGTATCAATTTGCTTGACAACCGGGATAATTCCAGCTTCGGTTCTCATTAATCTCACAGCAAGCTCTGTGGAATCCCACAGTTTAGCCAATTGTCTGTCGCAGAACCCAAGCTGTTTAGCTTGTCTAAGCTGATTGATTGAGATAGTACTCGTGTTGAAGGTTGACATATGCTTGCTGAAGTTATTCAAGCCCTTGAGCTTGTTCAAAAACCATTTATCAATCTTTGTCATTTCCCAAATTTTGTTGACGGAGTAACCGGATTGCATAGCATTGGCAATGGCGAATAGACGTTGATCGGAAGGTGTTTGGAGTTCATCATCAATTGACATCAAAGCTTTGGTTGCACTGAAACCCAAGTTGTGGAAATCGATAGCACGAATTGCTTTTTGAATGGCTTCCTCGAAAGTTCTTCCAATGCTCATGACTTCACCAACACTCTTCATCGATGAACCAAGTTGAGTCGATACGCGAGTGAATTTCTTCAAATCCCAACGTGGCATCTTGACAACGACATAATCCAAAGATGGTTCGAAACAAGCACATGTCTTTTGAGTAACTGAGTTCTTGATTTCGTTGAGTGGGATGTTAAGACCGAGCTTTGCGGCGATGAAAGCCAATGGGTATCCAGTAGCCTTGGATGCGAGTGCTGAAGATCTGGATAATCTAGCGTTGACTTCGATAATGCAGTATTCCTTGGAGTCGGGGTTGAGTGCGTATTGAATGTTACATTCTCCAACAACTCCTAGATGGCGAATGACGTTGACAGCTGTGGTTCGTAACATATTGTAATCATCATCAGATAATGTTTGTGAAGGAGCGACGACGATAGAGTCTCCAGTATGGATTCCTAGAGGATCAAAGTTCTCCATGTTACAGACCGTAATACAATTGTCACGACAATCTCGGACAACCTCATACTCAATCTCCTTCCACCCCTTCATACTTCGCTCAATCAAAACCTGAGGACTAGCCGCAAAAGCTTTGTTGCAGAGCTCGAGTAGTTCTTCATCGTTATCTGCAAATCCACTTCCAAGACCTCCCAAGGCATATGCGGCACGAACGATGACAGGGTATCCAATATCCTTCACGACATGCATAGCTTCATCGATAGTATTAGCCGAAGCTGATTTGGCGCATTTCTCGCCAATTGATTCCATGCTTCGAGCAAATAATTCACGATCTTCCGTAGTGATGATTGTACTGATGGGGGTACCGAGAACTTTCACTAGAAGGGAATTAGTAATCTTTTTGTCCATGTAGGTCTTGATGGAGGGGATTAGGAATCAAAACCAAATCTTAAGGGGGACAGAAAAAATGAAACATCCAGATAGATTTGATTATCCGAATGGAACATCTAAACCGATTCAAACATCCGAATCGACTGAAACATGAGGGGCACGTGAAAATGAATGAGACCGAATTTACTTACCACCAAGCCCCTCGAATTCATCCTTGAGTTGAATACCGACTGATAAAGCTGTTTGACCACCAAATGTAACGTAAATTGCATCAGGGTTCTCGTGAACAATGACTTTACGAACAAAATCGGCTGTGACGGGAAGGAAGTAAACCTTGTCGGCCAGTCCCTTGGATGTTTGAATTGTAGCGATATTTGGATTGATCAGAATGGTGTAAATTCCTTCCTCTTTAAGAGCTTTGATAGCTTGACTTCCAGAGTAATCGAATTCTCCTGCTTGACCAATACTGAGACCACCACTTCCCAAAATAAGGACTTTTTTGACATTAACCTTTGGCGTGAGCTTTTCATTTTCAGTTATTTCACCACCTGGAAATACAACTGGCGCGGAGAGAAGCTTTTCGTCATCGAGAGTCTTGACGATCGTGTTAATGAAGACATCGAACAGAAATTCAGTATCCTTAGGTCCAGGAGTACTCTCAGGATGGAATTGAACACTGAAATATGGCCTGTTGACATGTCTGATACCCTCATTACTTCCGTCATTGGCATTGACGAAAAGTTCCTTCCATTCCGTGGGTAGAGAACTAGTTTGAACAGCAAAACCGTGATTTTGAGAAGTAATATGACATTTTCCAGTTAACATATTCGTACATGGAATGTTGTGTCCACGGTTTCCGAACTTCATCTTTTCGGTTTGAGCACCAGCAGCTCTGGCAAGAAGTTGATGTCCAAGACAGATACCGAAGATTGGAGTTCGATTCTCCTTCATGGCGGTCTGAATGTGCTTGACAGTCTCATCCATCATGGCTGGATCACCAGGACCGTTGGAAATGAATAAACCATCATAGTCCTTTCCAGCGAGTGCAGGGAAATCATAATCCCATGGACAGATCAGAACTTCCACTCCACGCTTTACAAGACAGCGCAATTGATTGTATTTCAAACCAACATCCAAACATAACACACGTATAGGTCTTCCGGAAGGATGTTTCAGAGCATTCGAAGGATCAGGTTTGTAGAGTTTTGGCTCGCGAATTGATACTAGGGCATATTGTTAGCCCTTCATTCGGGCTATAGCAAAGTAAAGACTCACCATCTGCCACAAGATTCTTAGTATTTGGGTCCACCCAATCTATCTCTTCGAAAGATGATCTCCAATCCTTTGATGATAAAGTGGAGAAGTTGTCGTTCGAGTTGCCATTGGTGAGGGTGTCCTTCTGTAAAAGCATTCGTCCAAGCATACTACCTTCTTCTCGTATTCTCTTGGTCAGAGCTCTAGTATCAACACCATAGATTGCCGGAACACCTTGCTCCTTCAACCAAGTTCCCAAAGAGGAGGTTGCCAGGTAATGAGAGAACTCTTCACCCGCATATGAAGCACAGATTAAACCTGCGATATGGATTTCGGATGCCTCGAAATGTGCTGGAAGATCCTTGAGAAGTTCGTCCATTGTTTCTCGAGATGGTACACCGTAATTACCCACTAAAGGGAACGTAATGACCAAGATTTGTCCACGATATGAGGGGTCAGTGATGGATTCTGGGTAACCCACCATACCTGTCTGGAAGACCAACTCTCCTGCGACACTCTTCTTCGCACCAAAACTATATCCTTGATAGACTGTGCCATCCTTCAATTCCAGACTTATGAGACCTTCGTCTGTGCCGTTAAGGATTGGCGCGGCAACGGGAGGGAAAACTAATTCTGCCATGTTGATATGAGTTTCCGAAATGTCGTGTTTTTTTGAGATCAGTGCCAGCGACTTCGAGAAACTGCCCTTCCAACAAGCTGCAAAGCAGATTGAGGGACAAGTGCTTTTAGTGATCCTAGTTCGCCAGTTTGCAGGTTAAAGTATTTAAGTATATTTACTGGCCGTAGAACTTTTTGGATATAATAATTGAAAGTGTTGGTGAGAATAGTTTTAATTTTTCTGTCCAGAAATTGGGGCTCCTCATTTTTTTTTCTGGTGCGTGCTGAACAACCGAGGGGGGACGATTCGATATTGGGCTTAGTGTTGAAACTAGCCTTGCATATAACCCCCCTCGCTTTTCACCGGAATATTGCCAGAATATAATAATATAATAATACCGAGTTTGAGAAATCTGGAGTCATCTGGATATAACCCATCACACAATGTCTTTTTGTCTGTTTGTATATGATAAGCATATTTCTTTTCCTGTGGAAATGTGAAAGTTTGTATTGCATGTAAAAGTATTCATTTCGGTGGCTTGAAATCGAAGAAGGTTATCAATCAAGCATTATCTTCCGATTTTGTCTGTGCGGTGAATCTACGATGCTCAGATCGTATGGGGGTTTCGAAGAAGTACTTACCCAAGTAGCATGTGTGTCAGATCACTGTTAGTCATGGGGGAGAATGGCGGTCTGTTTGTCAGTTGATGATATGAGTTCAAAACAATCTCCGGAAGGATTTCTACTTCCCCCCCTTCTCCCCACCTCAACCGATGGTGGTACAAAAAAGCTTCAAAAGATTGCCCAGACCAGTTCACATTGACCACCTGCTTGTTGTCCAATAGAGGCAGCTGCAAATAGAATCCGTATTGGGTATATGTATGTCTCTGATGATGCATTGATTCTTTAAATCTCTCATATGCGTAAACGAGTCAATGAGCGAGGATAAGAAATAAAGAATTTTTAGTATAGCACGAGGTACTCATAAAGTATTAACAAGAGGGCACTGGCAATGATAGATAGGTAGGTTTTTTTTCTAAGGAGAACCCTTGAACCAGACATCAACTTGTATCAGATAGCGAAAAGATACCCTTAGATCTTGATGGGATTCTCATCTTGGCAGCTTCCATCTTGGCAGCTTCTTATGCACATAAGCTGAGCTGAGAGCTCCCATGTTAAAAGCCCGAGAGCCACCAATTTCTCAAATTGGAATGGAATATGTAATAAACGATTCTTGTAGAATGAGACGAGATAGTAAAAATGGAAGGGAAAAGGTTAACAATCAGATTCTTGACTATAATATGAAAATATACCTAACCTTATCTTTCTAAACAATTGAAATAGTACCGGTATATCTTCATTCCATCCAAAGACAGACATCTCATATGAACGGGAACTCTCTCCATTTTTATTTGAGATAACATCACTTCATGTTTTCATGCTTTGACCTTTGATTGGATGAGATAGGAATACCATGATCGGCATCATGCATATAAACGAGACAATAACATACATGGATGGTGTGCAATCAGTTAATGGTTGCATCGAAAAAAGTTGAGATCAAGATCATTCTAGGTTTCCCCATCTCTCGGTCGGTGTGAGTTTTTAGAGGGTTGATATTGGTGAGATGAGATAAGCAAATCAAACAGGATTTGAATTACTTTTCTTCTTTACATTTCATATGAAAAGATTTTATATCTTCATTTTTACTTCTTCATTCAAATTTTCTCCATATGTTATGGTTGTTTTGATATATAATTCAATCAATTCGATAAATTTATTGCTTGATCGCCGTCAAGGAACATCCATCCAGTCTCGAGGACCAAGCCTTGGTGCTGGGAACTGAAGTGCTCGAGAGACGCGATAACCAGGAAAATAATGTTATTTATTTATTTACAACCACTACTAATAATGTACTAATATCACAAAACCATTCCTTTGATCAACTGACTTTCTCGTTGTTTCGTTCCCATACTCAAGATGGCATAAACCAAGGTAGGAACCACCTCAGCAATCGGTACTTCTCTCTACCTTCCACCTTTCGACCGAGGGAAATAATCAATCAACCGCGGATTTCGAGTGGAAATCATCTCAAGCCAAAATGTTATCTTCATTACTGCGACCAAAGAAATCTCGACGACGCGTTCAAGAAATTCATTCTCCTTTCTCATCACCATATGTTGATCAGCCTTCTCCAGCTGCAGGTAGGAGAGAACGCTTGCCTCGACATGCATCCGCAGATTTCACGGAAACGGAAATAGAAGAAGATACAGAGGAAGAGATTGCGGTAGAAAATGATGCGGAAGATGAGGAAGAAGAGGGTGATGGGGACGAATTAGAGGAAGAAGATGGTGATGATGATCAACCTCTTTTACCTATTTTCTCTGCTGCACATCTAGGTAATTGCCCTTTCATACTCTTTCCTTTCAGACCATGAATGCTAACTTCTGATTAGATTCACTTCCAGTATATAACCTCACTCATGCTATTCGACTTATCATACTTCCGCGGACGGAAACTACATTGACCTGGGATCAATTACGATCACCACAAGTTTCCCAGTTTTTAGTAAAGCCTATGCAACAACAAATTCGAACCTCCCACTTTTCACGAGCTACTTTATATGCATTGATGGCAAATTGTTTACAGTTTCGAAAGGAGAGTCAAGCAAACCCAGGGAACGCAGGAAATAGTTTGACGAGAGCTCTGGTTTGTGAGCTTCTAGCTATCAAACTATTGAAGGAATATAATACTAGAGAGTTGATAGATGCTCTTTCTTACGATTTCTTCCCACTGCAAGGATTAGCTGAACCAGATCCAACTATCACGAACTGGAATCAAAGGAATCGTACAAGACCAGTTGCTGCCAGAATATCAACATTGGAAGTAGCTATTAGAGCATCTGCGAAACGATTATTGGCACATCCACTTGTGGTTCAACAACTAGAAGCGATTTGGGCTGGAACGATCGTATTTCATTCTGCGGCGGATAATCTTCATCGTACATCGATAAATCGAACAGGATACAAGAAACAAAGTCGAAGCAATGGAAGTGCGGTTCCATTACTTACTCGTGAACAACTTCAATATGGGGCAATAGTTGGTCCTCAGAATCCCCCTAATAAAGAGCCAGAAACTTTACAGACCATTCAAACTTTGACCAGGAGAACGGTTACTTTATATGACCCAAGAGATGCATCTCTATTCAAACTTTCTAGGTTGAGAGTACCACGCTATCGACAATTCTTCTCCACCTGCTCACTCGCTATTCTGCTCGGACTATTTTTGGCTGTTCTTAGTCAAAGATCAACCGATATCACTGGTCTGGAAGTCATATTTTGGTTCTGGAGTGCAGGATTCATGCTTGACGAAGTGGTTGGGTTTAATGAACAAGGATTCTCATTATACATCATGAGTTTTTGGAATGCATTCGACTTGGGTATTCTCGTTTTACTCACAATTTACTACTGCATGCGCTTATATGGTATCTTCTTGGTGGACTATGGAAGAGATGAGTGGAATAGTATGGCATATGATGTTCTTGCAACCAATGCAATTCTACTCTTCCCTCGATTATTCAGCGTTCTCGATCATTACAGATATTTCTCACAACTACTGATCGCATTCAGATTGATGGCTATCGATCTTGTGGCGGTCTTTGTACTAATTTTGATAGCCTGTAGTGGGTTTTTCGTTGCATTCACTCTATCATTTGGGAAAAGCGAGTATGATGCGGCAGGAGTTGCCTACAAGATCTTTCAGATACTCATGGGCTTTACACCTGCAGCATGGGAAGCTTGGGAGACCTATAATTTCTTAGGGAAAGCATTGCTTGTGCTTTTCCTATTCATTTGTCACTTCCTCGTTATCACCATTCTCATTACAGTCTTAACAAATTCCTTCATGTCAATTGTCTCAAACGCCAACGAAGAACATCAATTCGTTTTCGCTGTCAACACAATTTCCATGGTTAAGAATGATGCTCTATTCTCTTATGTGGCACCCACCAACATTGTCGCATGGGTCCTCACACCTTTTAGATTCGTTTTTTCGTTTAGGACATTCATCAAGATGAATCGTACTGTTATCAAAATTACCCATTTCCCATTACTATTCAGTATATGCGCCTACGAAAAGATATTCCTAGCAAGGTCGGTCTTCGAACCTACAGACCTGGTTGAGAAAGTTGGACTGAGAACAAAACGAACAATATCATTTCAAGATCATAGACATGGACTCTTTAGTCCCAATTTACGAAGGCACGAATCTTCTGTTGCTGGGTTTCAAAAGGATAGAGCTCTTGATGAGGTATTCAGATTAGCACCTAGAGATACTCTTGGGAGATATCGACCTAGCTTTGATCGTCGTCAAACTCATAATGTCATCAATAATTGGATGGATCGTCAAGGGGACGTCGCTAGTCCACCACAAGAACAGGATCCCACGATATTGGAACGACTTGAGATGCGAAGGCAATCGAGAAAGGCTACTTTGATGAGACATCGTGGAATTAGTCGTGAGATTTCTGGAAATAGATCTGTGGCAAGTGATCCAGCAGAATTCATGTCTACAGGATTTCATGATATGACTCGAATTTCAGATGAGGAATTACATCCAAACTCTTTCGGGGGAGGTCATACAGACGCGGATGGAGATGATGAATTGTTGACAAATGACGAAGACGAAGTGCATACGGAAGATAAGCGTACAGCGACAAACCTCAGCCAAAGTGGTGCCGAATCCGAAGAAGATTACTTTCAGACTCCAACTGCAACTAGATTTGTTTCTCCGACAGCATTCAATGCACAAAAAGATTATGACGAACAAAATGATTCGCCCTCAAAGCAACCCAAAGCTACACTTAAGAAGAAATCACACGATAGGAATTTATCTACGACAACAATACTTTTCAATCCTCTGGCTCACAATCTCTCCAATTCATCCATTTCACCTCCTCGTTCACGACCATTAACAGCAAAAATGTATTCACAAGCTAATACTGGAGCCAATACTCCGGCAGGTCCATCGGGATCTCGTACTCCAAAAACGGCCAATTTCGCAAATACGACTACTCGGCCACGACCCATCGTACCTAATCGTGCAAACTTTCAGTCCGTTCCAATCATCAATAAACCAGACCCTGCCCGCAATCGCCTTTTGCGTCACAAAGATTCTAGTTTGAACATCAGTTTGTCTGAAATGGGTCTTGACCATGCTCAACTTGGCGCAGTACCTAGTTCATTTCAAACTCAAATGGCTATTGCTACAAAGATGGCGATGGAACGTGGTAAAAAAGATGAAACTGCAGATGGTATGATGGGAAGATTGATGTTGGCAAGAATGAAGACTCTCGAGGAAGGGTTTGCCGAAGTTGTCAAGGAGTTTAGAGGAATGCGCACAGCTGGAAATTCCTCGGTCGAAAATGAACCTTCGATTGGAAAGAGGAGAGAAGGAAAGGGGGATAAGAAGAAGAAACGACCTGGCAGTGGCAACCTTTCACAAACCAAAAGTGAAATTAATGTTGAGGGACTGAGGATGACAAGTTCAAAGGGGAAAGAAAGGGGATATTTTGATAATGATCATGGTGGTGGTAATACTCCGATTGCTGGGCTCGACGTTGGAGGGGTTACGAGTCAAGGGACGAGCGAGTATAAGACACCATATGAAACACCAGAGGCCGGTATCATTTCACAGTATCTGACCAAGGGAAATTCCTTGTGATTATTGCGAATTAGCGGGAGTTTGGTTGGGCGGGGGTATTTGACGGTGGTACTCTAATTATGCTTGTTTTTGCTCTGTATTTTATGAAGTACATGTACTAGATATCAGGAATTGAGGTTGAGTTCTTTGCGCATAAAGGAGGATATACCCAAATGGTTGTTAGGTCATTCGTTTAATGAATCATGTTATGCACATGAAATAGTAATGGGAGAAATAAAGACGGAACAAATTCATATTCCTTCCTCGTATCATTTATATGTTGTCCCATACCGTGCTCGATTCCGAACCAGCGTATTCATCGCGCATCGATATCAAATCCCAGTCTAAGTATCAAACAACCTTCTCCTTCCTAATCCCCTTGGAAAGATTCATCAATGGTGCAATAGGTGCAGGCCAAAACATCACGGCAGCTACCACGGGTACATATCTAAACGACACGAGCAAATTAATTGATTAGCTGTGTATTTATCATGATGGTTGTGAAATAAAAAGGAGTGCGGAAATGAAAAGAAATAAATAAATAAACACTCACAGTAAACCTGTACCAGCAACATTCTTCCATGCTTTTCCCCAGTAGACGTCGGAGCCAAAATAGACGGCTCGATGGGCCGCGGGGGATTTGGTGACTGTGGATGTAGATGCGAAGCGACAGGGTATCTGGGCGAGTTTTTGGAGGTGCGAAGGGGTGGGTTTTAAGGTTGAGAAGAGCATTTTGGGGGGTGATTGGAGGGTAATAGGGGTGGTGGGATGGTGAGGAAAAGAGCAGAGAGATTGATGAGGAGTTGAGGAGAGGAGTAGACGAGGTAATGGATGAATAGACAGATTATAGAAGATTGAGAAAACGAAGAATCGAATCGAGTTGAGTTGAGTTAAACACAGTAATACCGAAATGAAGTACGAGTAAGTCCTAGAGTATCAAAACAGAACAAGAAAATAACTTCAATGGGGATAAGCATGTTTATGTACCTACCTACCTACCCCTTCGTACCTTCGTACTTTCCTCGCTCCCTCCCTCATGATCAAAATGGAACTGACGAATGAATAGAATAGATTAGAATAGAATAGCCTGAATTACAGTACGAGTATTGTTACATTGGATACGGTAGGTTTCACCTTCCTTGTGTATTGTTATATTTTATAGTACAAGATCAATGTACTCTGTTACTTTTCTAAGAATTAACAGCTCATGGTTGCATGGAATTGGAGGAGGGAGGAATGTTTTGGTAGCTCTTCTGCCTCTTCTGGGGTAAATGCGGGGTAAGGTGAGATTGGTTAGGTTGGAGGTGGTTACAGCCTTACAGGGGGCGGATAGCGTATCGCTTAAGGTGCCTGACTAACTGGCTAAAGTGGGTCGAAAATTGATAGATTGTTTTCTTGTCACGATTAGATCATCTCTGATGTGTGTATAGATAGTATCACGTTACGCCCGTCGACTTTGTGATTTGTTATGTATTGCTTGTTATTTTTATACAGATATTAATTATCTTCTATTGAAATTGGGCATTCAGTAAGAGTTCTTCTCCATTAACATTCAATCTACCGGTATCTCACATTCTAAAGCACATCACATTACGAGCTACCATGTCTTCAGATTCGAAAAAGTACTCATATCTAGATCTTGTGAAAGCTTGTGATAAGTAAGCTATATCTTCTGTGTCCTGATAATCTATGATACTGATTACCACTTCTCAGCTTTCCATATGATACAGACATCGACACACTGCATAAACTGTATCTCCCTAACGATGACCGAATCCATGGTTATATGCTTCCGGAGATTGTCTCCAAAATGCCTTGGACTTCTGATTTTATTATCACTCACAACCATCCATTGAGCGTCCAGCTTCGTCCCACAGAAACCACATCTAGCGACTACTCAACCATTTGCAACAATGCATTCGCCGCAGTCATCAACCAAGCAATCGATCAAGATATCTTCAGTACCCTACACAAACAACACAGCGAACCATACGCCATCCCCGGCGCTCAAGAACCCGTACATCTCGAACGCTATGCGGCCTCCCTATTCGGAACCATAGCCAGAGGCGCCCACCTCACAATCTTCACACGCACGAACGGCGAACTAAAAATCTGGGTCGCAAGAAGAAGTGCCCATCTCTTTACCTATCCCCACAAACTCGATAGTACCGTTGCCGGCGGCGTGCGCGCCGATGAATCCCCCTTCGAAACCATCATGCACGAAGCAGACGAGGAAGCCTCTCTGGATTCTGCACTTATCCGTGCAGATGTACGAGCGACGGGCGTCATTACGTATATGAAAAGTACAGGGAAAGGATCGGGTGGGAATCAGGGGTTGGTAACGGCTGATATGATATATGTGTATGATCTAGAGGTAGGAGAGGATATTGTGCCTGCGCCAAGAGATGATGAAGTCGAGGGGTTTTATTTGTGGGATATGGAGAGGGTGAAGAGGGAGTTGGGGATGGGGGGATTCAAGACGAATAGTGCGGTGGTGATGATTGATTTTTTGGTAAGGCATGGGGTTATTACGGGGGAGAATGAGAGGGATTATAAGGAGATTTTTATGAGGATGCATAGGAAAATACCTTTTCCGACGGCGCCGGTGAGCTAGAGTTGTAGGTTTGGTGCGGGTTTGGTATGTGTATGGTAGGGGTTTTTAGACTTGGTGTTTTATGCTGTTAGATGGTTTTGTCTGATATACAGTTTAGAGAGGCTGCTATGATATCTTTCATGGGGGTTAAATCTCACTGCAGCAGAGAATGGCTACTTTTATAAGTTTAACCACTTCTCTTTCTTGTGCTGGAAAATTAGCACTATTATCTGGCATTAATATATTGATAGATTGATAGATTGACAGAATTTAGAGTCTAAGGATATGCGGACTTCATTGCTTCAAACCCAGGAGGATGACTTTACCAGGCGATTCGGTGCTGTTGATTGTACAGCAATCGGGAAGAAAAGTTTGAAAAGGTTGGTAAGTATTGGGAATTAAGGGGATGAGGGATCAAGAATAGATCTGGGGAACTAATAAAGTTGGGTTAGGTTGAGGTAATCCGAAAAGTTTAACGAATGGTTGAGAGCTCAAATAAAGGTTGTGGAATATGGTGACGCGGTATGGTGTCTTGAGGAAAGAATCGTACTCGTCATTCAAGATGATAATCTTAGGTATGTTTACGACGATAAATGTAAAGCTATAATATCATTGCTTAACAGGGACTAAAATGGAAGCCTAATTATAAGGACCAAAGTTGAATGAATCTTACGTAGGTCATCAACGCGTACCGGTATCTCATGATGACTCTTAATTTACCCCACTCTAGAAAGCTCAATTTAGAAATATAAATATAAATATAAACCCATCAACAAGCTTCCACAAAACCATAAAGGAAAAATCAAAACATGACAACATCCGAATCCTCCAAATTCTTCACCCAAGACTGGACCATAACCATTCCCACACACCCCCACCTCCGTTTCATTCGACTCATCCCCAGCCGCTACAACCACCTAATCTGCATCCTCAGTAACCCCCTCAACGACCCCAACAATCGTCTCCCCACCGACACCAGCTGGTCACCCTCGGACACCTCCTCTCTCATCCAAACCTTCAGCACCCGCTACCACGCCTCCAAAACCGGCCACAACGCCCTCGTACTCCTCATTGAAGAAGATGCTCAGATTATCGGAATTGGACTCATGCATGAAATAGAACACCAGCCGCGTCTCGCTAATATCGGGTTGATACTCGAGGAGATAGGCAGAAGTCATGGGGTAGGTAGTATCACGATGCAAGTTTTGTTGAGGCTGAGTAATGAGCTGGAGGTGGATAAGGTGGAGGCGGGGACTATGAAGGGGAATGTGGGTATGAGGAGGTTGATGAGGGGATTGGGGTGTCAGGAGGTGGAGGAGGAGAAAATTATGCCTGGGGGGAGGAGGGTGGCAGATGTTATGTTTGGGGATATTGAGAGGGGGAGGTGGAGGGATTTGGAGATTGAGGTGCAGTTTTTGGGGGTGGTGGATTGAGGGGGTAGGGTGGGGTGTTTGGTTCACATGGGGCTGCATTGTTTTGTTTTGTTTGATTTGTAGTTGGAAATGGAAGAATGTATCAAATTCTTGGGGCGTGGTAAGTATTACTAGTATAATACTTTGTTTCATCCCCCCAAGTCTCGAGTTTGACCATACAGTACTCTCTCTCTCTTCCTTTCCCCTAAGGGTCCACAAGGCACTTTCACTTGTACGACTTATCAATCACCCTGCAACTTGAGTCTTGAATCTTGAATCTCATGCCATTCGACCACTCCCCATGCTCCAACAATTCTCGACCTCTCTCTCTCTCTCTCTATTTTGTCACCTCCTCAGCACCAACAGGTACAATCTGAGTTCCTCCACAATAAAAACATTGTTTGGGTATAAAATCCTGTACCCAAACACTTCGTTTGCAACTATTGGGACCGGCGCACTTGTATTCTTTTCCGGATCTCTCCATTTTTGTTTAGACGTTGAGTTTCGAATTTTGGGTTTTGGGGTTTGGATTGAAGTGGTGAAGTGAGGGGAAGAGAGTAAGCGATTGAGGCGCTTGGAGATTGAGGTTGTAATTGTAATGTTTGAGGAAATTGTGTGTTTGGATCGGTGCTGGTAAGTTGTTGATGATGTTGATGTTGGAAAGTGGAAGGAATGGCTTGGTAAGCAGGGTAAGCAGAAGACTAAATAGACACCTAGCAGCTAGAAAATAGATAGGGATAAAAGATCAAGGTGAATGTGTGAGGTGATGGTACGGTATTTGAGGGCTGTGAATGGCATGTTCATAATGTTACTGGTATTGTGAATGTACTAAAACTCTCCAAATCAACTTTTAGATATGTTGAATGTTTAGATCTAGTGCATAGTGAAGTAATGATTCCCTGGTGTAGATTATCGAATGTACATGAAAACCCCTCCAAATTTTATTATTTGTGCCAATTCATTCACCATATCATATCCATGGGCTATTTTTCGACAAGATATGTAATTGCCTGAATCATACATACTCAGCTGCAAGCCAAAAGGTACTCGGTAGATGACATTGAACTATCCCCTATATATCTACTAGCCAAGGCAAGGCAACACTTCCAATTATTCAGAATATCCAGTCCATATCATTTAGAAGCAACTATTATAGTATGACCTATGACATCAATGCCATCAACAATCTAAAATTCAGGTTTGGGCTCTGATTGCGATGGAGTACTAGCCCAATACACCATGGTCCAGGTTGAAGGAGAATACATATATAGGCGATACCCCCCTTAATCTCAAGCTATGACAATTTTCGGCTGTGAATGCTATTTGTCACAGTATTTGACCACTTCGGCCCCATCTTCTGATTAGTCTAGAGTATACTTAAGCTGATAAAAGAGGGATACCATCTAAACTCAGATAACTACGAACAAGTCCAGCTGTATTTGGCCTAGCTGTTGATTACACCAAACTAGATACAGTCTAATTTCTATTACTCAAATAGAAATATAGAACTATAAACTTATTTACTTTGCTAATTCTTCTAATCATATGATATCCGGTTTGATCGACAACTAGACCCAAATGCAGCTGGACTTATTCTCAGTTACCTGAGTTTAGACGGCATTGGTAGAGTGACAGGGCCAATGGTCTAGATCGCTCTTCAATATCCTTGTGGATCGATCTGAAGTAAAAAGGACATGCGCGTATGCTTCGGTACATGGTGTTCTTCTTCGGTCACTTGAGAAATTAGATAAAGTTGCTAACTCTTGATGGAAGAGTAATGGGGTCAATGGTCTAGATTTCTCTTCACTATCCGGCGATTTTTTCACAACTTTGTGGATCGCTGTATGGTATTCTTCTTCGGTTACTTGAGGAATCAGATAGAATTCCCAGCTCTAAGAACCAGTCAGAGGGCTAGATGTCAAGGAATCGTCTGAAATTTATGAGAAAGTTGTGACCGGGCGAATCGTCTAAAAACTTTCAAAGACTTAATCATAAAATCCTAGCATTCTCATTATATCCCAGACTCTTCAAGCCATGTTGTCATCTCTGAATTTGTACCCAGCAATTAAATCAACACCGTAATACCCAGCTCCCATAAACATTAACATAACCTATATCGCTTGCATAACAATATCAAATAACAAATTCCTTCACAGAGGTATATTATATCCCTTAAACCTTCGCGCCGGGATTCTTTGCTCAAACAACCAATCCAATTCCTCAAAACTCCTCCCATTAGTTTCCGGCACTCTCAACCAAACCCACAACGTCCCTATTGTCGATGTGCCCGCAAAAATAAATCCAATCTTTCCTCTCAAATTCGCTGCATCTGGGTTTATCAACAACGGAATAGCAGTATTCATGAGAATCCCAAAGAGACTCTGTACCACTATACCTAATCCAACCGTCCTCGAACGCAGCGATGAGCTAGGGATTTCGGCGAAGAGTGCCCAACCCATTGGTCCAATAGTCGAGAGATAAATGAATGAGAAAATAATAACACAGGCTACTTGACCAAACGCAGGTCCCTTACTCGAATAATCAGGAAGAATATCCAAGATCCCAATCAACAAAAGTAAAAAAGTCAAAATGGCTGTTCCAACCATAGATGTAGAACGACGTCCACATCTATTTATCAGAAACCACGAACAAATCACACCCAATAATCCCAAAATGGTAACTCCAACAGATAGTGTAAATGCGTTGGAATCGGAAAGACCAGCAATTTCAAAGAAATAACTCGAGTATCCAATTGTGAAGACGACACCGGTAAGTTGCGCGACGGCGAAAATACCCATGGCGATTTCGGTACGACGGAGGTTGGATCCGCGGAAACAATCGAGGTAGGATGTTTGGGAGGAATGTTTTGCTTCGGCTGAGATGATTACTGACATTTCTTCTACAGTGGTGACTGGAGATGGGTAACCGAGCCGAGCGAGAGTTGAGATTGTAGAGTCCGTGTCGGAATGACGAAGGAGATACCAAGGAGATTCGGGTGCGAATGGAAGGCCAAAAAGGATGATAACTGGGAAGATGAACTGAAGAGAAAAGGGAATCTTGTAAGCTTCCGACGAGGATAATGTTCCTGTGCCTTTGAGGACGAGATTTCCCGTAAGTTGACCAATGGCAATGAGTAGTTGTACTCCAGAAGTAGTCAGGCCTCGTATAGTGGCTGGACATATTTCGGCAGCATAGCTTGATGGAACCGTAAGAAATGTACCCAAGGCAAGACCGTTGATGAACTGTAACATGTTAATCTCAACTCAATACAAATCCAAAAAGGAGAAATCTTACCTTGCCTATAAGCAGCACCACAGACGATGAAGCGAATACTTGTAAGAATGCCCCGCCAATACTCAAGATACACCCGACTCCCAATATTAACCTCTTCCCAAACCTGTCCGCGAGGTATCCCGTTGCAATAGCTCCAATTAATTGACCAATATACGAAGCTGAATTGAACCCCGTTTGCCATTTCGAGCTTATTATATATTCGCCTTTATATTGATACCCAAAATCGCGCTGAAAGGAACCTATAGATATCGCACCACCAGAAAACTACAGATATCATTAGCCATCATTCGAGGGTTTTAGAATTCATGATTCTACTAACTTGTATGTCCATCCCCCAATTAACAGCAGCCAAAGCAAAAAATACAGACCATATCACCGCCACCTTATATCTCAGCACCATCTGCCATGTTGAAACATTTTCCCGTTCCTCCTGAATTTGTGAACTGGCATTTGAGTTTGAGGTAACCGAGTCCTCGGAAATGTTCACTACCTGTATTTCCTTCATCGTCATAGATCATTATTATCAATTTAGAAGAAAAAAGTGGTCGTTATCAATTTATTTCCTGGGGAGTTCTTATCAAGTAGTATGTTGTATGACTGCTGATATTTCAGAAAGATTTACATACGGGAGCCATGCTTGAATGATGTAAAATCTGGGGAAATCCCGGGATAAAATAATATGCTACCTGTTATACCTAGCCAAGAGGTAGGGGTCAAAAAATCAAAGACACAAAAGGGGACTGGGTCTCAAACAAAATGTTAAGAGGCTGGGATTTCTACAAAAGCCGGTGAAGCTTACCCCTGATGTTATACTCTTGGAAGTTGGGAACTGGGGGCAAATGTATGTTGTTGAATTTGATTTGGTCTAGATCTTGCGCTTGCTGCATGAGGATGAAGATGAAAACTAAATTCCAGATACGGGGTAGTAATTTGAGGCTAGAAGCCTTTAAATTTTTAGACCATGATAGCTCGTCGTTGAGATTGTTCCAGAAAAACTTTGAAAAGTGGACCAACCAGTTAAATCCCTCGCACTACCCCCAAATATCCTTCAAAAATCTCAGCTTCCTTGTCCGCAACGACTCGTCCCTGCAATGCAAAGCAACGTGGCTAGGGACAGATTATGGGAATTCGCCAAAAATGTAGAACTAACTCAAATCACCCCAGCAAATATCAAAAGAAGGAGTCTCCCCAGTTCCTTTTTCTCTATTTGCCAATAATCTTGTGCGCACAGTTGTAGGGATTGCCGGTCGTGAAATGGTATCGTTCGAATTAGTTCTTTGATTATATCAACATCATGTCCACTCATTAACGCGACCGCTCGTAGCAAGATCAATACTCCAGCACCTCCCAGTACATGTGAGATTATTGGTGTAAGGTAATGTGCTGTTTCAATGAATTCGTAAAAAAGGAATCCATCAAACACACCAAATCGCCGATCTTCCAGCAATATGTCACTTATTGCTTGGAGCAGGTGCAATATCTGTTGCGCTGCATGATTTTCCATTTGATGGTTTCCCACTGAGCTGTAAAGAAGCATATCTTCAATGCGAGAAGACAGAGGGTTCTCCAGATCTTCGATACGAATACCAAATGGATCTGGATAATATTGCATCTCTTCCAAACTGCTTATGACCGCACAAATCCAGCGCCCTGCCTCTGAAAGCTTTTGGTCATCATCAGAATGTTCGAATGTGTCCCCAAATAATTCCATGAAATCAATTCTTGGGTTGCCTCTTTCTCGAGCTTGATGGTGAATACCAGGTAAGTTACGTGCAAGTTGAGTGGAACTCATTCGTACATCTCTGCCTGGGAAACTAAGAACCACAGGTGGTGAAATTCTTTCAAGGTGCTTGACAGGGCTTTTGTAATGTAAAGGTGGTATTGGTAAAGGATTCGGAGTGTAGCGTCGATGGTTTCGCAAACCGGCCGTGATTATTCCATGATACGGAGCCATTTGATAGACCCGGCATTGATTTGATTCTGCGAAGGCTATCTCTTCGAAAAAGAGAGAGGATAGGGTCAATGGGATGGCGAGACTTTTGAGATAGATTTGTATTCGATAAATGATGGTTGATGTCGAGAGCCACAAGTGAGAAGACAGCTAGAGAAAAGTAGTTCAAAAAGTAAGTTGGAAACAGATGCCTGGAAGCTTAATATAAACAAACTTGATCTCACATTGTCATACAAACCATTACACTCACCTTCGGGATCAAGTCACACACATATAACTTTGATAACACCAAATTTAGAACGGTTCGGTACCATTGGTTCCTATTCAATCATTTCAAGCTGTAATACTGGAAAGATCTGCCTTATCCTACTACGCAAACATAGGAAAACGCCCAGAGAATGGTTGCGGGGATAAGAAATGAGGCGGATTGCATGATACCTAATGTTATAATATCTTGGCGGATGAATACTGGTGCACTTGACCAGCAATCGCAACACAATAGAACTTTTCGTGTATGCAAAAGTCGGCTGATGGTGACTTCAGCTTGTAGAAGAAGACATGTAGGTAGCAGTGATTTGGTTGATTGGAGAATTCTTGGGACCCCCTTCACCAAATTAATAAAAGCAAACAGACGTGACAGATCTGTCACGTATGTTTGCAGCAGTGAAGAAGGCTTCACCGAGAACATTATCTGGTTGGTGGATAGAATGATGGGTTAATATAGTTGCTTGCAGCTCAAGTCTCTCAAAATACGCCAGGTGTACCATCAACTTTGATGTTTGTTTAAGTTGAGAATTTGCTACTCAGAAGTGCCAAAGGATTTGGGAAAGGATTAGCTGACTAAGCAGACAAACAGGAAGAGCATCACGTGTGGCTGACAAAGATAAACGCTCGGATCTCTACTAGGAGTATTTTTCTAATTGAGTAGTGATATCTAGTACCGGTATACCCAAGTCCATTGAATGCATCAACATCGGGATATGTCTAAGTAGACTTATTTGCGATTTATCAGTGTTCCGTGTCGAGGAAGTTATCAACTCTTATTCAAAAACCCTTTTGTGAACTCAGAGAATGGGAGTCTCCCCAGTTGCCATCGAAATAAGAATGGTCGAGTACCTACCCAGGTTTAACATCATTATCAAATCACATCCTCTTGCTTAGCTAGTATTTGTGATCACTTCCATCTTTTGCATTCTACACGCCTCTAGCTAATGTCAGCACCATTTTTCGGCTTCCTGATGATAGCTTCTGGTACTAATATGATGTCCGAATGTTCATCAATATGTGTAGTGTACACATCATCATTATCATCATGGTATCCACTGCACTGAACCAGGAATTTGGGATCAAGTTTGGCAGATTAAATGAAATACCTCACATTCAACCTATGTCATTTGTCTCAGGATGTCATTTGGCATTCCAAATAATTGGGCATTGAGAATTTCCCCCATAGACATCATTTGGCTTCCATAATTACCCTACTTCTACCAAATGTTTCCAACCTTTTCTTTGTCTAATCTGGATTTATTGACTTTGGAGTCATGATTCGTCAAGAGATTTGACCTTCGAATCTTATTAGTTGTCGAGCAGAAATTTCTGGGTGATTTCACAAGTACCTTGGCTCAGAAAACAAAGACTGGGAATCATGGTGCCTGTTCTCCATCTTTCGAGTATTGTCCGAAACATCATTGTGAATCAAGTTATGTATGTATGCATGCTGTTTACATGCTGTCGCACACTGATTAGTCTGAATGATACTGAATTTGTGACTCGTATGTCAAGGCAGAATCTCATCACCAGTGTTTCCCTACTTGACTTGATGTTGATACAGCTCTGGTCACTTATGCATGTCTAGTTAACACATAGGTCAGACTGCAGTAAAGAATTGTGAAATTAACAATAATGACTACAGAGAACATTCTCAGCATTTTATTTGCTCTCCTGCCCAGTCCCGAATCTCACAGTACTTTCTCGACACACCTATAGTTGCCTAACCTGCTCTTGTCCAAGCCCTTCCCTGCATGACAATTTTTGACCACTTATGGGTCTAGATTCCAAAAATCTAACTACACTAAGAATCGAGACAGGCAACAAAAAGATATATCTAAGATCGTCGAAATCCTTCATCATATTTCTTCAGTTCAAACACTTCCTTTCAACCAATGAAATGATTCTACAGTCTTCAAACAGTTTTCCTCCGACTTCGTTTATTCTTCATGTCAACTTCGAGCATCACCTGGGCTCTTCTTCCTTTATGTGATCTAAAGGTTGAATTATCGTTGCCTTGCTACTAAGTTTTCGAACATCTACTTAATCATCCCTTGCCAAACTTGTTGGTGCACCCTTGTCACCCACAAAAGATACAAATTCAAGAACACGACATTCAACGCAGCTTTCCCACGAACACTTTACAACCTATTCTTCTCAAAAGGCTCCCGAATCTGATACTACCTCTTTCAGTATGACCACTGGCACCAGCGACACGAATAGCTCATCGCGTGCTACTTCACAAGATTTGGAAGATCAATCCGATGTAAGTACAACGTTTTTTTCCCCTCAATTTTCGCGACAATCATGGCCTGTCACACATATGATGGTATATTTTCAATTCCGGCGGCAAGTCTTGTCGCTTTCAGTCAAGCCGGATGGCCGTTAGATCTGTCCCTATTTGCCTCAGATTTCCCCCTTTACTTCAAACCTAAGCGAAGTCGTACCTCAAAACTGAATTTTCACTACCCTAGGTTTCCTCATCCGAAAATTCAGCGTCAACCGTGTCTTCGGCAAACAAACCCGCTACATCGAAGAAACAAAAATTGAACATCATGAAGAAGGCAAAAGTTACGCTTACTGATAAGGATGACAATACTTCTGATGTCGATGAGCTTGGTCAGGACGACAAACTCAACTCGCCTAAGCCTACAACTACTCATAAGCAATCTACTCCCAAGGCCACAAAATCCAAGTCAAAGCCAGTCGCCGATGGCGAAAATGACGATGCCGAAGCTGAGGAAAACCCTACCAAGAAACTTGCCGCCGTCTCCAAGTCTAAGCCATCTACTGTCAAGAAAGCAGCTGCTACAAACAAGAGAAGCCCTGTAGTATCTGACGACACCCCTACTGTCTCCGATGCCGAGAACGAAAAGCCCCTCAAAAATGCTGCTTCAGCTAAGCCTAACAAGAAGCGAGCTAGGACTTCCACAAATGATGGACTTCGCAAAAAGCCTAAATTACCTACAAATGCTTACATTCCCGATTCCTATGAGAGTTTGAATAAGGCAGATAAGACCCTTTTCGACCTCAAAACCCAGAATCCCAGTCATACATGGAAGGAAATCGCTGTTCAATATAACTTGGTGTTACAAACAATGCCAGAAACCACGACTAATGCACTCGAAAAGCGATGGGCAAGAGTTAATGCTGCAGGAACCGAGATTGAACATGATGATGTATGAATGAGATTGCGCTCTTGTCTTATCCATCGTGCCTACTTTCGAGTTTTCGTAGATACTAATTGATTGACTATCAGATCCAAAAGATGTGCGTCTACAAGCGAGATATGGAGAACGAAATTGAGAGGGAGAAAGATAGGGTATTGCGAAAGTTTAAGGACAACGAGTGGATGAAAATCGCCGAATATGTTGCTCGCAATGGTGGCAAAGATTACGATCCGGATGTCTTGCAGAGAAAGTATGGTATTTACAAGCGTCATGGTCGTATCGATGAGAACGATAATTACACTGAGTGGACAAAGGAGGAGGAGGAAGAGACAAAGATTAGGAAGCATAGCAAGCCCTTATTGGATAAGGACTTGCATGATACAGGGATCGCGGGTGGTGATGATGAGGAAACTGCTGCTGAGGACAACGCGGACGGTGAAGACGAACTTGCAGAAGATGATGTCGACATCAAAGTTGATCCCGATAAAGATACCAACATGTTTGGCGATGACGCATGACCACCAGCACTTTAATCTCGAAGGAAAAGCATGACCGAGACTTTTGGTCTTGTGTGAGTATCTTCCGTCACAACCGAAACGAAATTATCAAAAACGACCAAGGAAATCCTGTCACGCACCATCCTTCCTTACCTTCGAGCTCTCATGAATGTGTCTTCTTTCCACTTCCTCTCGAAAATGCTTCTGGTTCATTAACAATTGGGGTTTTATTGGTTTATGATGTCTTTATTGCTTTCTGGTGGGGGGATTATGTATGGATATCAAAGGGGAATCCGAGTCATTTTTCTACTTTTGAAGTCGACGTTCCTGTTTTTATCTGGGCGTAAAGGATAGTGATGAGACGCAGAATAGAGCAAATTGATATACATCGCCGCAGCAAGCCCTGGCTGTATCTCGGTCTTCATTAAGCTGCCATAAGGCCATTGATCTGCTTTAGATAATTAGGAAATGTGAGAACATGAGCATCACCACATTTACCCGTCTAGTTCATCTTAATCTCATCCAAACACACCTGCCATTCCTGTCATCAAGATCCACAACTTTATATCTAAAGGGATTCAAATATCTCACCTCTTGTTTCCGGGCACTTTTCTATTTCTCACTTCTTAAATATGACTCAACACCTGAGACAAATGAGTCACTATCGCCATCTTTTTATTCTCCACTCTTCACTCTTATCTACCTAAATGATTCCAAGTTTGGAGTGATATGATTTCATCTCGTCATGATAAAATCACCTAAATCTTCAAAGACCATACCATACCATGTCATCTCATCTCACCTCTACCTCAACCCATCTTCACTAGAATGACCCAATCAGCCATCCATACCACCTCGATTAAGTTTAAACATACTCCAATACCTAAAGCGAAAATAGAATAATATATTCCAAATCCCTACTTCGAAATTAAGCATCTTCAAATAGTCGTCTAAAAATTGGAGATTATTATTACAAGACTTACAAATCAAATATGAGATATGTTAGCGAAGAAATAGGCAGGGGTTGGAAGAGCAGTAGTTTTAAAGTAGGTTTCTAGAGGGTTTTTATATAGAAAGAAGCCTTGGAGAATTGTTTTAGATGTGCAACAAAAGTATTTGGAGAAGTTGAAGAGGCCCTGATAGGGTAGGATGAGTGATCTAGCATCTTGCTCGGTCAGATGAATTTCGGGTTTGTTTAAAGATAATATCGATAAAATATTTTATGCCGTCTTATTGCTACGGTCGAGTCTTTTCGGATATTGAAAAATGTTCGTAAATCTTTACCTGGTTTTTTCTTAGAACGCTGGTCACTGACAACGTGCCAGTGAGAGACTCGAAATTTTTAAAAAATAATGCATTGATGTATTCTCGTTCTCTAAAGAGAATCATACCCTAATACATCCTCCACTCATCCACTTATTCCACCCATCCCCATAATCACACACCTTCCCTCCTCATCCCCGTCTCCCAGCCCCCAGCCCCCCACCTCCCTCCCCAGCACCCCCATCAGCCCCTCCAAACTCCCCACACAACTCACTCCCTCCCCAAACCTCTCACACAAAACTCTCACATACCCCTCCTTCCAAAAGCCACTTTCTACACAAACAATCACCTTCTTTCCTTCCAACCCCTCCCCCTTTCCTCTCCCCAACACCACCCCCAGCTCCACCAATGACGACCCCCCTACCCCTATCTTCCCCTCTCTAACATCCCTCCCCACAAATCCCACCACAACCACATCCGCCACCTCCAAGCACTCTATTTCAAAATCGACTTGCGTGACAAACTTATCATTCAATTGGTCTTCGCGCCATGTAGAGTCCCAGTCGGGATTATAGGGGTCGATTATTGTGAGAGGTGGGTGGGAAATTACTGGTGTACATGCGATGAGAGAATCGGTACTAGTAGATGTGGAGGAAGAGGAAGTGGTGAAGAGGTAATCGGTGAGGACTTGTTGCCAGCGGGTTTCGTCTTTGTGGTGATTTGTGGTGCCGGAGAGGAAGACGATGGGACGAGGTAGTTTTTTTGGATTGGGGATTTTGCCATTTTCGAAGGGATTTGATAGGGGTGTTATTAAGATGTTTTGGGTTTGGGAATTGGTAGATGAGGTCATTGGGTGGAGATGAGAGTGTTTGGGTATGGTATATATTGCACGAGAAACTCGCTGGGTATCAATAAGGATAATGAGGTAGGAAATGGATATTATGAATGTTTATATTCAATGCAAAAATTAAGTCGTCTAGAGTTACAAAAAGATAAAAAGATTTATATAATCATTTTCATTGTGACCTCTTTATAATAGGAGAGAAATCAACCAAAGTGAAGTTTCTAGTAGTGATATTGAATTCCCCTTCAAGTTCTATCCTATTCTGCCTTGCAGGAAGGGATAGGCTTGTTGGCGCTTAGGGTTAGGAGTAGGAAGGAATGGTCAAATTCTTTTCAGGTTAGGAGTGGAGAGAAATAGTTGAAATGAGGTTAGAAATGAAGAGGAGTGTTGAAAATGAGGTTAGGAATGAAGAGGAATAGATCAAAATGAGATTAGAAGTGATTAGGAATGGGAAGGAATGTTTAAAAATAAGGCTGAAAATTGAAATACTAAGATATTAAAGATGTGATTATTTTGAAAAGTATTTCGATAATTTAGAGGAGGGGGTTGTAGGACTAGGTTTTAGTTCTGATTATATAATATGATCAGATAATAAATAGTATGATTAGACGATAACGTGGTTTATCAGTGGGTCAGCCACTTTTACCTCGATTTATTATTTTACACTTAATACACATTTTCTTAATAATTAATTATAGAAATTCATTCTAAAGAAACACGAATAATCTTAGCTATTAAAACTATTGAATCAAATCCAAAATTAACAATTCGGAAGACAGCTTAGCTCTATAATGTACCTCGATCTATATTGGGTGATAGAATTCGAGGTAAACCTAATATAACTGAAAATCGACCAAAAAGCTATAATTTGATTAAATTGGAAAAGGAGATTTTTATTCAATATATACTCGATCTGGATAAGAAAGGATTTGCACCTAAATTAAATGGTATGGAAGATATGGCAAATTATATACTCGAATTGCGGGGTACAAAGAAGGTTGGAAAACTCTGGACTTATTGTTTTGTAAAACAATATTCAGAACTAAAGATATGTTTTAATTGTGTTTATGACTTTCAAAAAGCTCTCTATAAAGATCCAGAGCTTATTGAAGAATAATTCCGATTAGTATCGAATATACGGGCAAAATATGGTATTCAGAACTGCGACTTCTACAACTTCAACAAAACTGGTTTTATGATGGGTATAATATACCCCGGAATAGTTGTAACTGGTATTGAATGATGTGGTAGAAGCAAAGCAATATAGTTAGGCAATCGAGAGTGGATTATAGTGATTATATATGGTAATGGAGAGGGTTGGACTATATTAACATTTTTAGTGGTGCAAGGATAATATTATCTCTCTAATTGATATACAGAAAGCAATTTTCCTACAGATTGGGTTATTAAACCTACTTCTAATAGATGAACAAATAATGAGACGGGTTTAGATTAGATAAAGCATTTCGACAAGTATACTATTCATCGAAAAAAAAGCAAATATCGAATGCTAGTATTGGATAGGCACGAAAGTCATGAATCAATACCTTTTCAGTTATATTGCAAGTCAAATGATATTATATATGTAAAGTTACTATTGCATTCAAGTTATCTAACCCAATCATTTGATGTTGAATGTTTTAGTGTATTAAAACGAATATATAGTTCACAAATTGAAGGATTTATCAAGGCTCATATCAATCATATCTCTAAGGTTGAATTCTTTATAGTTTTCAAAGCTGTATATCAACAATCGATTACAGTTCAGAATATGAAAGCTGGCTTTCAAGGAACAGGACTAATACTATTCGACCCTTAAGCTGTACTCTCGAAATTGGATATTCGAATTCGTATGCCTACCCCTTTACTCATTCCCTTGGAATCTGCTGATTTTTGGGTCTCTCAAACACCTCATAATCCAACTGAAGCTCTTTCACAATTGACTTTAATAAGATCTCGAATTGCTCGATATCAATCAAACTCTTCTATATCTATATTCGAAACTATAGCTACTTTGACTAAAGGTACAAAACAACTAGCTCATGAAGTTACATTTTTAAGTACAGAGAATTGTATGTTTCGAAAGGCAAATGAGGCATTAAACAAACGTTGATATATTAAAAAAGTTTAACTACAAAATAGAGAAATACTTACTGGACAGGAAGCTGAGGATATATTATCATAACAAAAAGTAAAGATTCAGATTCGATGTAACAAGCATCAAAATGGAAAAAATTCTAATAAGGAATCTTCTATTAGTCGATACTGTAGCAAGTATGGAAAGACCGGTTATAATTCAAGAACTTATCAGAATGATGTAATAGATCCTAGTTTATTAGATTTTTAACAGTTTTAATCGATTCATTAAATTGTTCTTGAATAATATAGTTTTGAAGTAATAAATCGAGGTAAAAGTGGCCGACCCACTGATATGGCCGACCCACTGATAAACCACGTTAGTATAATTAGATGATAATATAGTTATATAATAACAATGGCGATTTCAATCATATGATTCTTATATCGACACCCCTCCCCCCCAAAAAGCACTTTCTCCTCCTCTCCTATCCTAGCTCTAACGATAGAAAGGAGTGCGATATTTCAGAGGTTAGGAACAGGATAGGAAACCTTCATTTTCCAGAGACTAGGAACGGGATAGGGAGGGAAAGGAAGAGGAAGAGACTATAAATCGATTGGACTGCATTAAGCTACATGTATGTCACGTTTGCATATGATCATTAGCCAATCATAGATTCGCAAAGATGCAGCCACATCACCGAATTCATGTAACCTCCATCTCCTCATGGTCATCTCCAATAAACCATCCCATTGAAGTCAAAATGGTATAAATTTGTTCATAAATCATCCCACCACCAATCTATCTACCGATCTTCTAATTCGACTCCATCATTAAAGCCCTCTTCCGTCCCATCCATTATATGACCACTTCCATGATCTTGCGGGAACCTTGGACTCCCTCTCCTTCCTATCGTCTCTCCACTCACCAGTCTAATTCTTCCACCACTGGCACTGTGCACTTTATTGCCAACCCAAGACCCTACACTTCTCATCACACCCCATAGCTTTTCCTCATTATTTGATAAAACTCGATCTCTTTCTTCTCTAAATCCTTCATTGGCTTCCACTTTGAATTGGTATTTTAGGACATCTTTAACTGTTACTAGACCTTCGAGTTTCCCGTGATGTTCGATTAAGATTACCCGAGGTCCAATCTTTTGGAATACTTCCATGACGGTCTCTAATGATAATTGAGGGTGGACAGTAACAGGTGTGGAGTCTATGAATCGACTAAAGTCCACAGATGATGAAGACACACCTTCAAATGATGTAGAAACTGCTGATGTAGTGGGAGTGACGGGTTCATGAATTGAAGTGTTATTCGGAGGCGAGAAAAAGCATTTTGCGGAAGGGGAGATGGATCTATCTCTTTTAACACGATCGATTGCATACCGTAATTCTGTGCGGCCAATATATCCGACAAGAATTTTAGAAACGCGATCCTCCACAATTGGAAACCCTTGATAACGATCTTCGAGAAGCAATTTTTCCAAGTGCTTCATTGTGAAACCTGCTGTTGGTAAAAGAACGACATCAGCCGTCATGACTTGAGATACTGGTACGCCAAAAGTATGCTCCTCCTTATTATCGAGGAAAGGAAAACCGTTGAACCAAATCATACGATCTGCTATACCACCCTTCCCAAAGAATTCAGAAACGGCTTTCGTTACACCAACGACAATCATAGTTGGGAGAATGTAAGTCGTGGCACCCGTAAGCTCAAACATGATAACGACGACGGAGACGGTGATATGCATGATTCCACTCAAGGCGGCTGCTGCACCAAGGAAAGCATATGTTCCTGGTGTGATACAAGGTACATCCGGTTGACAAGAGGCGAAAAACACAGACGCTGGATAAGCTTCGTGGATAGCTTGGACGAGAATACCGATAGTACGACCAAAGGATGCACCGATAGCCATAGATGGGACGAAAATTCCAGCTGGAACTTTACATCCATATGAGATGATTACAAGAAACATTCGGATGATCGTTGCCAAAGTCAAAGAAAAGACCATCTTCCATCGATTTTCTTTATCGCAAAGACCATTGTAATCTTCGGGACCTTCACACTCCAAGAACAAAATCTCCATACTTTCAGTCATATCAATCCGTAAAAACATATTAGGATAGCAAATCAGAGCGGTTCCAGTCGCCAATAAAGTCGCTTCGAGTATTGCATATTTGGTGAGATACTTCTTTCGAAATGCCTGTGCTCTCAAATTCCATTTAATCGTAAATGCTCCATAAAGTCCACCAAATATTCCAAGTACGATGTAGAAAAGTACCTCGAAGAAATGCCATTCACGATCATAATGAACTTGAAACATGACAAGTTGACCTGTTCGGAATGGATTCATTGCTGCAAGAACAGCCGTTGCGACTAATGCGCAAAAGTAACTCCGCCACATGGTCTTCAAGGGAAAGTATGAGGACATTTCCTCGAGGGAAAATAAAACACCCCCGATTGGACTTCCAAATGCCACGGCAACACCAGCTGCTGCACAAGCACTTAGGATTTCTCGAGTTTTAGACGCATTTCGTTTATATTTTTCGAATAGTCTGGAGATGACATTGCCGGTACATACTGCATAATGAACACTTGGTCCTTCTTTACCTACCGACAATCCCGATGCAATCGCCAGAGGAAGTGCCACTGATTTGATGATCAAAGTCCAGAATCCAAGAAATCCTTTCATAACAAATCCAGCAATGATGCATTTGATTTCAGAGATTCCGGATCCAGCTGCATAAGGAGCAAATGATCTTACCAGACTTGCTGAAGTTAATGCGAATATCGTCTAGAAAGGTCAGTATAAATGCGATCAGATGAAGGGAGAACACCTACAGCAAATAAAGTGTATATTAAATAATTGACTGGTGGAAAGGAACTCCACCTATGCCAGTCATCACATCCTACCCTCAATTAGCATCGCATCCATCATCTAGTGCTCAGATACGTGCCATTATCTTCTCCCCAGCAACAAAAGTTCTCGTTGAGGTAAAATCCCGTCTTGCAATATCCCAACTTAATATCCGAAAGCCATTCCGTTATTATATTCAGAAACGCCGCATTAACACCAATTGCAGCCCCTGTGTTGTTCCCTATCAGCATATCTCCATTCACCACACGTATACCCTTTCATACCTATAAGAGTAACCACAATCCAAGCTTGCGCCGCATCATAAGATTCCCATAGCCTATATCTCCATCCCGCATGTCCACCTCTTTCAAAGAAACCGTCTGTTTCTCTCTTTCGAACTTTTCTACGGACCTGTTCTTTTGCCGCATCTTGAACCCAATCTTTGAGAGGTGTCAACTTGGTTGTCGCAAACTGGATAATGGAAGGGTATTACCTATAGTTGTAAAATCCTGTCAAAAGACAATCAGCACAAATCTTTCAGCATTCAGATTTCACAAATGACAGCAATATACCTCATAACGTTTAATCTCCTCAATTTCCTCATCAATTTGACGTTCTGCGACATTCGACCCATTGGTAGCCTCGCCTTGTTCAGCGCTTGAAACGGCAAAGGATACACGATGAGAGAAAGAAGGACGTTGATGAAGTCGCACTGATGGCACAGAAAATGAAGATGATCTTGAGTTCATGGCCCCATTTGTATTGAAAGCATTACGCGATTGAAGCTATGATATACAATATATAGCTGGATGTTCGAGATGGCTTGGCTGATCGAAGAGAGGCGGTCTATGCGGCCGCTAGAGTCGGGTGAACCGTGAATCCATCGCTTGACGTTTGTCACACTGATAGGTAAGGTCTAGATTTTGAACATTCCAATTCAAGATTTGTATTGAAAATATTGTATTTAATGTGCTAAAGTTACCTACCTTCAAGTAGATCGAGTACTGCTAGTTTTGAGTGACCTTATTTCAGTGAACACTTCTCTCCACAGACTTTTGATTGTTCAATATTGTGTTTTCTTCTTCCACTTGGGTGAAGCGAAGCTTAATTAATTATATTATACTGCTATCTGCTCCTGTCAATGCTTGGTTCTTGTCATCTTCCCTGTTTGAAAATGTCAGGTCTCTCATACATGCTGGGAAATGCCGAGTGAGGCATTTGTCCAGTGGTATATGATCACCATCTAAAACTCTTTTCCGCTCATTTTGACATGCCGTACGACTTGCTGCGGTTTCCAGGCTCTTTCCTATAATGTGGGATGTACGTCTACATGACTTGTTCCCACAAAGCTTGCTAACGCTGCCGCATCTTGTTATGAAAGCTAGTAAGCCTTGTCTCGATGGTGTGCGGTTTAAAATGAGAAAGACGACAACCTCATCCAAGCTTAGCAGCCATTTGTGAGTTTTTGAGCAATGCAAGCAAGCATCTTTCAACTCAATTGTAGCAGAAATTTCCCCAAACCGTTCAATACATCTTTTAGAATCCGGAAATATATTGCTTTCGATCTTCAAGAGCTCTTTCCGAATTGTGGGAAGAACTGTTTTTCTTTCAAGAAGTCTAACGAGACACTCGAACTTATGAGGAAGGGGTCCTCGAAAGTTTTCGCTTAATACCAGTTGACTTTTGGAACTCCGGAACAGTTCGTCCGCCCATTTCATCTTCGCATCCGCCCATACCTCTTCATTCAGGGGTGAGAGCCGAACCGCTCGTGTTCGATTCTGTACAGATCTCCTCTCTGTCTTCCGACGGGACGAATCATGAGCATCGGTACCGACATCAAGCACAGCATCATCCGGGATTTCAATTACGTCTACTGAGATTTTGCGCTTGACACCGCTACCGGAAGTGTTCTCCTTTGGGTGCGCTGGTGTTGCGTTTGTGGTAACGGGTTTCCTATCTATATTGGTGGCAACCCTTTGCTTTTGGCTTTGACTTTGGGCCGTATCCGTTGTTTTCTCGAAAGGAGACTGCTTCAGCGCCGTTTCGGCGATACTTTGCTCGGCATTGTCTTTTGGAGTCGTCGATTGCAGTATTTTGATTTGTCCTCGGGCGCCAGAACGGAACTGTACAAAAACATATATTAGCTGCTGAACTAACGAATAATGGAAGGTTGTACACTTACTTTTGCGAGAATTTTCAATGCTTTGACACGGTCATTGTTTGCAATCCAAAGTGCGAACTCGAGACGGGCCACCGCATCCCCCTTGTCTGGCCGATCTTCGAACTGACCCAACAGTTAGTACAACTTGCGATTTAAATCCTTTTACGAGTCTCATGTAACCCGGATGCTTCAAAGAAGGTCTCCCAAATCATCCGGGCATCCCAAACCATTTGATACATCCAAACACTCTGCAAAGCAACTCACCCTCAATAGTACATCAGCAGCTTCCCAAATGCATCCATTGGTATGAAAGACCGCAAAACGAATTAGTTCATGATCAAATCCCAACTCCGTGAGGTTTTCGATGGTTAATTCCGGCGCTTCTTGAGCAGGCTGTCTCGGAATAGCATCTTTTACTACAGGTTCCCTCGGACTTTCAATGGATTCGGCCAGATTGACTTGTAGTTTCGGGTTTTCAAAGTAATCGGCCAGGTTGACTTGTAGTTTTGGGTTTTCAATGGATTCGGCCATGTTGACTTGTAGTTTCGGGTTCTCAATGGAATCGGCCATGTTGTCTTGTAGTATCTGAATGTCGACGATCAATTGAGATCATGAGAAGATCCCTGTGCGAGAGGCGTGGTGTGTGCTTTTAATGGAGGTGTTGTTGTCTTCTTTCTTTTGTTTGGTCAGGTGGGAAGAAGATGGGGGAACTTGAGAGGTGATGGAAAGAATGTGGTAAAGAAGGTGGTGGTTGAAAAGTGACGGAGAGAAGATGTGGGAAGTAGTCGATGGGAGGAAAGTAAGTGGGGAGAAGGTGAACCGAATATAAAGAAGTAGACACTGGACAGGACCAAAATGAATATCTCAAAAGTCTCCTAGATTTCCGTCGCTGACCCTTCCGCCGATATTTTGACTTTCAATACAGAGTTAACTAATTCTAGAGGTATATACAATGTTGATTGCTCCGCAGTTCAAACTACAATTATGAGAGACGCTTGGTACTATTCCACATGCCGACGTGCTACTGAGTAGTTATTAGTATAAGCATGCCATCCTGATATTACCCCTAATCAACAGAACATATCCTGCCAACTATACGGGAGGTCCAAAAGTCTTCCATAGCTAGAGACAATATATCAAGACCCACAAGACTTCAATGAACCTCAGTGACAGAACTCGCCGTAGAGAGAGAGGAGTTTTGCAGACAGTTGAGGGCGTGAGTCGACTAGCTTTCTAAAATAAGAAAAGCGTCAAAGGAATCATTCGAGCCGGGGCGGCGGCAAGTAAGTCGAAATTGAGGGTTTCCAGGAAAAGTCTTTGACTGGAGCCGAATAGCTTAGGACGACTTCAGCGTCATACCACTGAATGTGGCAGTCTCCACGCGAAAATCCTGATGCCTGCTGGTTCCTGGAAGGAACACTGGGGGAGATTTTTATCTTCCCCAGGTATTTAGTAGAGTAAGATTTGATTGACATGGCGGATCATGAGGAGGTGAACAGATTGCACCTCGACGACAACCAGCATCGACACCTTAAGTGACTCTGTGCTAGGCAGAGGTCTGACATGCGTTGCGTAATCCCTTTGTATCTAGATTCTCAAATAGTAAATGTGACAAACAGTGCCAGCAATACGATAATGCCTACCGAATCATGCTTTAACCTCATCTGCTAGCAGGTAATAACATGTAACACCATACCTTAGCTATTAATCTGAGAGCCTAAACACGATAACCATTCGACGCCCAAAGGGAGAGATGCAAATTTTTTGTATTTGTATTGACTGAGCTAGGTTGGGCATCGAACTGTATTGACTTTAGCATCGGGTTCAAATACGGAGGCGAAAATCTAGCTACAGAACCTCCTGTAGGCCGCCTACCATGTTTGATAGATCATCATTTGAATCACACACAGCGAAATCGACAATGCTTCGTTCAAAACCTAAGCTGTAGAGGGTGTAAATTGTCAAATCATTTTTTGGCGGCTATTTCGCGCTCTCCGATTCACATTTGAACGCCTTGTTTGAATATGCTGTCACTGGGCTGCTAGGTGTAGGAAAGTAGATTCTCCGCTAGGTAGGTGTAAGGTGCAAGGTAATTTCGAAAGAAAACAAACTCTATAAAGACAAAAAGAGACACGGTTTTCTATTGGATATTAATTAACGCGTTGTCATTCTTTACTGTAATTTCCCGTCAATCTCGGCCTCAATGTAACATGAAATCCTTGTGTGTCCACTTTTCCGTAGCCTTTCTCTTTGCCTTCTTTGCGAAACTGATAGGACGTCTACTCTCGACCTTTCCACGAACCAACATACTCCTGTACCTCTCCTTTAACAGATTTCCCTCTGGTTTTAACAATCTTAACGACTCTTGTAACTCATCTGGTAGAACAAGCTCGAGATCCCTTTCTGGCAAAGAAATCTTCCCCAATTTCCTTCTTCGGAGTTCCATATCATCACCCTCACTGCCATCGTCCTCCACAACCAACAACGAACGAGCCATTTCTTTCTCCGCAAGAGCCTTGGCCAGCTTCTTAATTTGTGCAGCTTGTTCTTCTTTCATTTTGTTGTGAGCAACCATCTTTGCATTCCTTTCCTCTTCTTTTCTCCTCTTTATCCTATTTCGTTGCGCTTGATTTTTTCTCTGCGGCCTCTTAGCGTTCAAACGAACATCTTCTGCGCCACTCTCTAAACCTTCCCATGCAGAATCTTCTTCCCACTCTGACATATCTGCTCGAGCTTCAGCTGCTTCCGCCTCAGCCGCAGACTTCGTTGATGCTTCTCGCTTTATTCGTTCTGACTCGATAGCAGCCAGCCGTTTCTTCTCCGCTGCAACCTCCTTCTCTCCCTCGGTCGTTAATCTCTCTTCGTAGTCTGTGAATACTGGATTGTAACTGTAACCTCCTTCCGGCCTCTTGACTGCAGGGATATCTTTTCCGCTAGCTGCCAACGAAATTGACTTTTGATTCCATGAAGTAGGGATTGTTGTCTTCTTGGCCTTGTCGAGAAATGAAAATCTTGGATCTTGTTTTGCTTCTTCTATATCCTTTTGCTCATCCCAGGGATCAAATGAAGCTTCTGTGACTTCAACCGTCTTCTCATGATGTCCATCGGCAATCTTTCGTAAACGAATGAGCTCTTTGTGCGAAATATAACCTGTTCTTTGGCGCTTCGAATCGATAACTCCGTTCGTGGTAGTTTGTCCTGGGCGCTTCTTCATCGACACGGATGGGACAGCAGAGCGTTGAGCAATGATTTCATCGGCTTTGAGAGGTTTGGAGGCTTTTAAGTATTTCTTTGATATCGCAGCATCTCCAGCAGTATCAAGTGTGAAGAGATCAGAGGAATCTTTCTCAGCAATAACTCCACTATGATTGAGTTAGTGATGCTCAAATATTTGATGTACCAAATACTCTTACCCTGCGATCAATTCCTCTCTGACTTCTTCTAAACCTTCCTGGACCTCTGTAACATCGACATTCTTTCTCCAAGCCTTCTTCCCTTTTCTTGAAGCTTGTTTATGTTGTTGAGGGGCATCTTTAGATCCCGCAAGTGGTTTAAGGACCGGCATTTTGTTATGTTCTGTTGCTGAAACTTGAAGAAATCTGGCGATTGCGAGAAAAATAAATTTGAGATTACGATAATTTTCTGATAGCTACGGTGACCCGTTGTGGTCAAAAAGCCCGCCTCGGCCGCCTCCAACAAATTATGGTCAAGGCCAAGGCACAAGGGACCATCGAAGCAAGCTTCTGAGAGTCCTCCTTTGTTTAAAACGGAATACCGAAATAATTTTACGACTTTAACACGTTTCTTGTAGATATCTTGGTCAATTAATAAAACCTTTCTATTTTCTTCATATTCTGAATCTTCAACATGGCGCAAGCAAGTGGAACTTATAATAATCCCCTGAAGAAGTTCAAGTATGTTGTCTTCTTGTATTGCCTATGACCATATCACTAACTATGCAGACTGGTCTTCCTTGGGGAGCAAAGTGGTATGAACCTCGTGCGGCATTCCATATAGTTGAGAAGTTAATAATAAATACAGTTGGCAAGACTTCTCTTATTACACGTTTCATGTACGACTCTTTCGACAATATGTACCAAGCAACCATCGGTATAGATTTCCTATCCAAAGTGAGCATTCCCCGAGCAGCAAATACACATCAATAGGCCTAACACTGTGTTTAGACAATGTATCTTGAGGATCGAACTGTGCGGTTACAACTATGGGATACCGCGGGACAAGAGAGATTTCGAAGTTTAATCCCTTCATACATTCGCGATTCGAGTGTAGCAGTGGTGGTTTATGATATCTCAAGTACGATACCACACTTGGCTGTTATACTACACTTTCTAACAAATTTTCAGATCGAAAGTCTTTCCAAAACACAAGAAAATGGGTGGATGATGTCCGGGGGGAACGAGGAAACGATGTCATTATTGTGTTAGTCGGCAACAAGACAGATTTGAACGACAAAAGAGAAGTCACAACAAGTGAGGGTGAAGAGGAGGCAAAGAAGAATAACTTGATGTTCATTGAAACGAGTGCAAAACTCGGTCACAATGTGAAGACTCTATTCAGGAGGATAGCTCAGGCTTTACCTGGAATGGAAGGCGCGGATAATGCTGCAACAACGAACCAAAGTGAGTTTGAATGTGGCTAACAATATTGAAGCAGTGGCTAACCCTTGAAATAGTGATCGATGTTAATGTTAACCCAACTCCTACAAACCAAGAAGGATGTGCGTGCTGAACGGGGACAGCATTGAAGTGATAATGGAAATAATAAGATTCCTTTCGATGTTTGTCTTATTTGGGACTTTTGAAAGGATTGGGAGCATAGCGTCTCGCTGCGAATTTATATGATATCGATAGCGTACATCTTTGGCGTACTTAATGAGCTCTTGAAGTTATTGTAGACTATGGGGTAAAAAGCTAAGTGGTCAGACTTTGGAATAGAAAGCACACTTTACCTCAATGATTTCTTCGTGATGAGTGCTCGAGGATGTGTTAATTCTTTAAAACAAGAATCTCAATGCCTCTCACAAGTCTCAATGCCTTGTCACAAGTAATCCTAGGATTTCCATCGTGAGCGCAACCCCTTTTAAGAATGGGCTGTCCAAATTTAGGTGATGGCTTACATAAGCATCCCAATCCGAGGATCCGAAAAAACACCCATTCCAGGTTTATCGTTCAAGAATAACTTTCTATCTTTGTTTGTTTAGGCGTTTTCTTGAATTCTTTTACTTTTCGTCGCAATACATTGACGAATTCCCTGTCCATTCAATTTCATCATGGTTTCCTTACCGCGATGGGTGCGAGTCCCTCGTCCCAAGGTATGCATTCCCAAATCATCATAGACCTTTGTCGCCCATGGCAAGAAGAGCAATATTAATTGGTGAACAGACTTTCCTATATCTCATGACTCTCCGCACTGGCACAGAGATGATTTCATTATCGATGATATTCAATAAAGTCACTGGTTTCTATGGCCTTCTCGCAGTTCTCGCTGGCCTAAAGTTATCACCTTTACAGCTTTCGATGTACATATATTCCGTCGCTGCCCTCGCCCTCACAGCGTTCCTTATGCCTCATATTCGCAAACAAACACCCTTTCAATGTTTAGCCCTCGCATGGTTTTATTTTTTTGATACGATGATCAACACAGCTTTTACCACCGCGTTCGCATTAACATGGCTTTTAGCCGTGAGCGCAGATCAATCCAATAAGGGTATTCCAAACTCCGCTCCAGGAAGTGGCACAATCGATGAGACGGCAGGCTTTACGAGTCCGAAATCCAATGCCAGTGCGGTGAATATGGACGGAAATGCCGCTGGAGTAACTGTTGAGCAAAGTGTTGGAATTGAGGAAAGCGTTCCAAGTATCATTGTCGTTACGATTTTGACATTGATTCGGGTATATTTCATATTGGTGGTTATGGCATATGCACGACAAGTCTTAAGACAAAACATGTACTCGGCCTCTTCAACGAAATTACATCTCAACACCGATGGTAGCACAGATGCTCGCGCAGAAAATCCCTTCGCGGTAGACTCACCACAAGGACAAGGTTGGAAAGGAAAGCTCGGTAGACTTATGGTGAAAGTCGGAGAAGGATATTGGCTTGGTGGTCATGTGGATGAAGCTTGGGTTAAGGGCTTGGATGGACGATTCAAGACTCAAAGGACATTCAATGGACCTCCAGGTACCGTCGAGAGAGAACGAAGAGCGAGAAGCGGAACGGGACCACCTGTACCTGCTAAGGGTCTCGGCATTGGGAAGGTGTAAGATCATATTATATAATGATGGCAGCTGGGCAGCGAGAAATAGACATTGTAGATGGAATTTTCTATATTGTCAATGGGATGATGTTAGGTGGATAGGAAAGCAACAGCATAAAGTGGTGGAAGTTATCGACGAGCCGTTCTGTCAATACATTTCGGAAGAGCCGGATTAATCATTGCTCAATAATCCAGAGCTTGAAGGAGTTTTCATAGCACATATGGCGTTCTTTGGGTATTCTCTGGTAAGCGGTGTTGTTGCAAGCAATTGAAACTTCTTTGGTAGATTCTCCAATTGCTCATGTTCATGGAATAGGAAATCATCGATGACGGCAATTATTGTATGATGATTTAAGGAATTAATGCAAATTGATAAATTGCATACGTCAAAAATGTACATAATAATATATCTCGTGTTCGGGTTTCGAGTTCGAGCTTCGTCTCGCCACTTAGCTTCATGACTTATGGATTTAGATACCTACACCTCGATTTGGACTTTACATGATTCAAAGCCCGAATTCAAGATTTTAAAAGGCAATATACAGCCACACAAAGAGTTGAAACCCTTGGAACTACTCGAGTAGAACATACATCAATACCAGACGGCTTTTACTCGGAGACTATGCTAAATAGACATTTCGGGATTGCTTTTTTCCTTGTTGATATTGATATTCTCACCCATCAAATAATCTACCATTAGCGATGGCGTGCTCGATTGTGGCTGGTGTTTTCCTTCAAAGCCATTTCAGATGACAAACAGGACTTTTATTGATTTTCTATTGGTCAATCATATGTTCCTTTCTCCATGAACTTCAATCCCATACCCTACCTTGATCTCAATATCCCCTCTGTTTACTACATACACTTATCAACTATACCATAATTGACCATAAATCCACTGATTGTATTTGGTCAAATGCACTTGATAGCCTCGATAAGCCTCGATAGCCTCGATAGCCTTTGATATCTAATAATATACCCCTGTTATTCGCCGAATATCGCATCACATTAATGGCCCTAGGAGGAGTACTTGATTAGGAAGAGAAAAAATATTTGACCATGTCATTCCTCTTCCGCCGTCTTGAGAACGACTCTAATACTTCTTCTCATTCTCATCGAAGAGATCTCCATCATATTAACAATATGGCGGCTACCTCTGGAAAGATTCGTACACCTCAAGAAGCTGGTATGTCTACACTCTTATTCTGTTATAACCCTTGTTATGTGGCACCTCTCCCTCCATCCCCCCCCCTCTCCCCCCACTTCATGAGATTCTGTGACACTGACATTATTTTTCTACTATGAATAGTGGCAAGAATTGCATACTTGTCCAGCGATGTGATCGTTTCTGTACAACCTGCTCATTCAATTGAGTCGGAATTCTCTTCACATTTACAAAGATATGCTGGAAGAAAGGATTTAAGTCTTGTTGCTGGCAACGAAAGTGGCGTTCCAGAGGTGAGTTATTATTTACTTTTACCATCAAGATAAAAGTATTAACTTATATCCGTTTAGTTACAAACAGTTCGCCACAACAATGATCCCCTATTATCAGTATTTACACCAATCCGCAATGGAAAACTTGTCACAGTCACCACAAGCTCCTCAATTCTCGTCTCCTCAGTACCCCACCTCTACCGACTTGCAAACTTCCCAGTGGTCATTCACGTCTCATTACAACCCTCGCATTACCCAGATTATTCCTCGATAACCTCAATACGAAATTCTGGCTTCACATTTTTACAGTCCGAGACATTACAGGAGGCACAAGATATTGCTGTGACTGCTCATGCTCTCGCTATCAAGTCAGGAAAGGGTGTCATTCATTTCTTTGATCCTGGATCTTCGGACAACGACAATCACATTGATTTCGAGAACCCCGATGTTGTTTCAAAGATTCTGAATATTGATTCCGTCAGGGTCTTCCAAAGCAGAAAGATTGGGGGTTCTAGCATATATGCCGATGATGGAAGAATTGCAACTATTTCCGAAAACGCTGCGACCGGAGTTACATCTGGTGGTGAGGACAACACTGAGTCTGCTGTACCAGGTCAGACAACCACCGAGGTACCATCCAAAGCTTCATCTGTAGGATCATCAAAATCTTCTTCGGTAAGAGCAAGCAGTGTCGATAGCAGTGCTTCTTCTGCAACGACAGTCGATGCGCCAAATGTACGGGCTGTAACCTCGGATGACATCTACAACTTTGTTTCTGGTATCTGGGATCAATTGAAATTGATGGCCGGCAGAGAATACACCCCTTTCAACTACACTGGTCCTCCCAATGCTGAAAATGCTTTGTTTATTTTTGGATCGGATGTGGGTTCATTTGCTCAAACAATTGATGAAGGAGGTGATGAAGTTTTTGCAAAGGCTGGTATCATTACTGCGCGATTATATAGGCCATGGTTAGGCTCTAAATTGGTTGAGGCTATCCCTAGATCCATCAAGAGAATTGCTGTTTTAGAGCAAATCAGAAGAAAGACGACCAAATGGGGACCTTTACTTTTGGATTTGCTTACAACACTCAAATCAGGACCAGGAGGTGGAGTAGACATTATCGTTGGACATCAATTGGGATTTCTTGAACCAGATACGGTACGACAAGCACTACGCGGTGTTGTACAAAATTTGGTTTCTGAGAAGCCAATTCAGAATCTCGAAGTCGGAAACCCAGATGGACCAAATGAATCTTCAAACGGATATACTTTAAGTCAACCAAAAGTCGAGTCCGCTTACATGAAGATTTTGGATCAAATTTTCGGCAAGAGACTTCATTTGGCCAACCAGATTGATTCGAAGAATGCCGGCATCTCTTCCACTATCGCGTCGAACCCAGAATTTGGCTTCGGTTCTCTTTTGGCCAGAAAGGAGCATCGCCAAAGATTTACCGAGGAAATTAAGGAGGCGGCACAATCCAAGGAATTTGTTACCGAAGCACCAAAATCGTGGTTGTCAAAGTGGTCTGCGGGCGCCCCTGATGAGTTAGCGGATGAAATCATTGCTCGTCTCGAGACGGATGGATCTGCATTATCACAGAACCTACTCTCGAAGAAGGGATTATTCCGTAATGAATCTCCTTGGCTTGTCGGTTCTGATGCATGGGCATACGATCTTGGAAACTCAGGTGTTCACCACGTCATTGCATCTGGCGAGAATGTGAATATGCTCATCATCGACTCTACCCCATACTCAGAACGCTCAGCCGCCGATGCCGAAAGAAGAAAGAAGGATATTGGTCTTTATGCCATGAACTTTGGCAACGCTTACGTTGCATCTGTCGCTGTATACAGTTCTTATACTCAAGTTCTACAGGCAATGATTGAGGCAGATCAATTCAATGGTCCATCTGTCGTTGTCGCTTACCTCCCTTACTTCAAAGAAAATGATTCTCCTTTGACTGTTCTCCAAGAAACTAAGAAAGCGGTGGATCTTGGTTACTGGCCATTGTACAGATGGAATCCAGACAACGAAGAGAAGGGAGAGCCTAACTTTTCTTTGGATTCCGAGCGAATCAAGAATGAACTTAAGGACTTCTTGGCTCGTGATAACCATCTCACTCAATTGATGAAGAAGCATCCCGAATTCTCATCTAACCTTTCCGAAGATTACGGTACAGAAGTTCGTGCTTTACAAAAGAGAAAGGCTAAGGATGCATACAACGAGCTTCTTGAGGGTATGCTTGGTGCACCTTTGACCGTTCTTTTCGCCTCCGACAATGGCAATGCTGAATCTCTATCAAAGAGATTGGGCAATAGAGGTAAAGCACGTGGCTTGAAGACAATCGTCATGGCCATGGAAGATTATCCCATCGAAGATCTCCCCACGGAAGAAAACATTGTCTTCTTGACAAGTACCGCTGGTCAAGGAGAATTTCCTCAAAATGGACATGCATTTTGGGAAGCCATCAAGGACAACACCGATTTGGATCTCGCATCGCTCAATTATTCTGTATTTGCTCTTGGTGATAGTCATTACTGGCCTCGTAAAGAAGACAAACACTACTACAACAAGCCAGGAAAGGACCTCGATCGTGTTTTGTTAAACCTGGGTGGAAAGCGTCTTGCTGATGTTGGATTGGGTGATGATCAAGATCCAGATGGATATCAAACTGGATATCAAAACTGGGAACCTATCATTTGGCAAGCTCTCGGAGTTGACAAAATTGAAGGGCTGCCAGAAGAAGCCCCACCCATCACCAATGAGGACATTAAAATTGAATCCAATTACCTCCGCGGTACCATTGAAGAAGGATTGAAGGACATGTCGACTATGGCAATTTCTGCTTCTGATCAACAATTAACCAAATTCCACGGTACATATATGCAAGATGACCGTGATCTTCGGGATGAACGTAAGGCACAGGGTCTTGAACCTGCCTATTCTTTCATGATTCGTTGTCGATTGGCTGGTGGTGTTGCCACTCCCAAACAATGGATTCAAATGGACGATGTCAGCAACGAGTTCGGAAACGAAACTATGAAACTCACCACTCGTCAAACCTTCCAATTCCACGGTATCATAAAGACAAAGCTCAAGGGTGCCATGCGTGGTATCAACAAATCTTTGATGACCACTATTGCTGCATGTGGTGATGTCAATCGTAACGTCATGTGCAGTAGTTTGCCAACGGCTTCGAAATACCACAAGCAAGTTCATGCCATTTCGAAGAAAATTTCTGATCATCTTTTACCATCCACAACTGCTTATCATGAGATTTGGATCAAGGATGAAGACGATAAGAAGGTTCAAGTGGCTGGTGAAGCTGTTCAAGATTATGAGCCTTTGTACGGCCCTACTTACTTGCCAAGAAAGTTTAAGATCACCATCGCCATTCCTCCACACAACGACACTGACGTTTATGCTCACGACGTCGGCCTTATCGCTATTAAAGGTGACGATGGTAATTTGGCAGGTTTCAATCTTCTCGTTGGTGGTGGTATGGGTGTTACACACAACAATAAGAAGACATATCCTCGAACTGGTAGCTCCTTTGGATATGTTTCCAAGGAAGAGGTTCATATTGCTTGCGAGAAGGTCATGCTTGTTCAACGTGATCACGGTGATCGTAAGAACCGAAAGCATGCTCGTCTCAAGTATACCATTGACGATATGGGTGTCGATGTTTTCAAGGGCAAGGTTGAGGAATTGTGGGGTCAACAATTCCAAAAGGCCAAGCCATTCAGATTCCAAAGCAACATCGATACTTTCGGATGGGTTAAAGATGAGACCGGATTGAACCACTTCACTCTGTTCATTGAGAATGGTCGTATTGAAGATACTGCTGACTTCCCAATGAAGACTGGTCTACGAGAGGTTGCCAAGGTTCACAAAGGTGAATTCCGATTAACTGGTAACCAACATCTAATCCTTAGCAACGTTGCCGATGAAGATCTCCCAGCGATGAAAGATATGTTAGTCAAGTACAAGCTTGATAATGTTGCTTTCTCCGGAATGCGTCTTTCTTCCTCAGCCTGTGTCGCTTTCCCAACCTGTGGTCTCGCCATGGCCGAATCCGAACGTTATCTCCCACAACTCATCACCAAACTCGAAGGTGTCATTGAAGAAAATGGCATGCGTCAAGATTCAATCGTTATGCGTATGACAGGATGTCCTAACGGATGTGCTAGACCTTGGTTAGCTGAAGTCGCTTTCGTGGGTAAAGCCTATGGTGCATATAACATGTATCTTGGAGGTGGATATCACGGACAACGTCTCAACAAACTTTACAGAAGCAGTATCAAGGAAGATGAGATCTTGGATATCATGAAACCATTGTTGAAGAGATATTCCTTGGAGAGAGAAGAAGGTGAACATTTTGGAGACTTCTGTATTAGGATTGAAATGATCAAGGAGACGACCGAGGGAAAGACTTTCCATGATGATGTGAGTATTTCTCTTCTTCATTTTCCCAATCATGATTGATATGAGACTAATATATTACCAATAGGTCGCAGAGGAAGAATCTGAAGAAGAATGAAGAATGAATGATTGATTGATTGATTGCACAAAATTCCAATTGCATAGTCCCTTTTGCACTGTACGAACGCATGGCGTTTCAACGGGTTACATGATCAAGTTATTTCTGTTCTCTTCCTTTCTTGTCCAACTACTAAGGTATCTTGGGGGTGTTTTGAATAAAGTTTGGCATTCAACTGCACATCCGATGTGGTTGGTAATGCTATTGTGTTTCTGTTTCTCAAGATGTATATATATATTTGAGTACTTGACAGCGTAGTAGAAAGTATGAAATAATCTATATGAGTTAAAACAACTGAATATGAAGATGATGGTGAAGAAAATGTTATATAAATGCCTTGATCAGGTTTATGGATGTTGAAGGTTTGGGTTAAGTATAGAGTATGTAAAACGTTGTACTCGAGTAATTTCAAAATATCATTGCTTTTTTACGGGAACTTGGAAAAGAAGATACTAATCATCACTGCTATACTCAAGTACTCAACTAGTACCCCATAATATCATATAAAATAATATAATATATTGAAATCAATCCAATCCAATCCAATCCAACACTCATCTCGTCTATCTCATAGGTAAAATTACGAGTAAAGAAACAGTACGAGTTACTCGAGAGTAGCTATTTAATGTAATGTTAAAGAAAATGAAAGGAAAAGAAAGGAAAGGGGAAAAGAATACTGAGTACTCGAGTATATAGAACCTATATGTGGGTAACGAGTGCTTGCTTGAATCCTACTCTAATTTGAATTTTATTGTGTATAGCTGGATTTTATTGTGTGTAGCTGAAATTCAGAATTATTCGGGTGTTGTTTAAGTTAGTAAGTTAGTTAGTAGATAGGTAGGTAGTAAGGATATGGAATTGGAATTGGAATTGGGGATGGGATGGGATGGGATGGGATGGAGAGGAATGGAGAGGGATGGGATGAGTACTCGAGTAGATTAGTTGTTAATGAACCAGGCGGCCGCCCCATGAAGAGCCGACTATTAATGCTGATACAGATTAAGTTGATAGATGATATGAGATGAAGGTGGTGTTAGATGATATTAGGGGTACGAGATGGGATTAGATGGGATTGGGGGTATAAGATGATGTTAGATGGGATTAGATCAAAAGTAGACAGGTATGATATAATTTGAACTGATGAGGGGGGATACTGTGAATCTGAATCTCTGAACCTGTGAATGTGATTAATGATTTTGGTTATGGGAATGGGGAATGGGGAATGGGAATGGGAATGCGGTGGGAAGGTAGAAGTTGGAAGGTGGAGGATAGAGGATGGGAGTTGGAAAAGGGGTGGGGAGGGGATTACTTGGGCATTATTTTTGCTTGTAAGATTAGTATGATGAAACCTTTTCACGGTACGGTGATATTACATCGCGAAAGAGAAGCTCAATGTTACCCTGTCTGTGATTATGTGATTATGTGATATTTGGTAGCGTAGTTGGAACTTGACTGGAATAAGTTTTACTTGGAAAGGAGCTTTTTTCTTCATCATTTGGAAGGGTTTTGAGTATTTCTGATGCTGCGTTTCATAGAGCAGTCTACCAAGTCCTATCCCCCGCCAACACAATCATGCTGCACCAGAAGCCTTAGCAGCATGACCCGGTACCAAACCCTCTAACTTCGCCTCCGACTCCACAATCAAAGGAATCTCATCCTGCAAACTCTTGCCCGTAGGTTTCCACCCCAAATATTTACGAGCCCTCTTTGCAAACCCCTTAGAGTTTAATCCCCAAGAAATTGCTTCAAATCCCGCCAATTCTTTCCCTTCTTCCACATTCATTGGTGCCACCTCTTTCTTCTGAATATATCCCTTCTCAAATGCGACTTCGCCAACTTGTTTGGATACTTCTCCCCACACATGATGACCATTCTCAGCTAGGAAATAACCCCTCTCGTTCCAGAGCTCCGCATCGTTGGGTCCTGGTCCTGCGACTGCTGCTTCGGCTAGTAATAGCCATAACGAACTGAGATCATGAACATGTACATTATCCCATTCCGTGAGACCCTTTCCTAGCTGAGGCGCTTGACCTTTTTGCAGCGTAATTCTCACCAAATTATATACCTGACGACTGCGTTGGTTTCCAGGTCCACGTCCAGCTCCATAAATGGTAGGCGGACACACGACTGCCGTCTTCACGCTCTCGGATCCAGCTGCCAAAACAAGCTTGTCGATATCGCGATGGAATGCTGTATCGGGCAACGAAGTCAATTTCGAAACGCCTTCGAGATCATCATATGGTTCTTGCGATGGAGCTTCGCCATACGTTTCCGTCTCCATATCTTTCCAGCACAAAATCCCCGTTCCGGATAAATGTAACCAATACCCCGGCTTTTCTTTGGTATGACCTTTCGCGAGACCTTTCGCTATAGCTCGAGTGGCAATCTCATGATCGGAGGAATCTGCTGTGTCTAAAATGTTATATTAGTCATGGTGCTAAACATACATACAAAACCCAATCCAAACATACGTAGAACAATATCGGCCTTGGCAGCTTCTTCTTCGAGGATACTTGCATCTTCCAAAGAACCATATGCGAAACGCACTTTGGGGAATGCGGCGGCTACAGGAGCGGCTCGGCCAGAGTTGCGGACGAGGGCTGTGTATTTCCAATCTGGGTGTGCGTTGTACAGTTTATAGAGGGCGTCGCCTCCAGCGTAACCGGTGGTTCCTGTGCTTGAAGGAAGTTGTTAGTTGGAGGTTTGTTTGTGGGTGTGGTGTTGGTTTGGTGGGTGGAGAACTTACATGAAAACTTTTGGTGCCATGGTAGGAGATTGAGATTGGTGTTTTTCGTTTATTTTGATGAAGTTTTGACTTTTTGATTGTATGATTGATATGGAATAGATATAGAGAGTGAAGTGATCTGGATATATATGATAGACTTCTTTATATACGCATGTAGGTAGGAAGTGGTAGAATGTGATTGGTCATAATGACGTAAGGTACGGTACCTCAATATTTATAAGCAAAGGAGGGGCAGAAATAGAATCTAAAGATTTTATATATGGACTTCCATTATCAAATCATGATTTCATGTAATTTGTAGTAGTACTTGCTACTTCATACCGGTATATCGAAATATTCATCCTCTGCTCGAATACCGGTACTTCCATGTGTTGTTGCTCACCCTCAATGTATTGGTACAATTCTCCTGAATGTTGTTGGTTTGTTCCTCGCACATATTATATGGTTTCTTGTTTCCCATTATGATACACTTACCTACCATATTACATTGCAGTATGGTATGACAATATAGACATATGGTATTGCTTCCTTATACCGGGGATCATTTCCCATAGACCTGTCGGGGGATCTGTAAGACCATCCGGGTAGGTGCCTGTCAGTTCAGCATCTCAGTTCTCGCCTCAGAATTTGCAGAGGCATGCATTATGTTTGCAGTTAAGGAATCAAGAACTTATTCGATTTGGAACCCGACTTCGATTTCGACTCGAATATATTCATTCGTATCGAAATGTTCCCATATACCATACAGTTGACCTCAACTTTATTAATGCTAATGAGTCTCAAATTTCCATATACTGAGTACTTGGTGATTAGCCTAGATGGCATCAAAAGATACCTATCCAGCGGCAACAACTCCTGTATTGTCCCATTACTCGGTAGGGTTTCTGTTCCTCATAAAGTTTGTTTGACGGATTCTCCTTGGCCAGCAAATAGCAAGTTAGGAGGAGGCGAAGCTTGTTTTGCTATTCTCGGATCAATACGATGAGATCTGGCCTGGACCTAGAAAGAGAGATAGAAGAGGCTGAGGGGAGTTACTGTATGTTATATGTTATTTGTGAACCATCCTTTCTTTCACGTCTTTTGAAAAACAATCCAACCCCAAGTCTCAGTTCCTATCAATTCACCCGACGGCTAATCGCCAACCAAACACCCGAATCAAACTTTAACAAAACTTATTATAGGACCGAATCAATACACCACAACCCTTGACAAGAACAGGCGCAACCTACCAGGACCAGGACCAACAGGAATATCTATCAACCTATCAATAAGCCAGTACCGCCAACTACCGCTGCGGAACAATTTTTTATAACCCTAATGTCATTGTCCGGGTAATTATAATTACCCAAGAAGATCATCTACAGGTAATTAAACCTCAATCCAGTAATAAATCTTCATAAATCTTCATAATATCAATGATTCAATTCCTATTCTGACTAACATTACTTATTATTAGATTATTAGTTAACCAACTGGAAAAATCCATTCAAAAATCCTAATTGCCAAGTGTGACTGAACCCCGCCTTCATATATTTAAACATTCACACAGTCATAAAAATCCCAAGATGGGATTATTAGATCTTTTACTCAAAATCCCTTTCCATTCTTCTACCTTCTCTTTCTCTTTCTCTTTCTCTTCACACTTTTTAAATCAAACATACAAATATTTCATCATGCATTTCAACCCAAGGAATGTCTTCGTTAATGGTGCTATTACCGCAAATCTATTTGTTTCCTCTTATATTGGAACCATCAGTACTTTACAACTATCAAAATTCCCAAATGGAACATATTCTCTCAATACTTTATCCGTCAATAATATCACCAAGGATCAGCCATCGTGGCTACACAAGGATCCAAATAATGACATCTTGTATTGTCTGAATGAAGGTTTCAACCTCAATAATGGAAGTATATCGAGCTTCAAGGTTAAAGATGATGGCTCCTTGAGTTTATTGGGAAATGGATTAACCATCAGTGGACCTGTCAGCTCAATACTCTTTGACGGAGGAAAAAGTATGGCTGTTGCGCATTAGTAAGTTTTACATTCACGCTCATACAATATAAATGTACTAACAAATACAAAGTAATGGATCATCACTCACAACACATAATATCCAAGCGGATGGAACTTTGTCACCACTCCAAACGCTAACCTTCACCATGTCAGCTCCCGGCCCAGATCCCTTGGGACGACAAGCCTTTCCTCATCCCCACGAAGCTCTCCTCGATCCAACCGAGGACTTCATCGTAGTCCCTGATCTCGGCGCCGATCTCGTACGCGTCTTTTCCATCGATCACAAAACATCACTCCTCACCGAACAAACTCCTTACAAAGCACCACCAGCTTCTGGTCCTCGTCATGGTGCTTTTCACGTAACTGAATGCGGCCACACCTTTTTCTATCTCGTCTCCGAACTTGCCAATACGATCGCGAGTTATGAGGTTACTTATGAGAATAGTCCGAAGGTGGGTATGACTTTTACGAAGATAGATAATCATGGGATCTATGGAAATCAAACCACGCCGGCTGGTGCCGCGGCTGCAGAATGTCTCTTAACCGTACGTCCCCATCAACTTTGAGCCATGAGAAATATACCTCATGTGACATGAATCAAAAACATACTAACACCACCTAGCCCGATGGCCGCCACATCATCACCTCTAACCGCAACGCCACCACTCTCTCCATCCCCCAACCACCCGTACACCCCATAAACAGCACCGGACTCCCCTCGGACGCGCTCCAAACCTGGAGCATCAACACCCCCACCCCCAACTCTGGCAACGCCACCCTCGGCTCCCTGTCTTTCTCCCAACTCTTTCCTTCCGGCGGCATCTATCCCCGTCAAATGGCCATGAATAAAGCAGGGACGCTCGTCGCCGTCGCTCTTCAACAAAGTGCTCGCGTGGTGATTGTGAGTCGAGATCGCACAACGGGGTTGTTTGGGGAGTTTGTGGCGGATGTGCAGGTGGGCACTTTTGAGGGCGTGGCGAGTTTGGATGGTCAGATTACGAGTGTCGTTTGGGATGAGGAGGCCGGTTTGGTGTGGGAGTAGTTTTTGATGGGGATGTGGTAGGGATAGGGGTAGGGTAGGGTGAGGTGGGGTAAGTGGGGAGATAGTATACATTCATATGGGGTTTTGAATAACCACAATATTGTGGTGATGGAGTTGCAGGGAGGGAGTGGGGGAGTTTCTTTTCATCGATGGTTTGATATCATACATATTACACATTACACAAATACATGGGGTAGGTAGAGAGAGAGAGAGAGAGAGAGAGAGAGGGTGAGAGACAGATATAGAGATAAATAAAAGCCAAATAAAAAAGACGCATAAATAGACACCCATCACATCATATCACATCACAAACATATCAAATATATCAAACTCAAGACCTATAAAAAAATTCAACGTCCTTCCATATACCGGTACAACTACTCGTAGATTAGACGAATAAATCGTTTCTTTTCTTTTCTTTTCTCTTCTTTTCTCTTCTTTCCTTAATCAAAAATATCTTATCCAAAATTCAAATCATCACACACAGTACAACACCAACCAATCAATCAACCAACCAACCAAGCAAATCATATACAGCGAGCGCTCTTGTAAAAGTTGAGAATTGGAATATGTAGTATATATTTATACTTATATTCTTCCCTCTTCTTTCTAGGATCTAGGGCCTAGACTCTACTGGAAGTCGAGCTAAGCTAAGCTGGATTGAGCCGGGTCGGGTCGGGTAGTGGAGAGGGGAAAATGGATGGAGGATGGAGAAAAGAGGGAGAAGTTCTGTTTTTGGTTGTCTAGAAAATCTAAATCTAAATCTAAATCTAAATGTGAATGTGAATATACGAAGAGGTATCGAGAGTGTTGTATTCCCATTCATATACTGTATATATCTCAGGCTGTCACGACTCACAAGGAACAAGGAACAGATAACTTTCGGTAGTTTACTCGTACTCGTACAGTAGGTAATTATGTTTATGTGATTCATTCATTCTTTCTTTCGTTGTAAACTCTTCCGTAACGTTTTCGGCTATTAGTACCGGTACCAGCATCATTTCAGTGCTATGATAACCGCACATCGATCATCCTCAAACTAATCCTACAGTACAGGCCCGCCTCTGTCCTCTTTCACCCCCCACCCCTCCCATCCATTTACCAATTCATCAAATCTATGCATACGTTAGCCACATCACTCTCAATCAACCACCCATCAATCTGCAATCTGCCATCTACGAAAGAAAACATACCTCTCCCAAAAAGTGCTCTCTTAGTCCAATCCATCGCCAACAAACATCTCGTTCTAAAACTCACACTCTGAGCAAAATAAACACTTCTCCAAGCATAAACCGCCCAAAGACCCCCCGCAAAATTCCATCCACCACCCAGATCGAAGACTGCAGAATTTCCAATATAGGCTAGATTGCCCAGATGATGGTATTCGAACGCCTTGTAGATAGCTTCGTCCAAATCACCATCCCTCATATCGTTAACTCTCATCCCTGGTTCTGCTTTTGCCATTTTATTGAACTTGTGACCCAGGTATTTACCTTGTTGATGGGCTCTCTGAGCAGTGGCGGGAAGGGATGTGAGTTTGCTATCTATTTGCATGAGGAGTTCTCGTAGTTCGCCGAAATCGAGGGTTCCGGATTGATCTTTATCGAATTCTTGGAAGAGTTTATCGACACGCTTGAGGTGATCTGCTGCTTGAGGAAATCTCTTTCGTACCCTTTGTGCAACGTCTCGCCAGTCGCGGAACGAGAGTTGAACTTTTTCGGGGTCTTGGCCTTTCTCCCATGCGAGAGTTCGGAGGAACGTGACTAAGTGATCAGTAACGTTATTTTGAACGGTTGAGCAGTCACCAATTGCATAGACATCTCCCAGAGGTGTGCCATTAAGACGAAGATGAGTATCGGTCTCCAATGCATGACGATTGGTTTGTGCCGAGCCAAGTGCAGCGGCTACTTTCGAGCAGAATTGGGTTTGAGAAACACCTGTGGACCAGAGACAAAATCCCATGGGTAATTCCTTGACGACCGTCTCGCCATTTTCTCCCTTTTGAGTAAATATAATCTTATCAGATCTGACCTCCTGAACTCTGGAATTGGTCAGGATTTCCACCTGATCACGGGCGAATCGTTCCTCGGCATATTTGGAGACGGCTTCATCATATGTATTCAGGATATGACCTCTACTCTGAATGACATGTACGGAGATCTCATTTCTAAGAATCCGAGGAAAGTGTGCTGTGAGATCTTCGTTAAGAAGGTCGAATAACTCAGCAGCAAATTCTACTCCTGTAGGACCACCTCCACTAACAACAAAAGAAAGTAATCTCTTCCGCTCTTCATCAGATGTTGTTGGTAGACATGCGTATTCCAAATTGGTCGAAATAGAATTTCGAATGTGTTGCGCATCATCAATATCCTTCAAGAAATGACAATTTTCCAAACCTTTCACTCCATGAGGATTGGTTCGCGACCCAACCCCAATAACCAATTTGTCGTATGGTAAATAGAATCGCACTTCTTTGCCGTCTGGACTTTTCCCAGCTAATTCCACCAACTTCTCGGAAAACTCGATTTCTTCTGCAGTAGCTCTTATGAAATGACCCTTAACTCTTGTCATGATCCGTCGAATTGGTTCTACCAAAGAGCGAAACTCTAATGTCCCCACCGTTGCGGAAGGTAACATAGGTGTGAAGAGGAAATAATTCGTGGGTGAGACTAAAGTGACATGAAAATCATCGGGATTTAACGTTTTCAATAATGCAACGCTTCCCCATCCACCTCCAAGAATCACCAATTTCGGTTTATCTTTCTGCTTTTGCATCTCCTCGGAATCATCGTCGTCGATTTGAACTTCGGCGATAGGTAAATTCTTAGGACCTCCTCTCCGTGGAGACAATGCGAGCTCCGAAATGGCAATATCCGCGTAGGAGAGATCTTCGCGATATGTCGTGGCATCGTACACGAAGAATCCAATAACACCGACTCCCAGAATGATTAAAGAACCTCCCAGTAAAGCCGCAGACCGATATAAATAGGTTAAAGCTTTTGATCGTCGTTGTGGTAAAGGTTTACCGGATATAAATCGAATGTTTCGTGTTCTGGGAAGCTTGCTCCATCTCGTTTGATTCGTGATAGTTGTTAGAAGTCTGTTCGGATTCGTAGAAAAGTTTTGACCCGGCTGAGAGTTAATGGATAGTGTAGATTGATTGAGGGAGGAACAAGGCGATCTGTGGATTAATAGAGACTGATTTGCGCCAAATCTCACAAGAGATGAGGCAGGTCGCCGCAAGAGCATTCTTATGTATTTCAATACACTTCTTTTTTGGTGACAACCTTTCTCTGTTAACAACTGATAACTTTTAATTGAAGTTGGAATTAATAAAAGAAAATAATGAAAAGGCAATTGATGTAGCAATTATTCTAGGGAATGAGAGGAGTAGAATGGTAAAAGGAGGTATTCGGAGGTACTCGTATAAACAATTTCTAGGTAATTTGAAGCTTTTTCCAAGCTCCAAGCGGAATGAATTTCTGGGCTTTTTACTGACGTAGTCATCACTTATCTATACATTTCACCTCCCCACCAACCCAGCACCAACCAACCCAGCATCCATCATCTCGCTCCCGGATATGTCGGAAAATGGCCCCCACTAAGATGCCAGGCAAGAATATACATACCTACTGTTGTGTTGTAAGAGGAAGGAAATGGTAGTGGTGGCCTTGAAGTCTTTTGGGGGGTTTCACGACATCATAATGATCACATAGATGAAATTTTCAATGTTTGATAATCAACAAGTACCTAATTATATTGTACGTTTGAAGACACTTGGTGAAATGAAAGTAATGTTCAAGATTCGAAATCTGTGATCATGAAATTGATTGTAGTAGTAATGCACCACTTCTAACGTGGCAACCCATATTTATACCGGTATTGATTGAGATTCCAGTGACCAGAACTCTCATGAGATGATAATAATATTAATTCCTGCCGTTGAACACCAATTCCATCCTATGCCGTTGTGAAGAAGTTCTATAAGAATCAACTTCAAAAGGGGTATAACACTGGCAAGGACCCAAACGCCAAATATTACCAATCCCATACCTCAGTGTGTCATCATCATTGCTTCGTTTGCATGGGATCCATTCCCATGTATATTATCATCATCAAAATTGCCGTCATCGAGACCCAGCTCGATGAGATCTGGTATATCCTTTTTAGCATCTCGTGCGGTATTCTCGGCCCAAGCACGTAGACGAACAAGATCTCTAATGGCCGCATCTCGACGTTGATTCTGTGATTGCAAAATCGCCTTGTTCACTTTATCTGCAACAGACCTTCTAAGATCAGGATGCAGTAAAGCAGCTAGCTGTGGTTCCAGATTATCCGATGGGAAAACCAGTAGGGCCATTGTTCTTTCAAGATCTTCCAAAAATACAGGGTTGGCCGGCGCTCGAGGCGCAAGTTGAGTTGTCGCAAAATTTAATGCGAGACTGATGTCACTGCCAGGGGTTGCATTACAAGTCCGTATAAGCTCAACGAGCTGTAGTCGTAAGAGTGAAAAATGGAGAGCTGGATTATTTTCGAGAACCTTTTCAAAAAGTCAGAGAACATTTTATGTATATATAATGGACAAGAATTGAGATTGGATTGAAGTTGCTCATACTGAGGACTGAAGTATGGTTATTTATCTCATCAACGACCCGAAGGCTATATGAGTGGTGCATGAAACGTATAATCATTGCAAGGGAGTAGAAGGAAGTATGAAAAAGTCAAAGACTAACCTGAGGTTCGAGTTCGTTGAGGGCCTCGATAGCATCTTGTATACTTCCCAAATGAATGGAATGTTGAATGGCTTGACGAGCTCTAACAGACTCTTCTTCTTGCTGTGGCTTAAGATTCGCTTCTTTGGAAAACCTTGCGGCGGCGGATGGATAACCTTCAGTCGTGAGGTAGTCTAATATCAGAGCATTGATGTCACTATTGATAAGTAGAGAAATTAGCTTAATTCTCTATCTTCAGGTTTCATAAGGCTGGGGCAACAGCCAAATTGGTAAGAGTGGCAGTATATCAGTTAATAACTAAATTTGTTCTCCGCATGCGTAATTTTTAGGAGAGATTCCCAGTTGATGAAATCATCATATAAAGTTTGCCAAGGAAGGAGCTTGAGTGAAGCACCGGGATAATGAGAGAGAAAATGAATGCCTACCTTTTCATTGGTTTCACATCATCAACACGTCTTTCGAAATCAGTCCGCGAAGGAGGTCTCTCAAAGGTATTAAGTCGTGAAGGTGTTGCTGTTGCTGTTGAAGATGCCTATAGTTCGAGTCAGTAACTGGTACTTATGAAGCTATGGATGAGCTTCGGATATGCGTCATCCTGTACATACCATTCTTACAACACAAAAGGTTAACTCTTCTCCATAAAGAGGTAAAGAGCAATTGTACTTGATCTTGAAGTGTCCAGCACTGATACAATTATTATAAAGTTCCGTTGATGTGAATAAAGAAAAGATGAATGGTTGAAAAAAGGGAATTGTTGTAATATGGTGGAGGAAAGGAAAAAGAAAGTTGTGATTGAGATTTCAAGTAGAAGTAAAAAAGCTGACTGCAAAGTCTAAACCTTGATAGGCTTAGCTTTGAAGAGCCTCATCCAAGTTCTATCACGTGATATGCAAAAAGATGACAGGACAACTGGTTCATCTCGAACATCTCGAGGAAACGTGATGTACAAGAATTTGCTACTGTATATATGTTAATGCCGTATTAGAAATTGCTTTTATATTCTTTCCTCTTCATTAAAATAGACTTCTTAAACCCTTACAATTCATAATTAAAACAACAGAATCATCATACCAGTACTTTTTTCCACCTTTTACAATGGCCGTGTCCGTGAAGGAACAAGCTCATTACTCCCCTCCGTGGGCTGGTGTAAGTATCATAGGCATAGCTGGAAGTTCTGGGTCAGGGAAATCTACTTTATCTCATGCGGTCATTTCTCAGATGAACTTACCATGGGTTTGCATTCTCAGCATGGTAATTATTTTCTCTCCTCATGCCCGTACTAATAGACCTATTAATGATTATGAAAAAGGATTCGTTTTACAAGTCTTTAGACGCAGAAGGATCACGAAAAGCATTTATGAATGAATATGACTTTGATTCCCCGGATGCAATAGATTTCGATCGACTTGTCGAAATATTGAGAGACCTAAAGGCGGGGTAAGTTCTATGAAGTTTACTATACAATCAGACCTATACATTTCATCCAGCGAAATCGTTTTCATGTCATTAATTTCACTGTTTAGCAAGAGAGCTGAAATTCCTATCTATTCATTCGCAAAGCACGCCCGGGAGAAGGAGACCACGTCAATATATTCCCCACATGTACTCATATTGGAGGGTATCTTTGCGTTATACGATCCTCGAGTCCTTGACCTGTTAGATATGAAGGTATAGTTGCTTCGGAGGAAGGGTTCGAATGTGTGATGATTGACTTTTCCCAGATTTTTTGTCAAGCAGATGGAGATACTTGTTTATCCCGGAGAAGTATGATTCTTCCCCTATATTAATGTTAAACTCCAAGCAGCAGACCCACCGGAGTTGTCTGATTAACTATGACTCAACTGATTTGAAATTACTAGTTCTCAGAGATGTCGCAGAACGAGGTAGAGATATTGAAGGCGTTATCAAGCAATGGTTTGGTTTCGTGAAACCAAACTTTCAACGATACGTGGAGCCTCAAGCAGAAATCTCCGGTAAGACTTGTCACCTAAGTTACCACAATATGAGCATTGCTTCTGATGTGTGATCTCATCATATTTAACGATAGATACCTAATCCCCTGATTAGATATTATTGTGCCAAGAGGTGTAGAAAATCGAGTTGCCATTAGTAAGTTTCAATTCTATGCCTACAATTCTATGCTGGTATTAACCTCTCTCCAGACATGGTCGTACAATACATCCAGCGTACATTGAAAGAAAAATCAATAGCACACATTATGGCCTTGAAGAAACTGGGCTTGGGTGCTGAAGATGAACCTCTATCTAAATCGGTTCTTCTTATGGAACAAACACCACAATTCAAAGGGATGAACACCATCATTCAAGATGTAGGAACTCCGACGGAAGAATTCGTCTTCTATTTTGACCGGATTGCTACTTTACTCGTCGAACAGTACGTCATCATTGTCTTGACCCTTTTTGTTATTCTCCTATTCTATTGCTAATAACAGATACAGCGCCATGAACAATATATTCTTTACAGAGAAGACTGTTGAGACTCCAATCGGTAACATGTACCAAGGTTTGGTAGCTACTGGCGAGGTGAGTGCTGTTGTAGTCCTTCGTGCGGGAGGAGCTCTCGAAACTGGCTTGAAGCGAGTCATCCCGGACTGCAAAACTGGACGATTGTTAATTCAATCGAATATCCGAACTGGTGAACCAGAATTACATTTTTTGAAATTGCCAGATAACATCAACAAGCACGATAGTGTTCTGTTACTTGATCCACAATTGTCGAGTGGAGGGTCCGCACTCATGTCAGTTCAGATTCTTGTAGATCATGGAGTACCACAAGGGAAGATTGTATTCGTGACTTACACTGCAGGGAAAATGGGATTAAACCGACTTACGAAAGTTTTCCCCGAGGTTAAGATCGTGGTATGCACAATCATTCAGGACTATGAGGAAAGGTGGATCGAGAAGAAGTATTATGGGTGTTAATTTTATCGTCTAGATCAGTTTATAGATTATCGATTTGCTCTGAGTGAGTAGCAAATTACCCACAACATGATTTGAATCCAAGAGTCCAATTATAACCAGTAGTAGATGGAACAATGAAACCACTATCGATTCCAACAACTTTTCGGTACTCGAACAAGGTCTTTATTCTGGGACTAGTACACCTTCCTCTCCTCCCCTCTCTGAACTCATGAACTTCACAATATCAACACTTTAAGTATGAGAAACAAGAACTTAGACGAGCTATCGCACTACTAAATAGAGAACAACCGTGAATGATCTTAAAATTAAAATTATCTCCATTAATATCTCTTGCATTCTACAGTAAGTACCATACATCATTTTCACTCAGTGGTGATTTAGCTCTGTGGTACAGCCATCCCTGAAACTTATCCGGCAATCGTTTGACTACATCACACATACACCAATGTGATCAATTCTTTTATTGCCCTTTATCTCTACACTGTGGGTCTGAATACCTTTGAAGCGTCTATTTCATAACCTATACTTGATTGCTTTTTATAACTATCTCTTCTCTTTCCCTTGTCCAAAAGAAGGAGATGTACTTTTCATCGGCATGGTCAATTCATTTTTTTCTTGTAGGACTATCAAAATCTATTACTGATGATTCCTAAACAACTTATACGATCAAACAAACAAACAAACACCCTTGTTCTCTCCATCCTTGTTTTGTCTATGTCTTTAATTTTTAACATTCTCGGAAGTTTTGTTGCATATCTGATATAGGTCAGACACTTTCCCTCCAACCTTTATTCACTTTTCACCTTGTCTTATTGTTATCAACTTTCAATATTCTCCAAGGTTTTGTTATATATCTGATATAGGTTCAATACTTTCTTTCCTTTACCCTTTATTCACCAACCCTTTATTCACTCTCCACCCGAACTTTGGAAAATGCCAATCTACAGTCCCCAAACCTGAATCTAATACATCTTGGACAAAATATCACAATTCCTGATAGAGGCGCTTGTATAGTGAAGAAAGTATTGAAGGATAACAAATTCAGAGCTTCAAATGCGAGACTACTATATAAAAAAAGAAATTGGTATATGTTGAGACTTTTCTTTTCTAAGTATTTTTCTGTTCCGGGCAAAATACTAATTACACGTATTTTCAATCTAATTGTTCGGAAATGTACAAGTAACATGTCTACCTATTTAATCTCTGCCCCCATCTTTGTATGTTCAGATATACCACATATCTTTGTGATTATATTGAAAGGATAACACATTTGTACCAAGGGTTATTGATTCTCGTTTATATAATTCTTGATGACCAGAGTTTGCAGGAGACAAGTTGGTCATGTAGTCGACGAAAGCTCACCATTTCTTTTTTACATACTTTTGTCTAGTGTACAGGAAATCTTTAGATTTGCATGAATATTTAACTTAGTCCTTAGACCTAGTTCAAAATACAATTCACAGCTTACGCCCCATCCTTTTGATAGATTAGATGAAGAATAAGTGAGGAACTGATTCCAACTCTTAGACCCATCTCGGCTCGCCAATATTAGGTCTTCGGTAGTTGTATGGCGCTAAATAAAATTACAGGGGTGCATGCCAAGCCCGAGCGCCATTAGCTATCACAACATCCATTTTCCAATACAAAGCTTATCTCTGTCTCTCCCTCCCCCATACCAAGTACCACACCAATCCCCCCAACTCACATCACAAAATGCCACCAATACGCCTCCAACCACGAACATGCAGTCTACCAGTGGCAGTGATCAAGAAAACAAATGCTGGCTCAGCGACACGCACATTTTGCAGCAGTAGAGTGATATTGGCTGGTGCGGGACAGGGAAGACAAGCTGGATATAGACCCCTCGTTTGTGGCGCCAAGAAAATAGAGAAGATACCCGCGCGCAGTAGCTTACTGCGTACGTTGGGATCTGGGGTCAGGGGCTATGCGACTGCCACTCCTGCTGATGCTGTTATTGAGGAATTGACGGAACAGTACTCGGTTGCGATGGATGAATCTGAGGTGCGTTTCTATAATCATATTAACCTCCCAATATACTCACACACAAAATTTCCCTTGTCCTCTTCCCCTCCCTTCTCCTAATAAAACTCCCTGCTAACTCATTCCCTCACCCCTATTAGCTCGCATGGCAAGAAATCGAAAACCACTCCGCCTTCGCGGCTAATGACCGAGCGGCCGCAGTAGAAGAATTTTTCAAATTAAAGGAGATGTATGAGCATGCGATCAAAGGAGAGCACAGAGTAGAGGTCAAGAGACGGATGGGGCAGAAGATAAGGAAGTTGGAGCAGGCGACTAAAATGTTGGAGGATATGGAGTTGGAGGATACGGATTATTTGGAGGATTATTTGGAGGATATGGATTTGGAGGATACGGATTTGAAGGATACGGATAGTGATAAATGAATAAATGAATTTGTGGGTTTTTTTTTGAAGGGAATGGGGGGGAGAAGGGCGTATATGGGAGATGGGAGATGAGAGGATTTGTTAAGGGGGATATTTAGAGTCAGGAGGGGGTGGGAGTTTATCGATACTATAGTGTCCCGAATACCCTATTCAATACCAATACGGACATACGGAAATACGAAGAGAGAATGATAATAAAGGAATATGATATGAGAGGTTTTATATAAATAAATCCATAACGAAAGAAACTTCACACTACCGGTATGTGATATTTATAATTATTCACTTTTCGGGCATGAAAAAAGAATCCTACAGGTGGATTTTTATGAGACTTCACTTTACTGATCTATCCATCTATCTCAGATCAAACCTCTGAGAGATTCCCTACCCCAGGTCTTAAAAACCTGCGTGCATTATCTCATCTCCTCTCTCTTAATTCACTTATTACACATTTTCCTTGGAACACTAAACATTGAACAGGATACTCCACTCCAAGAAACTTAGAAGAGTCAGGTTAGGTATCAAGTATATATATCCAGACTCCAGCATGTGATATCATTTACTCGTACAAAAGTTTATGCAATCTTATGATGAGGTATGTATTGCATGTATGTATATTATTCTTATTCTTAATTCCATTAATCTCTAAATTCTAATTAAGTAAAGCAAGCACAAAAAAGGGGTATTTATCGAAAACCAAGTACTGTAGCGAAGAAAAAGAAATACAAATGCAAATGCATCACGAACTTCCCCGACCGAAAAAAAAAACTTGCCTTTCCCTGTTACTATCCTTACTGCTACTTTCCCAAAAGTACAGTACCAATAACAATCAGAGAGCCATTGGATTCTGCACAACGATTTCGTCGAAGCCAGCTTCCTCGAGTAAGTTTTTCCAATGCGTCATGGTTGAAATGTTCGTGAAATAGCATGTCGGTATGTGTGTGATGCATTACTCGTGAATGATCTTTCAAGGATAAATGATCGCAATGATGTACATGGAACTGTCTTACACAAGAGGTATGTATGTACGTTGCAATAGAGCTTAGAGACGAGACATTTCATTGAGCTTGTTGGCTTTGGGGGTTTGATCGGTTCCATATTGTGAGTCGATTTCGACCTCTGTATTCTCACCCTCGCTCTCATTCTCGCTGTTATCCTCGCTCTCGCTGTTATTCTTGCTCTCGCTTGTATCCTTGCTCTTATCCTCGCCCTCAATCTCGCCCTCAATCTCGCTCTCGTTCTCACTCTCATTCTCACTCTCGTTACTATCATCGTCTCCTTCGTCTTCTTCTCCATCGACCTCTTCTGCATCCTCAATTTCCACGTCACTTTCGACTTCTTCGCTCTCACTCTGCTCAATATCTTCGCCTTCATCCATCTCAATCCCAACCTCGACTTTAGGCCCTTCGTCTTCATCGTATTCCGACGCCGATGGTCGATCATCCTCAAATTCTTCTCGCTCTTCTTCTTCACCCTCGATTACATTAAGCTTTTCATACACCTCGATAGACTCCATTACATGGTCGGCTTCTTCTTCCATCTTGATGTCCCCCATTTGCTGCTCAAGTCTCAACAAATCTTCTTCACGTTGACGCTCTTTCTCTCGCTCCAGTTTCCTTGCCTCCTTTAGCAGTCTCTTTTCGCGCTGAGATCGAGATTCTAATTCATTTTCGCTGTCCGAATTGGGTTCCGGTGGATCATCGTCTTCCAATGTATCCCTGATTGACTCCATGTACTTTTGCGCAATCTTAGCCACTATAGCAACAGATATAGCATGCCAAAAATGCTTGCTTGGGTCCAAGAAGTCACAAATATGAATGTCTCTAATCTTCGCTTCAGGATCCGAAGAGTCCAATGTAACGAAAAGAGCTTTTGCTTGTATGTAGAGAATCCCATAAATGAGAGGAGGGCGTCGAAAGTATATTTCCGTCTCACCCAATTCATTGACGAGTGGTGAAGGGCGTAATAGTGATTGACGCCATGATTCAGCATGAAAAGCCATCTGGTCTTGTAGACGCTTGGTTGTTTCCGCACCGCTTGCTTTCCATCGACCTTTAACGAGACAGAGAACCGGTATAAACTTTTTCTTGTAGTAGCCTCCTTCCCTCTCAGTCCATTCAACGTATTTGCCAATGTATAGCCGCATCTGATCTTCAGGTGGGCCGTTTCTACCATAGTATCTGTCGTGGACGCGACGGCCAAGATAATTGTTAAGGAAATCCAACATTTGCATAGCTGTACAATGATTAGTTTAGCATAGTCAGAGGATTGGGAAACACTTACATTTACTGCTTTCTCCCAAGAGCGCATTATCATCGGGACACCACATGGCATCAGGAACCGTTCGAAAATACCATCCCTTCGCCCAATGTGGCAAAAGCCCTTCATGACCCATATATTGAATTCTCTCCAGTAGAAAGATCTCTTCTGGAGACCATTCGCCGTCTGCTCGAGCTCTTTCCACCGTCTCCTTCGCCTTAGCTAGCTCCGCGGCCTGTTTTGAAAGATATTCATTTACTTTTTGTTCGGCAGAAATCTCGTCCTCGTCCTCTTCTTCATCTTCATCCATATAATCTGGAGTTACCACCGATCCCTCATCGCTCTCGGTAACAATCTGCGAAGAAGAATGCTTTGGCGAAATTTCGTCTCCAGAAAATATAGCTCCTTCAGTTTCCTCATCTTCGCGGGGACGTTTGAGGGGATTCCTGGAGGGTGTCGTTCTATCTTCCGAGGAAATGTAGTTCTGATTCATGCGATCATAAGCTAAGTTGAGGGCTCTTTTGTTATTTCGAGGTTCGGAGAGAAATTGGTGTTCCTCACCAGCGGTGTTGAAACCTGGAGTTTGAGGACCCATTGTCCGACGTCGTTTCGCAACAGGAGAAAGATAATTGACGACAGCATCTTTTAATTTGAAAATTTGATCCATGTTGAGATCGAGTGAGTACGTACTTGATTGCTTGCTGGCGTAATATTCTAGAGACAGGTCTTGTTGTTAGATCGAGTCGCGTTGTGTGTAATTATTAGATTGAGTTCTCCTATCTTCAAGGCTGAAGCTCTTAAGTTCGTCGTACAGTAAGAAGTACTTCCTTCTGCTCAACCTAGAAGTTATGGGAAATAAATTTATTGGAATGCATGTGTGAGTATTTTGGAAAGACTGGTTCTCAATGATAATTAATTTTTAAAATTGAATTGTTGATTATTTTGAAAATTTTCAATATTGAGGATGCATTAATAGATAAATTATTCTTCAGCCTTAGGAAATTATTGTAACAAAAGTCTGGGGTAGAATGATTTCGGGATGGTGGTCCAAGCTTCTAAAATACAGAGCCCGTTTGTATTCACACCACCCACCCCCACTTACCGCATGTGGCTAATTATGGGTTGATGAAATGAGAATTTACCAGTTATTATTTTTCAGGTACCGTTATTAGTCATCTCGGCATGGATCTGTTAACGTGG